AAATGTTGGGTGAAGAGTGGCAGAAGGCCCACCCACCAATGGTGGGGCGGGTGAGGCGGACAAAATAAAGCAGGCAGAGCCCGCTGAGCAGAGGGAGCGAGCAGGTTGGTAGGGGGTTAGGAGCTTGTAGAGGTAGGGGGCAGCGAGGCCATAGAGGGCTTTGAAGGTGAGGACCAGGAACTTGAACTGTGTGATGGAAAGCCAGTGGAGTTGGCTAAGGATAATAATAATAATAATCCTTGCATTTGATATAGCGCTTTTCACGTCGGGAGGACGTCCCAAAGCGCTTCACAGAATAGACTGTAAAGTGAATTGACTGTATATTTGTGGGCGAACGCGGCAGCCAATTGCGCACAGCAATGTCCCACAAACAGTCGTAGATTGAAAATGACCAATTTATTATTGTTTTTTTTTTTGTTTTGTTTTGGAGGGATTATTATTAGGCGTGTGGAGTAAGGAAACTTGCCCAAGGTTACGCCCTGCCTGGAAATGAACTCAGGTCTCTCACTTGCAAAGCGAGTGCTCTAACCACTGAGCTACAGGACTCCACAGGATGGGGGTGATAGAGTCACAGAGCCTGGTGCAGGAGTGGACACAGGCTGCAGAGTTCTGGATGATCTGCAGCCTATGGAGGGAGGAGTTGGGGAGGCTGACAAGCAAAGAACTTGCATAGTCAAGCCTGGATGTTATGAAGGTTTCGGTGGCCTGAAGTGTGAGGCAGTAGTGGAGCCAGGAGATGTTGCAGAGGTGGGGGTAGCAGTACAGTGCACCCATCTTTGAGAAACAACAGTTATCTTGTGGTGAGCTATTAAAGATGCTATATGACTATACCCTAATTTCTTACTTCAAATATACCCTCAAAACCTGATTCACTTTAACATCTGGGCAATTTGCCGATTTAGGTCACTTGTTTCAGAAGTTATAGGAGATAATGTATTTTCTAATTAACCTGCATGGGTTAATTAGTGTAATTAACATAGATGATTGATATGTTATATCCCCAAAATTACACTGCTAATTAAAATATTTCATCCTCTGAGTAAAGTGGAAGGAGTCCCCATTTGTGTCCATTAGAAATCCTGTTATTAATCGCTGCAATTTACACTTCAATTACTGTCATCATTTGCTCTATTAGAAAATGGGGGTGGGGGAAAGTTGTAGCCGAGCACAGTTGCAATAGTTTTTGAACTCTCTCTGCTTAACCTTTTTGATTTCCTTCACATTACTTTCAGATTCACCAATGCAACAGACCAAGAGGGAAAAGTTCAGTGACATTTCAGGAAGTATTTCTTTACCCAGAGGGTAATTAACAAAAGTAAGGTGATTGAGTTTGGGATGGGCTGAAGGGTCCTTGTGACCCTTTATCCGAAACGTTAGGTTCATATTTAATCAGAATTTAGGTAAATTACAGTTATCTATTCAGCAGATCTCAAAATTAATGTGCAGTTTGTGATAATTATTTTAAATGTAAAATACTTATTGTAAAACATTGTTAGCCTGGCTCAGTTGTTAGCATTCAGTTGGCTGCCACTCTAGTGAACTGCTGGGGCAGTGTCTGAGATGCCATCCTTTGGATGAGACATTAAACATGAGACATTAAATTTCCTGATCAGGAAGATGCTATTTGGAAAGGTGAGAGAAGTTTCTCCCCTGGATAACAATTTGTCATTCACTTACTCAGTAGTTGTATGAAGGATATTGCTGTGCACAAATTTGTTGCCTTGTTCACCCGTGAATACACAGTCAGTGTACTTTACAGTAAAATCTTTTATTGGGCTTATCATGCCTTGCACTTGATATATTTGCTGGCATGATAAAACAGTATATCAAGTGCAAGGATTATTTTTATTGTAAAGTATCTTATATAGTTCAAAGCAAGTTATTTTCTAAACAGATGCACTGGCATCAACTGTACAAATTGCATTCTTTGATATAGTGGAAAGAACCAATCTGCCAAGACTGCCTTCAGAGTAGCATTTGGGATTTGGTTTAACCTGATCAGAGATATTAGTCCCTGTGACTGTATTGATGCATAGACAATCTGCTTAATATTCATTGCTACAGCAGAATATAACCAGACCCATACTGCAGGCAATTAATAATATGCACATTCTGCTCCAAATGACAGCACGGTCCCATTCATCGCCACATGAAATAATAAGCTAAGGGTTTAGTCATTTATTTTGCTAATTTTACTCAATTAGTATTTAAAGAGTCCAGGCAGATCTCCTGAACGGTGAGTCCATTTTAAAATTTGCCAATATCACAAATGTGCATAAAAATAACCCCAGATTCCATCCCCAGTGAAAGCCCATTAGAAAGGTGTCGGGAAAAAAATGAGATAGCCCCTCCACAATTATATATGTAACAAATGAAGTCAGTTTTAGAGCCCAGTGATTGACATTCATATGATCACACATCATGGTGAAAATGTAAACAAGAGTAAACCAGATCAAACATTGAGAGATTGTGCAAACCGATGAATCGTGTGAGTAGGATATGAGCATTGAGAACACTGTGACATGGCAAATGCTGACTTTATTCAATTAAAGGAGATGGAGATTTTCGAGCTCAGAGCCTTAGGGGTTACCAAAGTGCAGCAGGTGCTTCCCCAAAGCAGTGATTCGACTACAATTAAGTGAGCTATCTGGGCATGCCAGAGGAACAATCTCCAAAAAATCCAGGCTCACTAAGAAGTCTGTCACTGAGATGTGCCATCTGGCCCATAAAGTACCACAGGGTTATTCCTTTATTATTATTGTGTTACCAGTGCTAATTAAGCTCACCAGTGCCCTCAACCTTTGTGCCCCTAGGATCCTCCAGGGAGCGTTTTGAGAATTGCTGCCCAGTTTACTGCTGCATTAAGGAGAAAAATCAGTAGCATTGTACTATCAAGATGTCTACTATGGCAAGAAACAGCTGCAGATACCCCATAGCAGGCAAATAGGTTTTCTCTTAAATTCTACAATTGAACACTGTTGTTTTCATATGGACATACTTACCATCAAGATCTGTTACTTGACATCCAACTTTAGTTTTTACTACACCCTTTATATCTTCATTCAATCATGCTTTTATACAACTAATGACTATTTTAATTCTAAGTAAAGAATAATAACAATAGTCCTTGCATTTGATATAACATCTTATCACATCTTTGAGACATCATGGTTGACAGAATGTGAAATATATCCACAAAACACTTGCATTTCATAAAATCTGCCAGTGTGTGTTTTAATCCTGTGTTTGACCTCATGTGTCACAAACAACTTCAAGCTGGTTGTTCGCTAGATGTTGAAGGAGCAGCACTGGTGGATGATGGTACCTAGTCACCTAGTGATGCAGTAGACAATGCGGGTTCCACTCTCACTAAGGAACCTATATTGTCTACTGCACTACTAGATGAGCTGATACTTGCACAATGCTGCAAAATGACATGACACTGTGGTTAAAATGAATGCCAACTAGCTATGCTACTGGATTCTATTATTATTAAGAGCTCTGAGAGACTACCCCGAGAGAAGGGCGCTATATAAATGCAAATTGTTCTTGTTGTTGCATTCATAGAAATGGCCGTTGAACTGTGTGGGAACAAAGATCTACGTTATAGTTATTCGCAACTGTTCTTCAGGACAGACACTGCTGATGATTCCTAGGAATGCCAGTTGTCAGACTGAACATTCCACTTGTTCTTTCTTCCATGCTGATATCTCTGTAACAGGACAACAGTTTTGGATTACTTACACTCAATGCAAATTGCAGCCAGTGTGCCACAGACCAGCTACAGTGACTGTGAGTGACAGAAACTTAAATGGGAATGAGTGGATTCAAAAAATAAAAGAGGCGAACACAAGAGGAAGGCAGTGAGGATGCGGCCGATTGTAGTAATAGCTTCGGAAAAAGGATTCAAGCTCCTCTTGCATACATACTTCATCCAGTGGTCGTAAGAAAGTGCCAGGGTGACAATTAGCAGCGGTAAGTGCTACTCATTTAGTGAGGGATGGGTGGGATGGAGGTACCAGCTCTAACATGCATGGAACTGTATATATATATATTTTAATAGAACGTGGAAAAAAAAACACTAAACTACCAAAAGAGCAACTTAAGTAAATCCACATTCCCTTTCACGGCACTGTCTATTCTCGTCATTATCAGAGATACAGATGGGTTGTCAGTTCTCCATTGCCTTTGACCCACATCCCTTTGATTTAACTTTCGCCCTTCAGCATTGATCTCCCTGATTAGTTCCTGTTGCTTCTTGATCTGCTCCTTTTTTTTTTACACACACACCCTGGACTGCCCCCCGGATGACTTCTAAGCCTCAAATGAATTCCGATTCTGATCCTTATATCTGCAGCATTGATTAATCTGAAGACCAGCTCGGGCTGGGCTGGACCAATCAGAAAAAGGCTGCAGCAGGAGGACCAGTCTGCGTTTTGACTGGCGAAGCGCGTTGGCTGAGGTTTGGTCCGTCGGAGCCACCGTTGGAGCAGCGCGTCTGGTTGCCAGGTTACCGCGGTTGTTGTGCCGGAGCGAGAAGATGAGGCGGCGGTAGGAGCCCCAACACCCCCACACCCCCACACCCCCCGCCCCAGAGCAGCCCCCCACCCCCACACCGCGCCCAGAGCAGCCCCCCACCCCCCGCCCAGAGCAGCCCCCCACCCCCCGCCCAGAGCAGCCCCCACCCACCCCCAGAGCAGCCCCCCACCCCCACACCCCGCCCCAGAGCAGCCCCCACACCCCCCCAGAGCAGCCCCCCACCCCCACACCCCGCCCCAGAGCAGCCCCCACACCCCCCCCAGAGCAGCTCCCCCACACCCCGCCCCAGAGCAGCCCCCCACCCCCACACCCCACCCAGCGCAAACTCCCCCAGAGGAGCCCCCACCCAGCGCAAACTCCCCCAGAGGAGCCCCCACCCAGCGCAAACTCCCCCAGAGGAGCCCCCACCCAGCGCAAACTCCCCCAGAGGAGCCCCCACCCAGCGCAAACTCCCCCAGAGGAGCCAGCAGCAGTACTGAAGAGGACTGGAAAATGGATTTGAACATCAGGAAGTATTTAACAGAAGCAAAAGACAATGGTATTCTCACTCAAACTCTGCCCTTCGTAATTAAAGCCGGAAGGCTTGGGGAACCCAGAGTATGCATTTGGGGTACAGTTAGAGCTTAAACTGGTTAGGGGAGGACAAGTTTGCAGGGCTATGGGGAGAGTGGGGGTGGGGGGGGGAGTGGGATTAATAATAACAATAATCCTTGGATTTGATATAGCGCTTTTCACATCTTCTAGATGTCTTAAAAGCGCTTCACAGAATAGACTGTAAAGTGAATTGACTGTATATTTGTGGGTGGATTGATTTGTGTAGCTCTTTTCAAAGAGCTGGCACAGACCGATGGGCCGAATGGCCTCCTTCTGTGCTGTATAATTCAATGTTTCTATGAACTGCCTGGCTTGCAACTGAGACCATTTTCTATCCTGCATCCTGTTTTAAGCTAGGACCACCCGACCCATTAGGGCTTTGGCTTGCAGGGTGAATAGGAGCTGAATAGGAAAAATCCCTGTTCCCAGTCTGAGTCCTGCCGATGAGCCAAGCGGATTGGTCTGTCATTAGGAGTGACAGACTGCAGACCTACCTGTTGTTCAATCTCTCCTAAGTCTGTTATGTGATTCCTTATCATAAACAAAACACCCACTGCCTTCCCTTTACTTATTGTTTGTTACTTCCACAAACAAGGTTAAACAAATCAGACATGACTTGTCTTTTATGAATCTGTGCTAATTGTCACTGATTAACCAATGGCTTTCTAAGCATTTGGTATCTGTATTCATGTTCTAAAATGTAGTGTAACAACAACAAAATTACATTTATAAAGTGCCTATCACGTTGGGAGGACATCCCAAGGCGCTGGATAGACAGAATTATGGACCCGTACAGTAAAACTCACATAAGTCTTATCTTTAGGAATGGTATAATCACCTATGTCGTACATCCACCTGAGTCCTATTCAGTTTCCTATCAAAACCACATAGATTTTGTTGCACTAGTCGTATTAATCACCTCCTAACTCTCCGCGGCTCGGCATCAGGTTGAAGAGGACTGGAAAATGGATTTGAACAGTAAATACAAACAATAAAGAAAGGGAAGTGCTCTGAAACGCTAAACTGTATGAAGGGCACTATATTAACGCAATTTGTTTTTTGGTTTTTCTTCCAATTATTTTTAAGATATTAAAGCACTGAAGACAGCTTATGAACTAATAAAAATGGCTAACAAAGAACTATCTCCATTGGATGGGAGTGAGAAGTTTAACACTGATCTATATATACTTTGTGCGGAACAGGCACTACAGGTACTGAAATATTTACTGTAACTATTGTAGTATAAAATGGTGTATGTGTTTTCAGTGGATATGTTTTTTTTATTTTAAAGAGGAATGTTTTATACAACTGAAAATCTATTGCTTATTAAAATATCGTTAATTCTAATACTGCTCAACGGAAAAAGTTTAATGAAATTTCTTGCATTAAACTGGTTGTCTAATTTTAAAGTCTTAAAAAAATTATAATATTTGTTCTTAGATAGGTATCACAACTTTTTGGTCACCCTGTATAAGATATGACAAATCCCTGAAGTAAGAGAGTTTTATTTCAACTTTGAACGTTCTAAGCTTTGTATGATAGTAAAGGTAAAACTATTGAATTATTTAGAAAATTTGTCATTGATCAGTGTTTATAGCATTCCCCAAATAGAAAACATATTGCTTTTCAGACTCTAGCAATAAATCGCTATTTGGTCAACTTCAGGATGATATCATTATCATTACATATTACAATGGCGTGGCAAAAATAAAGTGGTATAAGAGTGATGCAAAAGCATTTTGAATAAATTAGCTCAAATTCATACACTAATCTGTTTAAAAGGCAGATGGATTTTTAAAAGGGGAATAAACAAATAGATGCTTGGAAATTAAAGGTATTAAGGGATATGGTGAAAAAGTGTAAAAATGGGATTAAACAACCTTCATTGACTTATAAATATATTTCTTTCTTAGCTTGGACTTAGAGATATGAGCAAGGATTGTCTGCATATGTATTTTAAGGCAAATATTCCTACCAATCAGTTCTTGGGTCGGGCATATCTTTGCCAAGCTCAACTGAGTGTCCCAACATCTGCGGAAAGCACAGTAAGGTTTTTTTATTTTAGCATTGTATTCACATTCAATTAACATTGTTTTTATTAATCTGCTCAATTGTCTAAGTGTAGTAAACCTACTCTTAATGAATGGAGCAAAATAACACTCAAACTGAATTCTTACATTTGCATATGCAAGTTAACAGGCAGTATCTTTGATGTGATTATAAATTAAATTTGAGAATTAACTAACATTTGTCTTATAGTTATTGTAACTGTATATACTTGTAAAGTAAATAGTTCAATCAATTGTGTTGTTTGCAATTTTTTGTAGCTTTTGTTTAGAGACTTTTAAATTCCTTGAATTCAGCCACAAACAAGAATGATTCAGAACTAGTAGTGTAATATAACTGTAATATAAGTGCTCTGGGACGCTATCCTGCATGTAGGGGGCTGTATAAATGCAAGTTGTTGTTGTGTGGTGGTGGTGTCCTGCTCTGAATTGCTATACTGCAGATTCCTAACTGGAACATAAATTTAACTAACAGGTTTTTATTACTTTTTCTAGGATTATTTGGATATAGCTGTATCATACATCCTCAAAACAATAGAATTTGCTACAAAACAAAGCAGGTATGTTGGTTCTAATTTTTGGTTAAATCACGTGAAGCAAAAGTTTGTGTTTGATATTATTTAACGATAAATGGGGGTCTGAACCCACAACCTTGTGATCTCACTGCCTATTCTCTATTTAATGATGAAATTATTTCTGTTGTGCTTGTTTTTACGTTATGCTTTGGGCTCTTTTGTCATTTTAGTTGAATCATTTAAATTGTCTGAAGATCAATTTTGACAAAAAACATGTATAAAATTTAATTTACCATTTTCAATCCTCGTGCATCATGTTTTGAGCCAAATATCTTCTACATTTCATATGCTAGCTATTTGACTATGGTATACCTTGAGCATTTAAAAAAATGTATTATTTTTCAGATACCATTTTTTGGTGTACAATGCAAGCGTTATTTACTGGATGATGGTCAGACCATTTTTGAAGCCTGGTATGTATGCTACATTGATCCCTAGCCTCTCTAAAGTTGTTAAGGCATTGGAATGGATTGAAGAGCAAGACTACGAATGGAGGGCCCAATTAATGATGTAAGTCACTTACAATTTTTCCATTTTTCTCTTTTTGCTTGAATTAAATATTTGAGCTAGCTTTGGATCCAACCATTGTAACAACAATAATAATCCTTGCATCTGATATAGTATCTTATCACGTCTTTGAGATGTCTCAAATCGTTTCACAGAATATACTGTAAAGTGAATTTTGTGGGAGAAACGTAGTAGCCAATTGTGCACAGCAATATTGGTGATTGGGTGTGATTCATGTTATGTGATTCATGTTATGTTCAAATTAATTTTCCATTTACTCAATACAGTGGAGCCTGTTGCATAATTGGATTGTTACATTGGTATCCATAAAATCCCCACCTGCGCAATAGCGAATCTGACTGCGGACTCATGTGTCCGGCCAATTGGCTCCCTGCAAGATGGCTGGTTTCTGCTCTACACGAAAAAATGACCAAGTTTGTGTTGCAAAGCAGAAAGTGATATCGGTAACAACCCAATGATCGGAAGTTTGCCTTTTTTAGTGTGGAGACCTAAAATGGACAATATCGGAGTCGTTTGGTCAATGCAGATCTCGCTTCCTGGTTTGCACACAGACAGCAAAGCAGAAAGTGACATCAAAGTAGTGATCCAGATGTTGGCTTACAAATGCGAAAAGCTCGTAAGGTCACAGGTTGCTGAATGAAATCCATTGTGCAACCATGTCATAATGTATTTGCAATATAATTTAATGTGTTATGAGGGGGTTGCAATATAGTTGGGAAATATATTTTTAAATAATTAGCACATTGATACCATCTAGTGGCTATTTTTTGTAAAACAGTTTTATCTCAAATTTAAATGAAGCATTCATTCACCGTGGTTATAATTTTTAACTTTGCCATATTGAGGACGTTACTCTTACTTTTTCTACCTAGCTGCCATTTTGTAAAGTAATGGCTAATAGGCTCACTGTTCTTTCTTTAGAGTGAACCAGTGGACCTATTTATTGCGGTATAGGGCAGCCCAATTATGGACATAGTTGTCTGTGTCCATAAACTCAGATCACCAGGTTAAAAAAGCATTAAAAAAAAAGCTACTTTCTGGATCACTGTTGGTGTCACTTCCTGTCTGCAGTGCATACATGGTGGGCAGGAAGTGATGTCAATGATGTATCCGGCAAATAGGCTTAAAGGTACAAATTATTTCCACACATGCAATGTGCGGGAAGTTATATCAATGGTGATTATTGGCGACCTGGACAAAACTGTTTTTTAGTGCAGGAAGTTGGCTTGTTGAACCTGGAAGCCAGATGTACCGCACTTCCGATATAACATGGGTCCACAGTACACCTATGCTATGAGCAGGACTATGATAAATGTTGGACGTTTTTTAATTTGATTGCCCTGTAATTTCATCTTTGTTGATTTCATGTTGAAAGAGAAACAAATAGAATGGATTTCACATTTTTTTTGTACCCTGCCTCTTATCACCCATGCCATCTGGTTGCCTGATGTAATTCACTTTTTATTTTAGAATTGTATTCGAAGCAAGACAAGAACATGATGTACAGAAAATCCTTTAAGAAAAATATGAATAATTATAGCTTTATATTTAACAAACTAGTGCTAATTTGCAGAAAGCAAACATTTTATCTTAATGTATTTTCAGTGCGCTGATTGAATGTCTTTTGGATGCTGGAAAAACAAAAGAAGCCTCACAATTTGCAAAGTCTACAGCGGAGTTTATTAAAGCTTATGTCCCACGTATGTACAAGACGATCTTCTCCATGCAGGTAAAAATATACAGGTGTTCACTGGCTAGGGTTTCTGCTTCTAGTATAAATACATGGCTTGGCAATAAGAACATAAATTTAATAAAGTTCCCTGACGATATAAGGTAAGATTGCTAAGAACTAGCACCAAACATCTACCTAAACAGAATATAGATGACTAAAAGCTCTGCCTGTAAGTTTTCTGTGATCTGTGTGTTGCGGTTTCCTGCTCTTTGTTAATATATTTTAATTAGGAACTTGTCATACTCAGGTGTATTATAACCTTGTGGACAATGCGAAAGTGAGAAAAGAGGTCAAATCCAACACTGATCTTACAGCAATTTATAGGATTCAGAAATTAAAATAGTAAGTATCTTACTGTAATCTTTTATATTTGCAAAATTAAGTTAAAGAATGCAACTTACATTAATGCATGGAATTGCATTTTTTATGTATAAAAAAACTATATCAGAATCTTGTATTTTTGAAAATTGCAAATAATTTCTATTTTGGGCAGTCAGCATTATAGCTCAACACTAGCTCTGGAGCTCTGTGCCTGTTTAGGTAGATGTTAAAGATTCCATGGTACTGTTCGATAAGATAAGTGTTCCGGTCTCCTTATCAACAATTCCCCCAAATAAAATTGTTCATTCACTTCATGGCTGTTTGAGAACATTGCTGTGTCACAAAGTCACACAAATACAGTCACTCAATGTTACAGTATATCTTGTGAAGTGCTTTGAAACATCATTCTGATGTGAAAGCCACTGGACTAAATTATGTTATTGTTATAAAATACACTTTAAACCCAAACGAGAAGATAACCCCAAAGTAAATTTTAATTAACCTTGCTGGAACAGATTGTTAAATTATACAACCATCGCTTGATGGGTGCACTGTCATATCTCAATGATCCTAATCTTAAGTATCTTTGAGACGAGTACCATCAAGGAAATTAAAGCAGCATTCTCCCAATCAAATTTAAGTCAAAATAAAGCACGTCGAAAAATACCTTCCAATAATGAAAGAAGGTATAAGAGTTAAATATGTTAAAATGAATATATATGAGTAGTGTGATTTATGATATGATTTAAATCATGAGGAATGCATTTAGATAACTTGTTGGACAAAGAGATTTTTCCTCCATTTGTTAGCTAGATTTCAGTGTGGATTGTAGAATGTAATGATAATGTTTTAAACCATTGCAGTCACAAAGTACTGGACAGATATAAACCATTACAACTTATTATGTTCGCTTTGAAGATTTAAAATCAATGTTCATGAATAACACTCATCAGATTTTATAATTGCTCAGATTTATTTATTTAAGTGTCTAATTCTGTAATTTTGTGCAATTTTAGCGAACTTAAAACAAAGGAACAACCAAAAGACCTCTCAGATCAACTGACTTACATCTATCAGCTTTTAACAAATACACAATCTCAGGATAGCAGACCTGGAAGTTCTGACCGAAGCACATCGTCGGGCACTGGCCGGCACTCATCCAGTGGGAAGCACACACCCATTGGAAAGCACACACCCACTGGACGGTACACACCCACTGGCCGGCACTCATCCAGTAGTCGCCACACACCCAGTGGTCGCCACACACCCACTAACCGGCCGCACACGACGCCCCCTCAAAGACGATCAACAATATTTGGACGACAGCAAACATCTAGTGAACAACGGCTCACACTTGCTGAACAGCAGCTAACAGCAATCGTCCAGCAGCTTCCTCCAAGCAATAGGTAGGTTTGGCACATTTAACCTGATTTCTATTGTTATATTATTTCAATCATTCTTTTGACCATTTGACAACTTTTTGAAGGTCTTTGCACCATTTGTATGAAAACGTATTGGTGGTTTGGGCAATTTTAATTTTTATTTCCCTTCGATTCTAGCACTTTGCTCTATCTACAAATGTACAATATTGTAGTGATACCTTTCTTCAGAAAACAGATATTTATGAAGGATTACGCCTTCACTAGATTGTTATTATTAATGACGATTGCATATTTTTACCAGTTGAAAATGCATTTCTCCAAACGTAAAAGTGATGTAAAAGAATTTGTTCCCAGTGGCATCCAACTGTGTCAAAAATATATATGCCAGTATAATTACCTTTATTCATCTTCCTCCATTTAGATTTCCTCTACTAATGGAATTAGCTCGCCTTTCATTAGATGTAAAGAATCCTGAAGTGGCAGCAAGTTGCATTAATGAACTTAAGAAAGATGAAATGAAAGTAAGTAGCATGAACATATACATATCTGTACCATTTGACCAGTAGTTACGCAGGCAAATAAGTAACATATTCAATGTATAATAGTTCTCTTTTAAACATTTTAATTGTACGGTATATGAAGAGAATGCTGAGATAATTACTCTGCAGATCTAGATCAGAAGTGTAAGAGAATTAAGAGCCTAGAATTTATTGTGTCTTTTTATCTTCATTGATTTGTTTTCTGCCCAGAAACTGATGTCCTGTCATCTGTTGCTTCCTTGATACCTGTTGGATATAATAATAATAATAATCCTTGCATTTGATATAGCGCTTTTCACATCTTTAGACGTCCCAAAGCGCTTCACAGAATATCCCACATGTTGGTTTTAATTTTGATATGTGATAGAGGCATTCTGTTTGCAACACTATTTTTATTAACAAGAGGAAATACAAATCTAAAAAGTTTATTTGTGTATTCTGTTTTTGTATTAAATAAACTTTCATTTTGGTTACTGGTGTAGTAGGATAGAACATTGTCTTTCACCTCTCAGAACTAAGTTTAATTCAGTGAATAATTATGGAATTAAAGTCTGTTTTCTTTCAATGGTAAGGATTCTTAGTGAAATTAATGAAGGCTGAAGGTGACAGAAATACCTAGCAACTATAGTCCTATTAGCCTGACTTTAATAATTGCATAAGTGATGGAGTCAATCATCAGAAAGAAATGGAAAATTAGTTGTACAAAAATAATGTAATAAATGACGGTCAACATGTTCTGATCTTATCTGACAAAACTAATAAACTTTTTGAGGAGGGAACAGCCTAGATTGAAAAAGCGGAGCAATATGATATGTATATCTAGATTTCCAAAAGGTGTTTAACAAAGTACCACATGAAAGTCTTCCTCACAAAATGAGGTCACTGTAAATTAAGGGTAAGGTACGGACATGGATTCAAAATTTACTGAAGGGAAGAAGGCAGAGGATCATTGTTTGGGGAGTTAGGCAAAATGAGTGGCAGCATTATACAAGGTGCTTCAGGATCCATATTGGAACTATTCCTCTTCCTTATATATATAAATCAATGAATAATCTCTTCTTATTCCTGTTTTCCTACATTCCTAATAAACAATTTAAAATTTTAATTTTGTATAATTCTCAGCTTTTTTTTGTTCTACAGGATTCACGAACAGCTATTGAAATTGAATGCTTAATATGTGAACTAGAAATACAGAGACTTGGCGTTAAATCAGAAAAATACACAAAGAGTTTTGTGGAGGTACTGCAGCTTAAATATCTATATAGAATTGCATAGAATGTACAGCACCCAAACAAGCAATTTGACCACCTAGTGCATACTCCACACAAGTTTATACTCCACTTGACTCTCTATCTACTGTAATCCCTTTTCCCTTAATTATGTATAATTGTAATCGTGCTGTGAAGTACGGAAAAAATATGTGACCTATTTTGGCATAAGGGGAGAGGGTGAACAAATTTTACAACACAATACTGGTCAGCTCTTCCAGTGTTCTATTTATTGCATTTTTCTCCCACATTTGAATACCTGCCATTTTTTCCTCTCTCTCCTGAAGGTATGTTAATTGAGGTTCAGTTGGGTGTGTACACTCCGGGTCTCACCAAGTGGCCATTATTCATTAGCTTTGACAGGAGAGTTAGAGGCCAATTATGGCACCCCAACTGAAATCAGCTAATTCATTTTCTGATAGTTTGTATCATTAGTTAATCTGAGTACATTTTTTCACAGTGATAGTATTATTAGTAGTCCGTCTTGTTGCTGTTATGAACATGTTGCTACTGTACTACCCAAACCCAAGTGGCATCACAGCCTAGGCCTGGACTGACTAATGCAGATTTTGTAGGATTATAGACATTTTCTAAACTCTTATTATTATTGAATGGATATTTGTTGATTATTATCTTTTGGAACCATCCATGTGTCTTTACAATGGGATCTATTAAACACATCATATTATAACCCCCAATTGGACAGATCTCCCAATTATGTTCCCAATTGTGATATCTGTGAAGCTGGATCTACGGCACTACAATTCTGTCTTGTGGATTGCGGTATTTTATTGCTGGTTAGTGGGCTACTGATTTAACATTAGCAAGTATTCCTCTAACTGGTTTTCAAATGCTTCATAAACCTGGTTTCACAAATATTGTCATTGATAATGTTACAGTCTCCAGCACATTCAAGCACATTCAATTTGATCAATATTGAATACATCACTAAATTAATACCTTTATGATGCTTTCTTAGGACACCGTCCGGCGTGGAGGGCGCTATATAAATCCAAGTTGTTGTTGTTAAATACAATTTTCATTTGGAAGTTTTATACACAGAAAATGATTTTAAAATGAATTTCTTAAAACAAAATGGAACTTGAATTCTTTCATGTCCATATACAGCGCCTTGGGATGTCCTCCCAACGTGAAAGGTGGTATACAAATGTAAGCTTGTTGTTGTTGTTGTACAGCCATATAGCTATTAGGTAACAAATGAACCCTGCATGCTTAATGGTGATTTTGCTTTTATTTTGTTTGTGTTATTTTTTCTGCCACAGAAATGCTTGGGAGTAATTAGGAGATTGGATCAAGCTCTTCAAAATGCTATACGTGAGGGGGATCCTAATGTTATTCAGGTTGTTTGTGTGACCCTGTGGAACGTTTGTTTACCTTTGCTTCAACCTAGTTTGCGTAAACATGTGAAGAGATCACTAAGCAATGTGGCAAAGATTTTGGATGAGATTGACAGGTAACTAAAGTTCGAAGCAAAAGAATAGTTGTAGTAGGAAGTAACCGTTTGCTTATTTGAAATCACCATCGAACAGTCCCTAACGTAGTGTGGATTAGATGCAGTTTATATATTCTACTGCTGTACTTCTTCAAAAAGTAATGCAATGAAGTAAGAGATTTCTATTTTAGCCAACTGCAGTCAGATACCAGTTCAGAAGAGAGGTTTGGATGTTGGCCCAATTTACTATATTTGGTCTCATTCTTCCCAAATTCCCATCCAATTGTCTTCCCATCAAATTGATTCTAAAAGGAGTCCAGATTCATGGCCTCAATCAAGCTTCCAGTCATGAATTGCCCTTTGTGTAAATAAATACTATCTGTTATGTGTCCTGAAATTGCTTTTCACAACCTTATTACTACATCCTCTTGTTCTGCCTCCTTGGCATGAGAATGACTTGCAAGTTACAAAATTCATTTTGTCTAGGGCAGGTATCAAAGAATAAAGATGTTACCTGTCTAACTTACGTATGATCCATGGTTGTAACATTTAACCCTACGTCTCAGATGACACTGAACTATTTTGCTTTCTTAGTTTGATGTTATCTGAAACTGATAATATTACTTTGTAAGTGCTCTGATTAATCTTCACTATTCAATAAATATACAACATAGAGCTATCCCGCAATTTATTGTTTTGAATAAAATCCTTCTGGGATATCCTTTTCCTCCTCATCCTATGATATTATTGTAATCTAAAAAGGTATTGCTTGTTTCTTTTGCCCCCTGTCACATTGATGTTGATAACCTCTGCCTTTATTGAGCTAAATTACAAAATTTGCAATTTGAAATGCAGTATTTTACCCGAAAGATTGTTTATACTTTTTTTCTAGACCTATCAATTTACTAAAATGGGCATAAAGTGATATTTAAAACTCAGAAGTACCTAAAATGTAACTTTTTGTTGGTGAAATTTTTTTTATGTATGAAAACTCCACAGAAATATTCTGTTATATGGAATTTGGAAAAGAAATGTACTTTACTCTTTTGAATGTTTTGTAGTCTGTTGATAAAGCTTCGATGTCAAGTTCATATGGAGGTAGCTTACATTGAGGAAGAGGATGATCGGATAGATGTTGCAATGGAGCATCTTAAAAAGGCATATTATTTTGGTAATGGAAGCTCATACCAGGAACATATTGAGATAGCACTACATCGTTTGGAAATATCTTCAATGCTTTATGAAACTCCTGAAATCTTAGAGGACAAGGCAGCTAAGATTATTGAACAGGTAAAAGGCAAACAATGTTATGTCCCATGGAAAAGTTGTGTTATATTTAAAGCATTAAAGAAGATATTCAGCTTTTATGTAGAATGGTAGAAATTATAGTGCAGATGGATGTCATGTTCGCTGGACCTAATTATTCTAATTCCAATTTTCTGTTCCCTCCCTGTATACTTTTATATTTTTCTTTTTCAAACATTTATTCAGCTCCCTTTTAAATATTGTTATAGTCTCAGTGTCAACAGCTACACCCGGCAAAGCTTTTCATTTTTCTTGCAAGCCATATTTCTCTGTTTCCCTAAATGAAAGTTGACATTTCAAATCAATTATTATTTAGGAAATAGAGAAATGTGGTTTCTAAACATGAAAACTGAGCATAGTTTTGAGTGATTTTGTTCCAAAAAACACTTAAACTATGCTGAAAATTGTTATAATTTAAGGTATAAGTAGTGTTATATTTATTTCTGAATCAACTAATGGCCACTTATAAAATTTTTGACATAGGCCAAAAGAGAGACTGCATCGCAAAGTGTCCGAGAAAAGCGTTCTTTGTTGGTTAATGCTGGGATAACTCTGGCTCCCGATGCTTTTCAAATGGTACTGGATAGTGAAAATGAAGCCAAAGGTAAGGACTAACATTATTCTTTAATTTTATTAAGAAGTACTAGAATCTCTTGGCTGTGAATGCAGTACTACATTTTGTTTCACGAGTTCCCTCCATTAGGTGTTAACCTGGCTCATTAGTAGCACTCTCACCTCTGAATTAGAAGTTTGGGGGTTCAAGCCTTTCTTCAGGACTTTGAACTCATAGTCTAAGCTGGTACTCCAGAACAGTGCTGGGGATGAGACAGTAAACTGAGAGCCCATCTGTGTCTGTTCAGATTAGAAAATAAAATCTGTATGGTTTGGTTTAATCTATTTTGGAGCCTTCTATCTGAAGTTGTCAATAGATGTTTTCAATTGTTTTTAATTTGATTAAGTTAAATAGGTAATGGACTGGGTAACTAAGAAAAAAATATTCATTTTACAGATTGAAGGGATTCCCTTAAATTATAAGTAGCCAAGAACATTGATGTGGCTATATGTGATACTTATTTCTGCCAATTCCTGGCCAACAATTCCTCAAATAAAATTGGTCATTCACTTCATGGATGTTTGTGGGATATTGCTGTGCACAAATTGGCAGTTACATTCACAAAACAAATACACAATCACTTCACTTCACAGTATATCCTGACGTGAAGGCGCCATCCAACAACAACAACTTGCACTTATATAGCACCCTCCACACAGGGTGTAGCATCTCAGAGCATTTAATGCAAGGATTATTATATTATTGCAGTTTAAATCACTCATATTATTATTTGTGGAAGTAGAATTAACATTGCTATATTTTCAGAATCTGTAACTAATTACTACAATGTGTCTATCAGTTTCAATAAATCCAGATACTTCTGGTTTAATTGGTCAACTAGCTGCCAGAGCTCAGCATCACATTCATTGTGTTAAGAAAGTTAGAGGACATCTGGAAAGACTTGGAACTGTGAATGACAAAATGAGGTAGGGGAATGCTGTGCAACGGTAAATTATTGTACTGTATATATTTTCCTTTTAAATTAAGATGGAGTGAGAATAAATGGATTAGAACTTAGAAAAAAAAGTAAAGCAGATAAAGCAGTATTATTAAACAAAAACATACTGCAGATTAGAAGTTGCTGGGAACACTCAGCAGGTCAACAGCAGGTCTGACAAAGGGTCAAGTCAACCCGAAATGTTGACTCACCCAGTTCTGACGGAGGGTCATGGGCCCGAAACGTTGACTCACTTTCCTTTCTCCATAGATACTGCCTGACCTAACATTATTAGGTGTAGCATTTCAATAGAAAAAGATGGCAGCAATTCCCTTTGTACAGTTGATATTTAAATAATACTTTTGAGATCAATTATATATTTATTTCATTTCAGGCAAAATTTTGAGCTCTCAGTATCTTTCAGTCAATTTCCCTGTCAGTAGCAGGATTATGTTTTGTACCAAATAAGCATTCATTGTGGTTAAGCTTTTTTTTAATGAAAGAATAGAGAGGTTGAAAATAAAGTGAATCAACTAAATATCCATAACTAATCTGTCATATTTCTATAAATAAAGTCAATGTTGGCAATCCTGATGTAAATTTATGTATTGGTATGCTGTTTTCCGTAAATTGAAGACAAACTTGCGGTTTGTAATTAATTAAACCTAAATATCCTGATCCACAGAGTTAGACTTTGGGCAGATTTAGCTAAAGTTGCACGTAAGGAAGAAGTTTGGGATGTATGTCGTGCAGCTTGTCGATTTTGCTTATTATATGATGATGGCCGATGGAAAATGTCATATCCTAGTAAAGGTGAGAACAGAACTACAAGCTGTTTCTTTAAAGAAAATCTTTTAAAATGGACAAGATAATGCATTTCGTTAACACATGGATTTTTTTTTGCAGGAAAGGGAAAAACAACAGAAGACAGCTGTGCTACTAAGTTGTCTTCAGGAACATCACATCAGCAAAACCGAGCTTGTGCTTTTGAAAGGGATTTGATTCGACTCTTTGTGGATGTGAGCTTCATCAACGGAGAGGTAGGATATTCAAAGTCTATTTGGTTTGCCACCAGGCTATGATAGCATTGAAGTTATCTATACATGTATGTGTGTGTGCATATATATACGATTATAACAGCTGATTGATCAATTAAAAACAGAAAGATTAGAGGAATAGACTGTTGATCAGTAGGCAATCACTTCAAAAGATAATGGTGGATGAATGATGTCAAAAGAACTCATTTTTGCCATTAATTTCCATGGATGATCTTAGTACTGTGGAGTCCTGTAGCTCAGTGGTTAGAGCACTCGCTTTACAAGCGAGAGACCTGAGTTCAATTCCAGGCAGGGCGAAACCTTGGGCCAGTTTCCTTACTCCACACGCCTAATAATAATCCCTCCAAAACCAAAAACAATAATAAATTGGTCATTTTCAATCTACGACTGTTTGTGGGACATTGCTGTGCGCAATTGGCTGCCGGGTTTGCCCACAAATATATACAGTCAATTCACTTTACAGTGTGTTCTGTGAAGCGCTTTGGGACGTCCTCCCGACGTGAAAAGCGCTATATCAAATGCAAGGATTATTATTATTATTAGTAGTAATTAACACTTGCAATAGATGCTCTAAAGCCATTAACCCTGTTGAGATTATTACAAAACAGCACCTTCTTGAAGGTTTACTATTCTGAAAGTACCCACTACCATAAGCAGTCTTTAAGAACAAATTGACTTTTACAGGAGCAAACTCTTTAACACTTTACAGAATTGTAATCCTTATCATTTACAAATCTTTCTAATTATAACCTTTTTTATTTTTAATCAAGCTTATGTTTGTTCAGACTGGTCAGCTGAACTGGCCCTGTGTATTCCTATAGTGCTATAATTCCATGTTTAGATTCAAAATATCTATTTCTAGTATAGTGTTAAACTTTGCTCTCTGTTTATTTGTATTTCTACATTCTGAATTGTGAAACTAATTGTGAAATAGTATCTGATTTCCACTATCTAATTTCTTGACTGCTACTAATTTCATATATATTTATTAAGAATTTGTTCAAGTATGTTTGCACTAAATGTTAAATGTAATTGTTTTTGATTTAAAAAATAATTTGTGAATTGCTGACGTTTGGTTTAACCCAAATGTAAAGCTTGATGGTATTCTAATGATTTCAGGCTACAATCGCCTTGTTGAACAAAGAAGATATTCAGTATAACAATCGTCCCATTCCACCAGATGATAAAAGTAAGCATCCTAAAGGATACGTAGCCCCAAATCCAGAAGAAAATCCAGAATGGATCCAATACAGGTATTTCAAACTTAGTTTGATTTCTCTTTACATATTTTAAAAACTGTCAATGTATTATGTAGAAAATGACAGAGCAAGAAATGTAAAAATGTCTGTGGAGCATTTTTGTAGACTTCAAGTGATTCAGAAACCAAGAATATTCCCAAGAGTGGTCTATAAATGGTATAATGGGTAAAGGCACTGCTCATTTCAATTCAGGGACTCCAAGGTGCCTTAATGCCTCTGGGTTATGGAGGGGAAAATGAACTTGGTTTGTTACTCATGTATAAGTGAAAATAACATTATCATTATTCAATATGAACTAGTAGTTTACATCACTAAGACATTTCTAATTTGTAAATATGGACAAAAGTGTACAATATGCTGATCAATAAGAAAATATGATAAAAGTAATGTTCAGCCCTTATACTCTACTGTGTTCATTTAAAGAGATTGGATAGACTCTCTGTCTCAGTATGCTACAAAGAATTTCTTGCGAGGTGCAGAATTGGGAGTGGAATTAAAAGATCCATTGATAGTGTGCAATGCAGCAGTGTATCTCTGGAATTGTAATCATCATCTCTTAATTGCTGGGAGATACAGAGAGCTTGTTGATACTTTCCAGTCTTTACTTGATGCAATGAAGCAAACTGGACATTTAGGGTAAGTTTTAATTGTCGAATGATGAAGACTTTTTTTTCAATAACTTTTAAAATGGCATTAATTTATTTAAAAGATCTACACAGCAAATAACAAAGTTTAAAAAAAGTTTCATAACATATTTGTCAAATCTGGTAAAAAATTATGAATTTTAGTCAATAAATATCAACTATTTTTTGGCTATGTTAGAAATGTTTCAACCCAAAGACTGACATACATCATCTTTGTTACTACTAATTCAAATTGAGCTGTTGGTGTTGTCCTATGAAGAGGCAGCAACATTCTGTTTGTGTAATCGAAAACAACATAGCTGGTGATCGAAAGCTCCACGTCAGGAGAAGGTCCCAAGGCTGGACTGTCAGGGATTTAGACCCGAGAAGGGGATTGAGATCAGGAGGGGTGTAGGGCAGGGAGGGTAGGAGGGCAACGGTCGAAGAGTAGGGTCTTGAAACATACCTTGAAGGACCAAGGGAGGGAGTAAGGCGAACGGACTGGGATGGAGTTCCAAAGGATTGGGGCAGAGAGGCTTGAAGGCCTGAGCACCGATGATGGGGCGCGCTGGGCTGGGCGGGGGGGGGGGGGCGGGGACATGGAGCAGGCCGGAGCCTGATAAACAGAGGGAGCAGAGGGATCGATATGGCGTTAACAGGTCACAGAGGTAGGAAGGAGCAAGGGCATGGAGATGAGAATGAGGATTTTGAACTCTATCCTCTAAGGGATGGGGAGCCAGTGGAGCTGGGTGAGGGTGGGGGTAATAGGGTCACGGAATCTGGTGTTGAACACTACCTACCAAAAAAATTTTTTCTGTATTTGTAGGGAGACTATTCTTTTGGTAATGTTGTGCAATGCCTTAGCTCAGGGCTTGATTCAACCTTGGATCCCTAACCCAGTTGACAACATTGAGAAAAAAGTATCCGATAAGGTTCCAACAGAAAGTAAAAGGAAAAAATCACTGGCAAAGAGAACTGAAAAGCCAAGTGCTCCACAGATTCTTTCGGTTGAACCTGAAGGCATTCCTTATGTGAATAAAGCATTAGAGGTATGTAAATTAATTCAAGATAGTTTTCTCTAAATTTTAATCTTGAGGTGCTGTCCCAGATTAAAACATTTGTGAACAAATGAACAATGAACAAAAATTAACATGAACAAAATTGGGCATTAACTGACCAGAATCTCAGTATACATACAACTTCCAGTAATCTGCAAGTGTAACAATGAGGGCAACTGAATTTAATTTATGTAGGTTTTTCCTTAGCTACAATTCCAAAGTCCAAAATGTAGAGACATATCTTACCCAATTATAAATGCAAACAGTTATTTATATCAGTTATCTGGCATAATATGATCTTCATGAAGTTTTGTTATAACGTATCAGCATATTGTAATATTTAGAAGGTGAATGATTTATGAATAGCATGATTTCTTTTGGTATGAGTTCTTCGAGGCAATTCTTCATTTAATTTAGTGAAATGAATTATATAAAGAATGAAGGATGTTCAATACTCCTGTAAGGCAATACTGTTTGCTTTCTGTTTGCTGAGGTTCCTTGCTTATTAGTCCTTACTTATTATGCCTTAAGAGGCAAAACATATAACCTAAAATCACAAATTGCTGGATGATTGAAGATAAGCTTCACCTAAAGAGCATGCCTTTTCATAGCTAGTTGATTCTTACTGAAAATGTGACAATTCTATAAGAATCATAAACCCCAAACTGATAAAGGCATTGATCTCAGTTTATTTTAAAATAATTTGAGAATAATCGCATTATAACAAATACAGTGTGTTTTTACTGCAGGTCTGTGAATATGCAATATCTATCACAAACAGAACTGAATACACTAATACTGTTCCCATTGCTGTGAGACATCATATTCTGATCACTTGGGTCAGAGTAAAACAGCTTCTACAGCAGCAAGTTGGATCAAAGCTAGGAATTGAAGATGAGGTAAAATATTTTTTAAACTTGTGTGTTGATTTTGATGTATATCTTGAAGACTGATGAAGTTGGCTGGTGGATTAATTATACTCATGATATTATTCATTTCTGTTTCATAGAATCATAGAATTATACAGCACAGAAGGAGGCCATTTGGCCCATCGTGTCTCTGCCTTCTCTTTGAAACGAGCTATCCAACTCAATCCCACTCCCCCACTCTCTCCCCATAGCGTTGCAATCTTGTCCTCAAATAATTATTTACCCCAAATAATTAGTTTCTGGAAGATGTTAAAATCTTTCCCCGAATAATTAGTTTCTTGGAGATGTTAAAATCTTTCTCCCTGCAGCTAGTTATGTTATTGACAATATTTTTTAACTTTTTCAATAATTGATTCACACATTTGCAGCATTAATACTGCCTGTAGAGTTACCGTTCTAGATTTAGATGCTGTGTGGGAACAATATTAAGTGCATTAGATTCAGGCTACAGTTTTCCACAGACACGCCAATTATGTGATGAGTGGAACCCTCAATATTGCTACTCCTTTAAGTAATTATTTGAAAATAATTAATTCAACCTTCATATACATAATTCTCTGATACCAAGTGGATAAAGGCACACCCTGTGCAGCACTGGTTCAATGCACATCATAAGGTTGCAGGTTTAAATCCCTGACAAATGAATTATCTTTGTCAGATCAGTTCGGCATTATAATTGATTTCAAATTATTGAGTTAAGGAGTTAAAAAGTTAGTTCTATGCTCTTGAGGGTAATTCAAACACCTCTACCCCAGCCAGTGTGTAACATTAAACTTCAATATGGATATTCATTGTAGTTGGATACCATGGCTCACACATGAATAATAGCCACTTGCGCAAGGTTCTGAAGGATCACCGCCATTTGTAGAACCATACCTCACAAGAAGCAAAAAGGATTCAGGAGAGGAATAATAATAATAATAATAATCCTTGCATTTGATATAGCGCTTTTCACGTCAGGAGGACGTCCCAAAGCGCTTCACAGAACACACTGTAAAGTGAATTGACTGTATATTTGTGGGCGAACGGGAGGGAGGAAGAAGGGAGGGGAGAGGGGAGGGGAGATAATTGGACATTAAAAGCATAAAAAATCTCACTCAAAATTAGAAATTTTATCTTGCAGGGAAAAGCCTCCAAAGATTTTGAACCTTCAAAAGTGTCACGCCAATCTCAGGTCAGCTAACCTTCCCTTACTCTGGGGTATGTAAGGCATTGTCTAGGCTGTGAGTTTAGTTTGTCCTTTGTTTGTTGTCTCCCAAATCAGCAAAAAAGTTTATTTCACTGTCTAACTTTATAATTACAGGCCAACGTCATTGTCAACCATTTGCTTTAGTCATGTGGTGAAGTGTTTCCAGTTATTCCCTTTTCAAGCTCCCTCAGTTGCCTGTTTGGTAGAGACCATCTTGTATGGCATAAAGCCATAAAGGCAAGAAGGAAACTTGAATTTAACAAAACTTTTATGTTTTCTTTTTAGAATCGTGTAAATCAAAATAACTAGGTTAGTTGAAGATTTTTCTGTTATTATGTGTTGTGAAGCATAACCTAAACATTTGCTCACTTACTTTACAGCGTAATAAAGGCCAAAATCCAATGATGAGAGCTCTTGTTGCTCTAGAGATGTACTCATGCAACAACTTGAACCTAATGAAATTCAATGTTCCCAACATTTCAGAAGTAAGCAGCCTATTTATTGATTCTTTACATATTACAGAAAATTCAGAAATCAGTCAATGTATCTTGGAATGCAATAAATATTTTCTTATGTAAAACTACTGTTCATCACCCCAAAATGGTACCCTGCATGAAAGTGCTATATAAATGCAAGTTGATTTTTAATTATATTAATAATAATTTTGCATTTTAAATAATAGTGATTCTTGCCTTATTACGTCTTTGAGACATCGCAAAGTGCTTCACAAGATATACTGTAAAGTGGTTTGATTTTGTATTTTGTGGGTGAATTATGTGTGATTATAATTATAAATTTGTTATGTGTGCAATGCAGCTAAATATTTTTGGTATCAATTTATTGTGGTTTTATTTCCAGTTGTACATTGAGAGATGTTCCGATAATTAAATCTGAAAATACCTTTTTTAAAAAAAAAGCTGGGAAGAGAGGGTAAATTGATACCAGTTCATTGTGAAATTAAGAACTTCCATCAAGAAATATTCTTTGAAAAAAAAGCCTTGATCATAACAATCTAACCTTGATGATCACAATTTTAAATATCTGCCTTTCGCAATATAAAAGCTTTTTTTTAAGTTTACTTTTATAAAATTAAAGTATAATAATTAACAGTGCATAGTTTTATTACGAGAATCATTTTCTTTATTATTATAAACATTTTATATTTTTCAGATAAATAAATTAGTATCTAACTGCCTCTGGTCAGATAAACTGGTGGAGTTAGAAGCATTAACACGTATGATGCAAATTGCTTACACTGCTCAAAATTATGAATTAGTAAGTAAATGCGGCCAGAAAGCATTTAAACTGGATGGAATAACTATTAAAACTGCAGGCTTCAAGAAACTTGTAAAGTGAGTACAGTGTAGTTTTATGATTTAAAAATATGTTATGTTATGTTGCTCGTTGCCGAGGTTTCAGAGATCATGCAAAATTCCGTCAATTTAACATGCCTTTGCCTCCTACTGGATCGTGCCATATATATTACTGTGACTCCACTGGTTGATAAGATGAACAGATATTTGGTGCGTCCACTTGGTGCACTAGGTGTATAGTTTTCTCCAACCAGATGTTCAACTAGATGTTCAATCAATTCCTGCCAAAAACCCAGAAACAGTCTACTGAATGAGTTGAAATCCTCAAATCTCCTTGAAATAGTGCGACTGTATGTATTTTGTGGACATATCTTCCATTTGAAACTCAGATTCTCAGGAATAACTGTCAGTTATGTTGTGAAGAAACATTTTTGTGAAATGAGAAGTTAAAGGAAAATGTTTAGTAGTTCATGATTCATTAATTCATTTTCTTTCTGTTTCTATAGTTATAATTACAAAGTTGAACAAGAATTGCTAAGTGTTGCTGCCTGTTTACAAGGGCTAAGTAGCATGGATACTGCATTTGGAAGGAAGGAAATGCACATGAATGCAATGAAAGCATTTGAACAGAGTGCATGGTAATTTTATCTTGTTGCCAAAACTTTTTTCTTGAAGTTTTACATTTGCAGAAAGAAAGCTAGTCTTTAATACTATGCTGCATGTTCCATATCTAAACCATGATGAACAAGTAATTTACAGACTAAGTGTTTTTGTATTGTAAAATGTATCCCTTCAGTACAAATTATAATACAGGGAAACCTTGTTATAGTGCGGTCAGCTTTGAATAGTCACCCAGGCCCAGTATTATAACTAAGGTGCATTATTCTTCGAAGTAAAGGATATTTTGGTGCTGTAAAAATGTTAATTTAATTTTAAGTATATCTGGGGGTTTATTTTCAACTGAAACTACAAACAATGGTAGATGTTGTGAAGGAAGCAACTGTATACATTATTTAACTATGTTTATTCTATACTTGAGCTATGGAGAAAAAGCTGGAAATATCAGACTTGTCATGAATGCAGCCAGAAACTTTTGGAATTTCTGTCTAAGCATGATACCATCTCCAATGGAGAGAAAACTGTTGGAACAACCTATTAGAACCTTTCTAAATGCCATAAACACCACGTATGCCAAGGATAGAAAGGTATGGTGTCTGATGAATTTCTGTAACTTCTAATTTCATAATACAGTAATAATAAAAATAATATAATCCTTGCATTTGATATAGCGCTTTTCACGTCTTCTAGTCTCAAAGAGCTTCGCAGAATATACTGCAAAGTGAATTTACTGTATATTTGTGGGTGAAACAGTACCTTCGATGTGAGTTTACTTCCAAAAACATTGTTATTACTCATGCTATATTTTTAAATGAGCATTTATTGCAAAGACAAATGTTGTCATGTATGAAGTATGAAGTTTTAATTGCTTTACATTCTTACTTCAACCAATCAACAGTTTTAATTTGTGACTGAGCTTTCCACCACTTCACCCACACTTTCTAGAAATTCCTTCCAAAATTCCTCTACCTTAATCCATCTTTCTTTCTTTTCAGTGTCTGTCTTTCTGCAACCTACTTTGTCTTTGTAAAGTGCTTTCAAATGTTTTCCCTACAAGGAATGTGCAATATTAGTGCACTATGTTGTATATATGTCTCTTTTAGTAATGTTTGTTTCAATTTGTCCTGCAGATGGATGTAAATGAAAAACAAGATCAACAAAATGCACAACCAACAGCTGAACAGCTAGCACTTGAAGTTGTGCCAAGGCAATTAATATTTTGTAAGTGGAAATTTTAAGATTTTATGCACTTTTTCAAAGTAAAACATATTAATTGGCAACAGAAATAGATCTTAAAGTAAGAAGGGATGGGACCAAATTGTAACCAATCGTCATGCAGATCAGGAAGCTCCAAAGTCCAATCCCTGGTCCATGCTGAGTGAATGTATTTTGCTTGAGACAAATGTAGAGCCACTATGGTTGGCCTCAGAAACCTTGAGCAGGAAAGGAAGGAAAAGTTGGGCATCATAGCCAAATTTCACCATGTTCTAATAACCTACCAGTACTCAATTTCTGACAATGATGGAGTTGTTTTTCAATAAAAATAATAATAATAATCCTTGCATTTGATATAATGCCTTATCATGTCATTGAGACATCTCAAAGCACTTCATAAGATATAAAATTGATTGTCTGTAATTAGTAAGCGAAATACGGCAGCCAGTTGTGCACAGCAATGCTCCACAAATAACTACGGTGAGTGACCAGTTTTACTTGGGGGTCTGTTGGTCAGGACACCTGGAGAAATTCCCTTTATCTTTTCGAATAGTGCCATGGGATCTTTAACATCCATCTGAACAGGCAGATGTCTCATGTGAAGGTTTAATGTCTCATGTAAGGATGGCTCCTCCAACAATGCAGCGACTACCCCTCCCTCTCAGCACTGCATTGGAATGTCAGCTTACAATATGTGATTCCGAATCCTCATTTGGGGCTTGAACTCATAACCTTCTGACGCCGAGGCGAGAGTTTGGCACTGCGCCATCCTGACATATCCAAACCATGATGAACAAGTCTTATTAAGGAATTGTTAAGTAATAGTTTATTAAAATTTAGAGTATCTAAAGTATTAAACTTTTTTCAAGCTGGCGGTAATCCTGAAGATGATCTCACATTAAGAGCAGCAATGTATGGGCTTTTGTTCCACATTTATGCTGACAAAGAAGATTGGAAGGCAGCTTTAAAAGTTTTAGATGAAGCCATTCAAGACATGCCAAGAACTAAACATAAGCTGTAAGTAGAAATAAACCAAGAGTCTGAAATGCAGAGAATCAGTCCAAACACTATCTTTGATATTATCTTCTTTTTTCAATGCAGTTATTGTTTTCGTAATTAGGAATTAATTCCTCACCTACGTTTTACTTTTTTTATCTTGTCTGAAAATTTCATAACCCCAAATATTTGGTTTCCAATCTTGCTTGAGGCCACAATTCTACCAAAGTATATTAATACCAGTTTAATTTTAGTTGAAGATAATCCTGTAAGTACATCTACCTTTCTGCCCTAGAAACTGACCCAATCTCCAAGGAATCTAAAAATTTCCCTTCTGCACCAATTGGCAAGTAAGGCAATTACTGACTTTTTCTAATCTATCCAGTGAGTGGTTCATGGATTGTCCTGTGATTATGAAGTATTACTTCACTCCAGAATTGTACTCAAACTGTCTCTCCAAAATCTTAATGCTCCATGTTACTTATTCCTATGTCATTGGTTCGAAAATGAACTATGTTTTCGGATGTTCTCCCATCCATCCCAAATCCTTTCCACTAGCTTAGTTTGTCCATCTCCTCACATCCTAACTCACAAATGAAGCTTTTCTGTTTTCCTAAAAGAGCAGAAGCGTTAATGTTTAGACTATAATTAGGATAAGAATTGTTAGCAATGATTCTAAATATGCTTTATGTTATTTAAACATTGACACAACAAAAAAATCATGCTGTATTTTTCCTTTTAAGTCTGATCTTCAAGCATAGAATCATGGTGCATGTACGGCTTGGTCACAGTATCAGGATGGATTTGCAGAAATTAAAAGATGAAAGTGAACAGTACTTATCTTCCATGTGGCGCCGTGTGGTCGTTTTCTCTAACAAAAGAACAGGCAAGATATCTTGCTATCAGAAATCAATAGAGGCTTTGGAGGTATGTTGAACATCTATTTTTCATCCAAACAACTTATATACTACCTCAAAAGCTTTTTACTCTCTTTAAAATTCAATTAAACTTCTGTTTACTAAATTTAATTGCATTATGAATTAGTTTCCGTTGAAAAATCTGAAAAAGTATTCACGTGTATTCGTTTTGTTTTCTTATTCTTTGATTGGTGGCTCTCAGAAACCAGAAAGTAATTGGCAGAAGGTTGACCATCTTATTGAGTTTGCTGAATGGCTATATTCCAATGATTTCCCTGAAAATGATGTTCTCTGCCTCTTGGACTGGGCAGTGGATCTACTGCTAAGCATGAAATTATGTGTGAAACCCAGGGTGGAAGAAGGTAAGCTGAAGGTTTTGAATTAAAATTTTGATTCCTATCCTTTAACAGAAAGTACATACCGCTCACCACTCACCAGGTGTGGGCAGGGAATTTTGTCATTACTCCAAAATCCCCAGTGTTAGGGCTAAATTGCCATATTCAGGAACTCATCTTTTAACATAAAATGTGCATATATTTACCTCAGCTTTTCTTTAAACAAAATCTTCTCCAACTTCGAGTGTGAAAAAACGATTCAACAAAATATCTGAACAGATAATTTTGATTGTTTTAAATAAATCTCATATTACTATGAGATTTTTATTGACCTTGTTATAGCAATGAGAATAGTAATATTTTTGTCTAGACTTTAAAGTGAAAAAAAAGAAATTAAAGAGCAAGCATTCACAAGAAAAACAGAAGCTGGAAGAGCAGAAACCAGAGAAGAATCCTGAACCAGAAGATACAGGTCTGTTGATAAGTATAGAAGAGCGATAAGTAGAAAGGTGTGGAGACATTACACTAATTTTTTTCACTATTGCATATATATTACCACTTATATAGTCCCTTGACTCCTCCCCACTATCTGTAGTTATGTGGTCAGCCTCTACGCCCCTAATTTCTGGAATTCTCTGCCTCGCCCCCTCTTTGATATTGTTTACACTAACTCTCTTACCTCCACAAACTCCAGACCATTCAGAATTCTGCAGCTCACGTCCTCTTCCGCAGTAGGATCCACAGGCTTATCACCCCCCATCCTTGTCCAGCTCCACAGGCTCCCATCCTCTAGAGATTCGAAATCAAGGTCCTCATCCTCACTTCTAAATTCCTTCACAGTCTTTCACTACCCACTTCTGTGACCTTCTAAACCCTACCAATCCACTCGCTCCCTCTGCTCAACAGGCACTTGCTTGCTTCACATCCCCCGTCCTGGCCATCTCACCATCAGTGGTGGAGCATTTGGCCTTTATGCCCCACTCTTACCTCACCTCCTTCAAGGTCCATTTTAAGGACCTTCATTTTTGATTGCTCTTTCGGTCATCTTCTCCAACCCCTTGTCGCGCAACCCCAGCTCAGATACAAACCCCCAATTGTCCAGTGCCTTGAGATGTCCTTCCGACGTGAAAGGTCCTATAGAAATGCAATTTGTTGTTCTTTATATGCCATCTGCAACCCTATCACTTCGGTGGCCATCACCTCCCTCTTCTCACTTGCTTGGGATCCAACCCTGGTTCTGTATATTAGTCCAAGACACTATCCTGGGTGAAGGGCACTATATAAATGCAAATTGTTGTTTTTGTTGTTTAATTAAATGGTTTTATCTTCTCAATATGTTATCTGAAATTTAAGTCCTTAACTCTTTAATTACATTAAAAACATTTGTTTACTTTGATGCTGAAAAGGTGCCTCAGAAAAGGAAATAATTCCCTTGGAGAATCAGGCACAGATTGGTGTACAGAATATCGACCCGAATTTATCCTTAGCAGATCTACAAGATGTGAGACAACTACAGACACTCATTGAAATCCACACATTAATGGCTATAATTTCAAGCCGGGCTTCAAGCCAGCACAAAAAGTACTGCTTAATGGCATATGCTTATGTTATGTGTATTTGGCAGGTGAGTACCAAATCATTAATATTTGGGAATATATTTACAGATTTAATCTTTTACTTTATGAACTTTTGTTTTTGTGGCTTTTTTTTATTTAATCCATTGAATTCATCCCACCCCATAACAATGTTTTCATGCTGGAAAAAAAAAAGTTCTATTTAAACCTACAACTACATTTCACCAATTTTTAATTGTTTATTTTTCCTCATAACAACCTTAGGCAACATTGGCAACAGCAGGATCAATTATTAAAGAACTAGCAAAGACTGCTCCCCCTTCCCCTGATTTGCTACCATCTAGTAAGTCAACAAAGAAATCAAAGAAAAAGGATCCAAAAGAGGTAATGTATATTATATTAATGTATATTAGATAGTTTTTTTTAAAAATAGAAATATGTCTTAATCTTTTTCTTATAGGCTTCTCTTGTATTTTCTCCAATTTGTTTATACTCTCTCTAATCTCTCTCTAACATTGTTGGGTATCTGATTCAAGCTCTATTGGTTGTGTGATGCTAAAATGAGTTTGGGCCCTTCCTGCAGTAAGGAGACAAATAGGCAAGAATTGTTAGTGGGCTATTCCTGTACACCATTTAGGGACAGTTTTGTAATAGCGTTTCCAGAAACCTTGGAACAGTTGATCACACTCTCTCTCACCTCTGAGTCAGAAGATTGTGGTTAAAGCCTCACAATGTAACTGATCTTATTGACTTGACTGACACTCGAATGCAATGGTGGGAGAGTGATGCATTGTCACAGGTGCCATCCTTCTGATGAGACCAAGATTCCGTTTGCCTATCCCAGTGGAGGTTAAAGAGCCTATGACCCTGTTTGAGAAGAGAAGGGAGTTCTTCTTGGTATCCTGACCAACAACCACCCCAGATAAAATTAGTTATTAATTTCACTTCATATATGTAGGACCTAAGCAGTGCCAATTTGCAAGATCCTACATTGTGCAAATTGGCGCTGTTTTGTGCCTACAAATACACAGTCACCATACTTTATAGAAAATCTGTGAAGCGCTTTAGGATGTTTTAGCATGATAAGACTTGATATAAAATGCAAGGATTATTATAATATTATTATGCTGCTCTGAATCTTAACTAATTATTTTTGTTTGATAGACAATCTCTCATGTTCGAGTGAGACCAAAATTGAAAGAGAATGCTGAATCCATGCCTTCTACTTTTGAGGAGTGGGCAAACTATGATTGCCCAGATGAAATTCGAGCCATCTTTAAGACTTGCTCAGATTGTAGTCTTATCAACGCAAGTAATATTTTGAAACCTGTAAGTTTTGGCTCAACATTTACTTTTCTTCAAAACCTAAAACTTTTCTAAGTCTGCCTAAGATTTGAATACTGTTCCCAGATCTGGAGGATTTTTTTTGTAATGTTGGAAAGGATACAATATTTTCATGAATGTAATACAATAATAATAATAATAATCCTTCCATTTGATATAGCGCTTTTCACGTCGGGAGGACGTCCCAAAGCACTTCACAGAACACACTGTAAAGTGAATTGACTGTATATATTTGTGGGCGAACGTGGCAGCCAATTGCGCACAGCAATGTCCCACAAACAGTCGTAGATTGAAAATGACCAATTTATTATTGTTTTTGGTTTTGAAGGGATTATTATTAGGTATGTGGAGTAAGGAAACTTGCCCAAGGTTTCGCCCTGTCTGGAATTGAACTCAGGTCTCTCGCTTGCAAAGCGAGTGCTCTAACCACTGAGCTACAGGACTCCACAAATATATGAATACAACTTTAATAAGACTGGTTTTTTTTTTCCTGTTTGAAAGACATACAGTTTATTCTACATTGATTTACTGGTTAAGGAGCTGCAAGCCTTGTCGTACAACCATTTAACCTTGCCTGTCCTTCAACTTGGAGAAATAATAGCCTGTGACGTGTTGAATAACATGAGTCTTTCTGACCTCTACCATTTTAGGTAAATATATGATTTAATTCACAGAACACAGCAATTTAATTTAGTAAAATATCATGTATGTTATCTCCCTGTCTGTGCTGAAACCAGATCATAATACTTGACCTTATGATAAAGTAAAGTAATATTTTCAGAGTATGTTTTCATTTGCAGAGCTCTTGTACTGCCTTAAAATATTTGTAGTCTTTCATATTTACATTTCATTTTTGTAAATATCATAAATAAAATCTTTCCATAGGATTGCCCAAGTGTGCATAGAACTGAACCTAATATCTGCTGCAGAGTACCATGAGAGGGTACCTGGAACACAGTTTATCTATGATAAGGAACGAGCTAAGTATGCTGGTTTTGGTGTTTTATACATCTAGATCATATCACTTTTCCAAAGTATAACCAACTGAAAAAATGTATATAACTAGCAGAACAAATCAAGTTACAGTAACAGAAATGAAATAAAATGCTTACTTTTCAAAGTTGATTCAATATTGAATTTACTATAGCATATTATATATTGTAATCTCCATTCATCAAATTAATTTTGTACTTTTCCTGGTATAGTATAGAATCTTTTAGTTAAAAATGGACTTTTCTCGGGTATTTTTGGATTTTTAGACGTGTTTCAGTGCCTCTATGGGAAATCAAATGGCATTCACATATGTATGGTACATTTTATTTATATGCACGAAATGTATAATTCCCATTGGATTTATAATTTCCCCAAGTACGGAACAATTATTGAATGCTGAAATAGTTAAATAATATTATTTTGAAGGCAATATGAATGGTCAGCAGAAATACTTTTCTTAAAAATGCATTTAAAAAAATTCATTACAAATCATAAAAAAGACTGATTGTTTTGAACTGAAATCAAACAGTAAACATATGTATAAGTTAACACTTTTTTCAAGGGTTCGTCAAGAAATTGCTAAATTACAAGATGAAAAGTCAGAAATTCCAGAACAAAATATACAAGATTCACATGAACACTTGTCTGACAATCAATCCAAACCAAATGAGAAAATGGTGAGACAACTTTAAAACAATGTTTTAATCACTATAAGTGAAGTGCTGACTTGGCATTATTTTAAGAAAGTTATGAGTAATGTTCTTGGTGAATGTGGTTTTGGGTGTGCCTAGTAAACTTTTCATCCCTGGGATAACAGATCAATGGGATGAAAATCTCTTCTATTTGTTGGCTGTAATGACACAATTTAAAATGAGTTTGGGATTTTCTACCCACCAGTACATTAGTGAGTGTGATTCACAATATAAAATTGTCCGTAAAATTAATATCCCATTTAAAAAGACAAGAGGGATGGCTATTGTAGAATTGAGAAATGGTGTCAGTGCTGTCGGAGTCCTGCTTTGACCTCGGACCAAAGCACATTATTAGCAGAATAGAGTGAATGGCTCTGGATGTCCATAATTGGGTAAGATTCCTTTTCCCAGCAATAATATCTCTTTAATGAGCACAAAACTTTTTTTAAAAAATGAAAGTCAGATCATTTTGAGAAAAGCTGTTTACAATTTACCGAGTTTTTGTGTTTCGATTGAGTATTACAAAGGAAGTTTTATCTCTTAATTTGTTGTAGAATATGGATGTTCAACCTCTGGGATGTTTGGAAAAAAGTTAAGCGCAGTTTCTGAAATAGATCTGTGGATTGATAAAGCAGAAATTTTACTGGAACTTGGTTTCTACCAACCTGTTAGATTACTGCTAGCAGAAGCTCACAAGGCTGCAAAGGTTAGTGTATTGTTGGGTCCTGAACTATTTAGCCGTCTTCTGAACAATTTCATCTATAAAATAAATCATTGCTAACTTTTAAAATGCAACTGGTTTGGATTATTCATAGTAAATTATAATAATAATTCTTGCATTTGACATAGCGGCTTATCATGTCTTCGAGGCGTCTCAAAGTGCTTCACAGAATATACTGTAAAGTGAATTGACTATATTTTGAGATGCTACGTACTTGGAGATCAGGGGTGTTTATGCAGAATGTTTCCCTGGGAAATAGTGTGGAAAAGGCGATATCCATGATAGAGAAGCATGGTTTGGGAAGGAGCAGACCTAATGCTCTAGCAATTTCTCATTCCATGTTTTTTAAATGTTTTAAATTACCATAGACATGTATTTTGAGCTTTCCAATTATTTTCATACCTTATCTAACCATTCTATAGTTACAGAAAGAAATTGTTCAATTATTCATACATTTTTTGACAAAGGAACTGGGAAATAAAGAAGCTGAGGGTAGAAGCTTGTACCTTTTAGCAGCGCTGGCCAATCGTGAACTGAACTTCGGTCAAGCACAACACCTCCTGGAAGAGGCTTATAAAATTGGAGGAAATGAATACTACTGGTACAATATGATCGCTTGCATGATAGAAGCTACTGTGGGAAAGAAACCCCAGGATTATCATGAATTGGTAAGATTTGAAACCTGAATAATAAAGAAAATAATGATCATTATTATATGAACAGATGACTTTCTTCAATGAAACCTCTGGCATCTTGATGTTTGTTAATCATCAATATTTTTTCTTTATCTGCACAAACAGTTTGGTGCAAAATTGGGTGTTTCAACAACAGATTTAATATCTGTTAAGAAACCATAATTTTTCCATCCTAAAGACTAGTGTTATTTTCTCGCCTGCCCTGGCTTTGGCTCAATGGTTTCTGAAGCAAGGTCCCAAGAGTTTTAGTGATGCTAACTTCTTTTCCCCTCATGGCCCTGCTTGTTTTGGAGTGCATTTGAATGCACAGTTGGTCGAACTCTTGCATCTGAGTTAGTAGGCTGTTGGGTTAAAACTCCACATCAGGATGTGGAACTTATATAGTTTATGCTGACACTCCAATACAGTGCTGGGGAGGTACTGCATATTTGGAGGTGCCATCTGTCGGATGAGACGTTAAACCAAGCTTGTTCAGGTGGATGATAGAGATCCCATATTATAAAGGCACTCTTCAAAAAGTTAAGGGAGTTTATTCTGGTATCCAAGTCAACAATAAAGTTGATTGTTCACTTTATGGTTATTTGTGGGACATTGCTGTGCACATTTGGCTGCCATGTTCTCCCATGACATACACAGTCAAACACTTTCAAGCACTTCAAGATTAGTTTTGACATGAAATTAAGGATTTATTAAGGTATGTAAGTTAATATAACTAAAGCATGAGTAGGTGCAAAGTGATTTTAGATACCCATTCCGTTTTTCTGCATCTTCACCACATCACCTACCTCTGTGTCTCTTATCTCAAGCCTGACAATGCTGAAATCTCATTAATATATTTGTCACCTCTACCTCTACTTTTAAAATGCCTTCCTTGCTGTCCTCCCCTGCTCCCCATGTACAAGTTCTAGTTCAAAGGCAAGGTAGCCCTTAGACTGTAAGTTTACTTTGATAGTGGAAAATGCTTAGCATTCACCAGGAATGTCTGATCCGATTCAAGGTAAATCAATAATGACATTCGGAATGTATTGCTTTGATCATTTGATACACATCTTTTTGATTATTTCAATGTACTATATAATGCTTTTTATCAATAGAACAAATTCCATTTGTCTTGTAAATAATAATCAAAATGTTTTCTACATTAATAACTGTCTCCATTATTATATTTCTAGGCAAGTAATTTCTTAAAACAGGGCATTGCAATGTACCAGGATGTTCTGGTGGAAAAACCTAATCGAATTCCAGTTCTTAAATTCATGATTGCTTCATTGGAAGCAAGGTAAGGGTTAGAATCATAGAATTATAGAAATTTGCAGCATAGAAATGCACAGTGCAGTTTAGTAAGGTGAGGGAAACTGCTTTAGCACTATCTACTGAATACAGGGTTATTTCACCTTCACACTGTTTACCAGATTACTGTTAGATTTAGTAGTAAAATAGGAACCAATGGGAAAGCATGCCGATAATGAACACACATAAATGCCAATGTAGCACTCCTGCAGAAAGTGAGTCTGAAAACTGTTAAGAATGGTTCTCTATGGCAGTACAGCGGATATTGATGACAGTTGATAAATAAAGAAGATTTATTCAGGGATTCTGGCAAGATCCAAAGCAATGGTGTTTATTTTTTTTGGTCAGCTAGGTGCCTGACACATGCAGAAACCATGCTTAAGATTATCCAAACCAAGCTGAGATTTCCATGCATCCCACCTACACTTGGAAATCCCAGAGATAGATTGTTGGAATGGAATATGCAATATCTCCCTGGAGAGATGCATCCTGCTTACCTAATTCCAGAAAGTATTTGGCGCAGGTTGGCAAGAGCCAAGGCTTGTGGACCCTAGAGTGTGCTTTGGGGGACTGCTGGAGGCTATCCTGCTAAAACCACATAGCTTGCCATTGATATTACTGTCTGGCAAGCTTTCCTGCTGCTTGTCCATCTAGGCCCACCTCACCCGTTTTGGGTTTAGGCTTGTAGGGTTAACAGGAACTGAATGGGATGACTCCCTGCCCCCAGTGACTGGTCTGGCCTTCCAGGTCCTGCCGATGAGCCAGGCTGGCTGTGCTGTCATTAGCAGTGTGCTGGAATACTGCAGACGCTCCTGGCTTAGGAACCAGACTACTGAGACCGCCACAGAGGGCTGGCTAGAATCTGACATTCTGTTGTCAGGCATGTCACCCAGGAGCCAATTCAGCTCCAAGGAAACCTCGCTTAAATGAATGCATCTGTATTAGGTTTAACCCCTATAAAATTTTAACTGATAAAACCGTTGGTGATTTTCCAAAGCAATTTCAGGTGAAATTAAATGGATACAGGACCTCATTTTTAATGACGATAAAAATCGCGCTCCCAAATTAGCTTGCTTTACTTCTTTACTGCATAACTGTGCATACTGTTTAAAGGTTTTTTTTCATTTGTAGGTTGACCATCATTGAAGTAGAAGCCATAAACAGTTCAAGTGGCTTCAATTTAAATAAAGATCAGAATATGGAAAGTCTGATCTCAGCCTGTGACCAGTTGCACCAGTCTTCACAAACTTTAATTCAATTTGGGTACAAGCAAGAAGCAGTGGGCTTTATGGTGGAACATGTCAAAATAAGAAGGTAGGTTTACTTGACCCCCAGCCGATTAACACAGCTCTTCCAAATTGCAGAGAGTATGAAGGAAATTAAAAGGAAAAATAAAATTGCTGATTCAAGTGTTCGCTTTTCTAAGAAGGGTCACATTCACACATACATAATAATTTCAAGTTTTTTCGCTGAGCATTGCATACTCACATTTTTTGTTTTTGCTGGGTGCAGAGTGAGAGTAGTGAAGAAGAACAAAAAAACTAAAGTTTATGAATTAGATCCTAGGCCATATTTGTATCTGAATAATGTCTATTCAAACTCTTTTCCCTTGAAGAACACTTGCCAAATACAGTGAAGATGAGGAACCGAAACACAGTCACCTCTTAGCTGCATATGAATTGATGGAAAAGGCCATTATAATTGAAGAAGACATCTTCAGGGATGTGATGAGCTTGTTACCCCTTACTGAGGTAAAAAAANGTTACTTGGAAACCAGAAATTAACTTGTATTTTTATAGCTATTTATCACTATCAAAGTATGGATTCAAAATTGGCTCAAGGGAAGGAAGCAGAAGGTCTTTGTTTGGGAAGTTAGGTCAAAATGTGGAGTACCTCATGGGTCTGTACTGGAACCCTCTTGTTCCTCGTATATATTCATGACCTGGATTCGTAGACTCAGTGTAAGATAGTTATGTTTCCAGATGACACCAATTGAGGGGGAAATGTAGAATCTGAGCAAAGATCCTACAAAGAGAGTTTGGTAAGGTATGGACATGGGCTGAGACCTGTCAAATTAAGATAAATGGAAGGTACTACACACAGGAAGCTGAAAAAAGCCAGGGGTGTTGGTTGACTTATAGCTCACTGTGTTAAGAGTGTGAGGCAGCAATAAACAAGCAAATGCAATGTTAGGTTAAATTAGTTGAGTTTAGATCCCCATCATACTCAAGCTGTACTATGCTCTGATTAGATCACACCTAGAGTATCGCACACAGCTCTGGTCATCATGACATAAGGGGGCTGCCCATACCCTAAAGTAGAGGAGAGCAATGAGAATGATTGTCAGTGATGGAGGAATGAGCTATGAGCAATGATTAGACAAGGAGGGTTCTTCAGTCTTGAGAACTATCCTGCTTGTGGGAGGAAAGCGGGGTCTGTTTGAAGTTGAACTGGCTCTCATGACAGTATAAATCCTCATAGAAACTTTTTTTTAAGTTGGGCTGTAGCTAATTTATATTTCGGTGATGTCCAAAGTATTCACACTGTCTGATAAACTGCTAAGGGACCAGTCCCAATTAATGTGGGTAATACTACTATAATGTTCAATTCATGGCTCTTTGTGGAAAATTGTTGTATAGAAATTTGCTGTCATGTTTGTGGACAACTACACAGTGACTACAATCAACAGTATAATCCTGTAAAGCACCTTATGAGATTTCAGTTATGCGATAAGGCAATGTAAAATCATGATTATGCAAGGGTATCAAATGCAAGGATTATTATTAAAAAGAATTATATCATTCTAAATGAATACTAATGGAAGATAAAAGCTAAGTTATTTAACTTGAAATCCTGCCATTTAAAAAAAACTTCTGGTACGGTTATTTCGGTGGTAATGATAATTACACTATGGGTAATCATGAAATAAAGTATCATTAAGTGACAATGAAGAAAAACTAGCCAAACTACAGTAAAAAATTAAGTAGAAACAAAAGTACTATAATTTTTGTATTATGTCACTTTTAAGGAAAATACACATTTGGAGAAAATGCATCTGTCTGACTACTTTCTAGCCTATATAAAACAAACAACAAAATTACATTTGTATAGCGCCTTTTACATTGGGAGGACGTCCCAAGGCGCTGGATAGACAGACTTTTGTAATGGAGCTGGAGGTCGGGGTCAGGGAGGGTGGAGGGCAGGGGGGGAAGCAGGGCAATCAAAAGCACAGTCAAAGTGGAGGGTCTTGAAATGGGTTTTGAAGGTGGCAAGGGAGGGGGTGAGGCGGAGGGACTCGGGATGGAGTTTCAGAGGGTAGGGGCAGAGTGGCAGAAGGCCCACCTACCAATAGTGGGGCGAGCAAGGCAGGGGACTTTTGAAGCAGGCCGGAGCCTGCTGAGCGGAGGGAGCGAGCAGGATGGTAGGGGGTTAGGAGGTTGCAGATGTAGGGGGGAGCAAGACCATGGAGGGCTTTGAAGGTGAGGACCAGGATCTTGAACTGTATCTTAAAAATAAATTGTACAGGGTGCAGGTTTTAAATAATGTTATTTACATTGTAAATGTCAAACTTTTTTTGTTACATGTCTTTTTTAAAAAAATGGTTTGGTTTATTTTTCTTCACACTGTTCATCTGTTACTTATTTTTAGGTTGCAACTTTAAGTATGCCTGTGATGGAGAAACTGGCAAATCTCAAGATAACCTTTGCGGAGTTGGTTTTGGATATGCTTCAGTTGGTAACTATTCAAGAGAAGAAGGAAGCGGAAGCAGAAAGAAAAAAGAAATTGATGCAAACAACCATTGAAGAATTCATCCGTTCCACTCCTGACTACACACCTATAGAAGAGGTACTCAGAAATGGCCTTAACATATCCTTATAGGAATTTTGTGCGGTTTACTGATATAGTAAATGTAAGATATATACTGTATTATGTAAGTTAATTGTTATCTTAAGTGCTTAAGCACTACGAAACTTAAAACCTTGTGAATATTATCTGAATTGAGTACCTAAATTGAAGTAATTTTCCTTTTTTTTATGTACTAATAAAAATCTATAATATTTAGGACAAGGCACAGAAGTAATTAAATAAATTTCAGTTCCTAGCTTTATATGGTTTTACAATTATTCAAATACAGTGGAAGTTGCTTTAATCAGATGCCGGACACCGGGTAAATCAGATAAAAGGCCCGTTCCCGATTCATTTGTATTCCCTGCTATTTTAAATATGCCTGTTAATTTGGCACCACTGTGTCAAATCACTCTGTGTCTCGCGTGTGTCTTGCGTGGCACATTGCGAGGTCTGATCTGCGGTGGGATAATATTGTAACCAAAATGTATTTTGAAGTAATTTATGCCCCTGATTGTTTGCAGGAATGGGTAACCATATCCAAGGTATTGGGACAAAATGCTCTGTTACAGCTACTGAGTAGTAGTCTTCTCAAGAGTGGTTCATCAGAAATAAAAACAAAGTCTTTCTTTCTTACTGGAAAATGTCTAAGGTGGTTGGCTGTCCGGTTAGATCCAATTCATTTCGGCAACATTTGGGTACAACACATGAAGGTAAACTCTTGAAATGTAATCATTTCTAATTGGGAATCTCCTTATTGTTTGAAACTCCTGCACAAAATATTTATATTTCAAGATTTGTTTGTGTTTTGTTGTAAAGAATATCAACTGCACAGGGATATTTAAACTAAGCAATACAGAACAGTTTTGTATTGGGGAATCCAACCGTTGTGACTCTAAAATGCTAGCTGCTGTGTTCAACATGTATTTGAATTGATGCAGAAGGTCAAATTCAGAATTCCTGCAGTATACAGAAAAGATAAACACTATGCTTCATTAAATTGAAGGTGGGATGGAAATATTATTTCTCAGTTTTAATGTAAGACTCACTGTACAGTGCAGTAGGAGTAAAGTGCTTCAAGATAACAAGTTCAGAAAGATTCTTCCTCACAATTACCAGTTCCTGATCATATCTGAGCTTTTAGAGGAGTTCATTGAGGTAATGCAATTCTTTTCATCAGAGGACACAAAAAAAATCTGCAATTCTCATGTTTCTCTTAGTTGAACTATGGTCCTGGCTGAAACTAGGGAGTAAGTTTCTCAATTTAGACTGGTATCTACCAATTAACACCGGAAAGGGCAGCTCAAAAAAAATAAAGAAATCAATTTACACAAGGGAGAAAATAACTTTGTTTTCAACTGTTATCTTCGAAGTTTTTGCTCCTATTTTTCTAATTTTGTGTATTATCTAAAACGGGAAATTATAGGAGAATTTGAAAGCATTGAACAGAGTGTTTTTTCGATCTGATCATTTGCTTGTTTAATTGAAGAAACATACAAACTGATTAAGGTATATTCGTGAACAATTCTGAAAATCAAGTATGCTTACAAATAACGGATAGATAAAAATAAATATTATAAAACTGCCAAAGCTTTCCATGTCAATTAAATATTTTTTTACTATTTTTTACTTATTTCTGTCTTGAAAAAACTATCCTCTTCCACTGTGAACATTGGAAGCGGAAATAACTTTTTAATAAATGATTTTCATTGGCTCAAATCGAACTAAATGGATTTGTTAAATCAGTTGGAAAAATGATTGATGTGGTTGCATCATATATGTCATATACCTATCATCGTACAGGTAAACCCATCAATCTTCTGTGAATTTTCAGTCTCAACAGTGGAAATGGGGACCGAAAATGAACAGTTTTGGTGGCCCGGAGTCCTAAAAGCATCTGGTCAAATGATCTTGTACAGTCCAGTGATCCTGTCCATTGTTCATTAAAGCAAATAAACTCATCCACTAACACTTTGATTTACCTGAACAAATAGTCACTTGCAGAATAGAAAATAAAGTTTCAAGGTACAGTAAAGATTCAATAAGATGTTTGAATTTAGCGTTACATAGGACTGGAAAAGAATTTGCAGGTGAGAAGGTGCTGTTAGGAGTCAAGCAGGAGAGTCTCAGGTTAGTATTCCATGTCTGACAGTAATCACTCAGAACAGCAATTGTCCTTAAATCATGGAAGGGGCAGAGAGAGAGATAGGTTTGGGTTTCAAGTGGATCCTATGCCTGCGGATATATCACTAAACTGGAGCATATAGAAGGACGAAAGATCAAGACCTGATGTTCAGTACACTCATTTGTGACAAAAAATGTGTATATTTCCTCTATCCCATAAAAACCTCTAATTTATGTCATTATTGTAATTACAGATTTGGGCTCTAACTATTTATTATTAATGTAAATAATTTAAGGTTGATGTGAAGGACAACAGAGGTCATTTGTCACACCACATAGATGAGGAAAATGAGGAAGCAGAAGAGAAATATGATGATTTACCAGTGAGTACGCAGCAACTGGCAAAATGTGTTGCTAAAGCCAAGCAATTGAAGGTACTAGCACTTTAATTTGGTTGTACTTTATTGATATTTCTAATTAATCATTGTGAATAGTTTCATAAAGTTACTGTTTAGTATTATTCATCTGAACAAATGTAAGTTAGGAAGTTTCTACATCTCATCTTATTCTCTGTTTATTTAAAGTATGAAAGAAGCCTGTCTCAGATGTACCTGGCTCAGGCGAGTGAAGTTCTGATACAGTCAATAAACTGGGCACAGCTCCACAAATATACTGAGCAAATAGCAGCAGCTAGTCTTGAAATGGTTGAATGTTTCGGCCAGTTTGATCCGGTTTCAGCAGGGCATTATTTAGCACTCCATCAGGTATGGTGATTGATTAGAACTTCATGCATGTCAAAAGGAGTTTAAACTTGTTCAACAGAATGGATGAGTAAACATACACTATTATCTTCTTAATTGTTAATTAAGTTTCATCAGCAAAATTGCTCAGGCAATGCTGTTTTTTTCCTTAGAAGTTGTAACAAACTTTTTATTACTTTTTTTTCCTGTTTTTATTTCTAACTTGAGATTCAATCCACAACTGTTTGTGGGACACGGCTGTATGCAATTGGCTGTCGGTTTCACTCACAAAATATGCAGTCAATTCACTTTACAGTATATTCTGTGAAGCACTTTGAGATGTCTCGAAGATGTGATAAGGCGCTATGTCAAATGCAAGGATTATTATTACTATATTACCTATATCCCTTCCCAAGTGAATGTAATAAATGCTAAAAAAAATTCCACAAGTGGTTGACTTTAAATAAATGATCTAAAATTTATATTTAAGAAATGCAACAACAGCAACAAAATTTACTTTTATATAGCACCTTTCACATCGGGAAACAAAAGATAATTTTGAAAATGTTTTATAAAAATTCTTAAATGGACTCCTGTAAGATTTGACCCCTTAACTTAATTATAAAGCATTGAAAATTTCATGTGGAACAGGTCCAGATACACTACTTCTCCCACAAAACTTATTTAGCACATTTGATGTGTCATTGGAAAAATACTACTAACATGTCATACCGGGAGGGAAATTACTTGCTAAGAACAAGTGAGCTCTTTGTGTTCATTATTTTCTTCATTTACTGTGACAATGAAATTGTTTGTAGGACTCATATTTGTACATTTATGCAATGATCGGTGAAATTCTGATAATTAGCACCGGGGATAAGTCATCAACCTATATAACCTGACATTCACTCATTATCCTGGCTATTCGAGTACTTTGTACTTTTAAGATACTGTACTTTGGATAACCAGTTAACTCTGATTAGTCATTTGAGCCATTTCCCCTGAGTGACAATTATCAGAGTTTCACTGTATATATGTACCTGTGTGTACCAAAAACGGTACAGTTATGGTTACACTATCAGCTTTCAGATCATCAACAGGCTAAGCTTTTCTATAAAACTTTTCCAGAGTTGCAGAGCTTCAGTGATGTTGAAAAATGTCTTGATGAAGGTAGGATGTAATACCAGCAGTTCCCAGCTTGCAGCATTAACAAATCTTCAACAGCAGCTAAGTGAGAGGGGAAAGAATAACATTTTGCTCAAGACAGTCAATGAAAGACTTGAAACATGTTTTCAGGTAAGAATTAAGGAAGCACATTTCTTAAAATTAACTATATTATTATTCTCCTGGCATGGATGAAGAATTTTCTGGATGGTAGAAGTTAGAAAGATGTTCTCAGACTGGCAGGTAATTCTGAGTGTTGTGTGCTGAGCTCGCCATATAAAACTGATTTTGGATATCACTTGGTATAGAAGGCACAACTTCACTGATGTGCTTCTTTATGGTTGTTTACGGTTATAACGCAGTTGAAATGCATGTCCATTCACTGCATTTTTTAAAAATTAAAATATATATACTTATTTGTTGATATACATTTATGCTTGTCTCAGACAGTATCAAACCCGTTACAGAAAAGAAGACGCAGCATGTTATTATCCCGCTACAGAATGTAACAGACCCAGCCTCTTGTGGCAGGGGTAGCCTCTGCGCACTCCACTTTGGTGAAGGGACCAAGGCTTCTGCGCCTCGGGGTTCTGCCGCCCTTTGCACGGCACAGTTACAAATGGGGTCTTGTAACCCCCTCCCTAGCCCTCCCCTCTTATTGGGGAGTGTGGACAGCTTCACAGTACACAAGTTGTGCACACATTTATTTTGGGACACTTCCTTTAATACAGTTGGGAAACCCCTGTGTGCACTACATCCATGTGCACGCCCGCACACACCCTGATTAGGCACACTTGCCGCTTCTGGGTGGTGTCCCAATGTGCACTGTACACGGACGTGTTTATCATGCATACATTTTCAGCACGCTCTTTGTTTACATCTCAAGTGCCCTTCTGTACATTTGTATGGTCAGCTGGCTCACTTCTTGTTTGGCTTTTCGCACTAAAATTGCCAACTTCTGGAACATTAGCTTGTCATTGACGTCATTTCCTGTTTGTTATGCATTCAGGTATACATTCACTTTAGCCTAATTCTTCACTTTATAGGCATGGCAAAACATCGCAATTCATCCCCAGCATCTCAGTCTGTTTAATGAATTTCCTTCCAATTTTAATATCATCATTCTTCAGCACTCTGAAGACAGGTATGAATGTAATATTTTCTATGCATTTTTCTATATGTGCACAAATATAAATCTGTCTTTTAGTTCTTCATACTTCCTTGTGTTTACTTACAATCACAGTAGGGTGTACAGCTCCACCCTATTTTCACAATTTGCCAAAAATCTTCTTTTCATTACAGATAATCTAAGTTGTAATATACGAAAGGTAAATTATTTATAAAACCAGTTTTATTATTTGGATATTTCCTAATATGGGGTTTGTATTTTCATGCTAAAGGGAGCTTTATACATCTGCGGTTAAGCAAAATGTACCAAATGTCAGTCAGATTATTTATGTTCCGAAAGAGCTAGTCACGCAGAGAACAACTTATCTTGCATCTAACTTGTCCCATAACTTACCTGGAGGAAGTTGACACTGATGGATTAGAAAATATGTTCTGTTTCCCAAACATACCTGCATCAGTTTAAAAATAAACAGGACCACCAGTTTAAACTTGAGTACAGTTCACATGACTGGAATCACATTAATTGATTTGAGATCTTAGTTGCTTCTATCCTGAAATAAACCACAACAGACCTGGTGGGAAGGTTATCCTACATTGTCTTAATTTGGGCTGCGAGTAAATATGGAGATGCCACATTAAGATAATAATGTGTTTCTTAGGAAGGCTCCGCCTCCTGCATGTCCCTCGTGCCCTCTGTTCCACCATCGGTGGACGTGCTATCAGCGACTATGCAAAACTCTGGAACACTCATCCTCAATCCCTTTGCCTTGCTCCTTCCATCCCCTTTTTCAAATGCAAGTTATTGTTGCTGTTATTGTTACATATAATATTGTAACCTTCTTCTAGGACACTCTTATATGGAGCACTTCTCGAAAAACCAAAATCTGCTGGACAAAAAGTCAGAAGCTCTCAAGGAAGTAAGATATTTAGTATTTTGAATTATTTGTTTTGCTTATTTTGTAAATGTACAACAAGAAAATTATATTTGTATAGCGCCTTTCACATCAGGAGGACTTCCCAAGGCGCTGGACAGAGTACAGCATTTCACACCCGAGCTGGGGTCAGGGGGGGGGAAGGGGGTGGCCGATGGCATGGTCGAAGAGGAGGGTCTTGAGGCGGGTCTTGCAGGAGGCTAAGGAGGGGGCGAGGCAGAGTGACCGGGGGATGGAATTCCAGAGGTTGGGGCCAGGGTGGCTGAAGGCTCTGCCGCCAATGGTGGGGTGGGTGGGTCGGGGGACGTGGAGCAGGCTAGAGCCGGCTGAGCAGAGGGACCGGACGGGTTGGTAGGGGGTTAGGAGGTCGCAGAAGTAGGGTGGGGCGAGGCCATGGAGGGCTTTGTATGGGAGGACCTTGAACTGGATCCTTTGAAGGATAGGGAGCCAATGGAGTCAGGCGAGAGTGGAGGAGATGGGGTCACGGCATTTGGTGCGGGAGAGCACATGGACTGCAGATTTCTGGATTATCTGCGGCCTTTGGAGGGAGGTATTGGGAAGGCCAACAAGCAGGGCGTTTGCATAGTCGAGCCTGGAGGTAATGAAGGCATGAACAAGAGTTTCAGCGGTCTGAGGGATGAGGTAGTGGCGGAATTGGGCGATGTTATGGAGGTGAGGGAAGGCAGAGCGGGTCATGGCTTGAATGTGGGGGAGAAAAGACAGTTGAGGATCGAACAAGACATCTTGGTTCCTGACTGGCTTGGTGAGTTGAATACATTTTGAATGTATTCTCCATTGAAGATCCAAGTTAAACTCTACTTAGTTGGTCAATAATATCCTGTACCAATATCATTCTTATATTGGCCAAGTAGCTGTGATTGAGTCATAGTTATTTCCTTGAACTTTCACTCCCTTTGGGAAAGCATCTTACCACATAGTGAATTGTGACGGGGATGCTTGGGAACCATTCACAGCTGCACTCGGGATATTTTCTGATTCCCCATATGGATGGTGCCTTGAGACGCCCTCCTGAGTTGAAAGGTGCTTTTCGAATGCAATTTGTTGAATTTTTCCATTCAATATAATTGTTGTCTATTTTTAAAACAAACATTTCTATACTCTTTTTCAGATCAAAGTCAAACCCAAGCTAAAATTGTGCGAGCCTCAGTTGATCCTACATTATTTTCACATCTGGTGAAAAGATTCCACAAACATAAGCAGAATCTGGCCCATTATTTTGTCAAATGCAACGCTACTAAGGTGCAAATTAAATTTTCTAAAACTGTGAATGAGGGTCCACACAATGTAGATATAGATATAGTGGGTTTGTTTGTTTTTGTGCTTCATTTATTTTAGCTGAGGTAACTGTAGTATCAAACACCTTTTGGAGAACACATACAGAGCGAACATATGGAGAGTTTTGCAAAATTGTGGCAAAATCTCAGAACAATAATATAATAATAATAATCCTTGCATTTGCTATAGCGCTTTTCACGTCGGGAGGACGTCCCAAAGCGCTTCACAGAATATACTGTAAAGTGAATTGACTGTATATTTGTGGGCGAACGCGGCAGCCAATTGCGCACAGCAATGTCCCACAAACAGTCGTAGATTGAAAATGACCAATTTATTATTGTTTTTGGTTTTGGAGGGATTATTATTAGGGTTTGTGTGGAGTAAGGAAACTTGCCCAAGGTTTCGCCCTGACCTGCCTGGAATTGATCTCAGGTCTCTCGCTTGCAAAGCGAGTGCTCTAACCACTGAGCTACAGGACTCCGTGTGAACAGCACTAAATTATTCAGCCTTAGGTGTCATCCTCTGGAAAAAGTGGGTATACACTTGCATTCAAGATGCCAGCAGGGAGCTAAAATGGATGTGATTTATGTCAATTGGCATTTCTGACTCCACATGTCAATAATTATTAACTATAATACTCGTTCCATAAAATGGTAGTGGGTAACTGAAAAGAGTCACCAGCTTCCTCTGTCGTAAATCCATAACATAGGGGTGAAGTTCATAACTGTTATTAAGCCTATGATGATACATTTGTTAAAACATTTGTTAAAAACAAAACCTCCATGCTTGATTACCTATCCTATATAATAATAATAATTCTTGCATTTTATATAGTGCCTATATATATATATAGTCTTCGAGATGTATACATATTTTTATGTATGTATTTGACAAATATATATATTTGACAAATATATATATTTGTCAAATAATTTGTCATTCATGTTACCTTTTCTTTTATTATAAATCATAACACTGCATTTGTAGCTCAATAAGCTTATCTGCTTTCGTGTTTTTTTTCCATCAAACTGCATCTTCATGATTTTCCAAAGTCACCTTGAATTACATTAGTTAAGTGAATCACCCAAAATTATTTTTACTGGTATCCATGTAGGCGAATGTGTTGTGCATAACATTAATATTAATTAGTGCCTATGTATAATATTAATTAGCAGGGGCGGACTAGCTATATTGGAAATTTCCCGGGTGCCCCTGGGAATGGTTCTCAAGCGCTCCCAGTGACCGAGTTAGTGACAGCTCGGACCGACACCCAGAGCCTGCCGTCCGTGAAAGATGACAGCCATGCTAGCCAACCAACACCCTCATTCTGCTCTCCTGTTTAAGCCCAGACAAAGATTTTTAAACTTGCAGTGGTTTTATGTAAATTTGGCACCCCCATTTTACCTGAAAAGCCCAAGCCCCTTCGGGGAGCCATTCCGTTGCTGCTAATTATTAATTAATGCATCTCTCTGAGGAGAGAATGTGCAGTCTATTCCAGACACAGGGAAGTTTCCATGTGCAGACAACATGCATATATGTAACTCTGTATTCTTTGTATACTCTTAAGCATGGCAATAGGTTTCTGCATGTTTCAGACATTCAGTTGACTACCCCAAAACGATACAATGTTTGCACTTAAAAATCAAATTCTCTCTGTGGTTTATTGAAATAATATTTAATTTTACATCATTGCATGTTCCATTTATTACAGCATTTGTGATTGCTTGCTTGCTTGCTTGCTTGCTTGCTTGATTGATTGATTGATTGATTGATTGATTAGCAGCAATGAATTGCATTGTTGGCTCTTTTATTCCCTTCTGTTTTTACAGTGTAATTTACCTCTCAACTGCCTTTCTTTCTGTTTCTGCTACTTTATAACTAGAAACTGTACCTTTTTGCTATGATGTTTATTTGCTTACTATCCTTGAATCAAAGTATGCATGTATTTAAAAATTGCACTGTGATTTGAAATATAAATTTCACTAATTGATTTATTCTCAAATGACAAAGGCTTCAGAAACTATTGAAGCCAATAAAAGTAGGCTTCTTGCAAACTTCAGCAACATCTCTGAATCCTTGGAAGAATATTTGAAGCCCGTTTTGTCACAGTTTGACTTTTCAATCTTTGGGTAAGTGTTTATAATGTTTCAGATCTAAAATAAACTCAGTTGCTAACTCCAGTTGTTACCGTAGAACATTGAACTGATCTTTCTGGTGGATACAAGTTAACACTACTATGCAGGAATTATTTATGTTTTCAGTCAACCAATATACAAAACTGACAAAACAAAAAGGTCAAAAAACAAAAACCCGGAGATGAAATCAGCTTCTGAAAAGTCACTTCAAGGTTTGTAACAACTGACTATTACAAATAGTCTATCTCAATAACCTACTGTAAAGTAAACCTAGTCCACAACAGTGTCCTAATATGGACTGGCAATAATAAGAGGGAATCAGATTCCCAGTATCTGTACAAATATCCTGCAGTTACCACTGGCAGTAGTAATGAACAAGATGGGGTGGGCACTTGGTTGGAGCCAAGTTCATTCACAGAAATAAATATTTCAAAGGGAGACTAGCTTTGCTATTTTAAACAAATGCTATTCAGAAATAGATCTTGCAGCAATAAGGGGCCCTCAGCATTCTGCACTAACTAAAGAGGGTGTTGGTCCTTAATGGTTAATGGTTTGCTATCTGCCAGCCAAGAAATGTATACCAACAAATGGGCACATATTCATCTATTTGCATGTCCCAGCTATTTCTGCTTTCTGTCCTATTTGGAGATAACATAAAGTTTACTGCTTTCAGTGTTCAGAAAGTTTTACTATATTACTATTTACTATAGTACTTTAAATGTGTTCATGTAGCTAATGCAGCTGGACCCATTTTATCTTTTTTCAATCATATCAGTTAATGTGCGAGTTTAACCTTAAGGGCCAGTGAAAGTAGCACGTTTTGTTGATTAAGTAATCAGATTGTATTTTGACAGGGCAGCGGTGCTGTATGAGTTGCAGCATTTGATATTATGAAATTACAACTGACATTTTTAATCAAACTTTTATTTTCCTAAAGATAACCCTGCAAGTGGAGGAGAATATATAATTCTGTTACCTGACAACCTATTGTTGGAGCTACCATTGGAAACACTGAGGTTTCTTCAAAAGCATGAAATTACTTCCGTGTCAAGAGACTTCTCATTGCAGTTTCTATACAATCGGTTTCACAGAGGTGTGCCAGGTAATCAATAAATGAATAAATAGATTAATCTTTCTTCTTGGTTAAAGAAAATCCTGAACAATCTCTATTCAGAACAATGAATTGATCTATAGTGATTTGAATTGCGATCACGTTGTAATTTATACTATACTTAGATATTATAATTGATAATTGTTAACATGCACTTTTTTTTCTTATTCATCTTATTTTACTCCTTATACTGGTTACATTTCCATAGTTGATACAAATGTGGTAAGTTTAAATTTTAGATGGGCAGAATGGTCGTGTTTGTGCCGTCCCATTCCATGTGGGTAAGGATATAGACTCAGAATCTAAGGCATGAAAAAGCTTTTTTAATAAGTTAACTTGTAGGACCTAATGGGTCAGGATGCTTGTTGAGGTATGTAAACTGCATTGTACGTCTTATACTGGGTGGCAAAAAAGTGATAGCAGTACAATGTCTAATAAATCTTAAAGAAATTATAATATTTTATACAATAGGGTAGATATCATGACTTTTTGGTCAACCTGTATTTGCCAGGTAAAGTATATTTGAAACTAAAAATGGTTTCTAAACATTAGTTTACAGAAAAAAGATCCAGCAATTCACTTGCTCTAAATAAGTTGGCCCAAAGGGAAACTGCGTAATCAGTTATCACAAGAACACAGAAAGAATGAAACAAGACGCTTAGGAGTTAATAAACAAACAGCAACAGGAGTTTCATTCTTTATTTTGTAACCATACAATTAAATGTCTAATAACTGAAGAAAAGAATCCACGACTCTTTGTGGGACACTGCTGTACGCAATTGGCTGTCGTGTTTCACCCACAAAATACACAGTTAATCCACTTTACAGTATATTCTGTGAAGCTTTGAGGTGTCTCAATGATGTAAAGCGCTATAGCAAATGCAAGTATTATTACATGAATTTGGGAGGAAAGTGAAAGAGATCTACAATTGTTAGTTGACTTCACCAAGTAATGTTTAAAATGTTATGAATTTCACCAACACAAGAGGGCAATGGTTAGCAGCAGAAAATACTAAATCAGGAAAATAGTAAATCAGGAAACTCCTGTAGTGTGGACCCAATTTTTGCCTAAAAATAGACAATAAACATGAAACCTAGCTCCAATTATGAGGTGTGATTGCTGGTTATATGGCACTGCAATGGAGAAATGAGGCATAAAAATTCCAGGAGATTATTTTAGATAGATTCTGTTAAGGGGAATATGAGAAAACACATTGAAGAGAGAAGAGGCTGAGAGCAAAATGTAATTTTTAACATCTAGTAGATAAAAGAACATATAGAGCTTATTATGATGTATTCGCCACAAAATAGAGTGTCAGGCTCCAACGCCCATATCCTTACCTGTACCAAAACTCTGTATGTCCATCATCCCAGTCTGCGCCGGGCTTCACTGTCTCTGTTTCCCAGTGGATTTCAAGGCTCTCACCCTCATCTTTAAATCCATTAATTCCCTAGCATCTTCCTATCTCTCTGATCTTCTCCTACCTCACTCCTCTGCTCATCTCCTCCTCTGTGCTCAAGCTTCCTTCGTGTCCCCATCCTCTCCGCAACACCATCAGTGGCCAAGCCGCTTAGACTGTAAGCCATGAACCTCTGAAACTCTCTTCCTCCCTTCTGTCTTATCCGTCATCTTTGACCGTGCCTATCAGCACCTATCCCTTTCTCCTGCTTGGTGTCTGACCCTGTCTTAAAAATGTGCTGCAAGATGTTATCCCGTTATCATTGTATACTCTTTCTTTCGTGTATACTCATAGATTTCTTTAGGCATTTTCTTTCTTTAAAGATTTCAATTGTTTCTATCCTGCAGAAGAACTCGAGGGGAAAAAATCCCCCAAAGCAAAAGAAAAACAGAAGAAAAAAAAGAAATTGGTAAACTACGATTCCCTATTTATTCTGGATGATAAAAAACTATCTCTGTGACAATTCATTCTGTAAACAGAGTTTGTGACTTTTTTTAAATCGAAAACTGTCAAGTGACTAGGTCTGTTGGCATTCGGCCCTTTTACATCAGGAAGAAGTCAAAAGCGCTTCACAGGATATACTGTAAAGGAAAATGGCTGTATTTTGGGGGGAAATAATTTCTAATGTACAAAATAGTCAAAAAGTAAATGAAAAGCTCAGTAACTGCAGTTTACTAAAACATTATTTGAATCATTTTTGACTGTTCCTAATTTTCTGTATGTTTGAATTACAGGCACTTGATCGTGCTGTACCACCAAACTGCTTCCCAATAGACACAAATAAATTCAAATGTATCCTTCTAATGTAAAGAATTGAAGTTAATAAATAGTTGCCTCAAAGCAAGCTTCCATTGACAAGAGAACATTTCTAGTGTCCATAATCAGATTCCTGGGATTTGTGCTTTAACTCTCTGGCTATAAAAATAGTCATGTTTGCTTTATTGGGATAAAATAAAAGTGCACCCAAATTTACAAGACTTAAAAGGTTAAAAATTCAAGCATCTGACTGATTTACTTTCTAATAATGATTTTATTTGTAATTATTTTAAGTAGTATAATTACTTGAATAGCGACGACATTTTTAATCAAAACATCCTCATATTTAAGTAGTTAAGTTGGTTGAGTTGGAAATTGGAAGGTTGTCGCTGAATCACAGTAGGCATATTCAGCTTGGAACCTTTTTGAAGTCAGTGAAAATCAATACCTTGTCAGAAATATATTCTTATGGCGGGAGAGAGAATTTGATTGCAAGGAGACGTGGCTGGTAAGGCATTGCTGGTGGTTGGTCATCTTGTCTGACTCATTAGTAATATTTGAAAGTGGCGATGTATCAACCCTGCAAATAAAAATCCTAACAGGTTTAATGGTCCTGGCTCAACACGTTTGGGTATTGTTTGTATATTAAAGACTTAATCACATTGAATATTATCTTAACTGAATTTGTCAGATATTGTGGAACCTTATGATGTTGCCATAGACTCAGGTAAGAAAATCAAAAGATACTTTTGGTATTTTATTTGCATATATCAAGTTCAAAAACATAATTAAGACCCTATATTAGATTTGCGTTCATCAGTTATATTGTATAAATATATTAACACCATTTTTAACTGTATTATGAGTTGAAGCTACTGAAATTAAGTTCAATTGATATTTTATTCATAACACTTGACCTTAAAGTGTCTAAAAAATTGAATTTTGAATTGTTTTTATCTCAAGTGGGACATTTATCAAAAAAAATTAAATGTGTATCGCTACTCATTACATACAAAATATATTCCAAATGTACATACTTTTGATTATTTGTACTAATTAGCAGTATTCATTTTAATTGTATTAATATTCCAGACTTATAATCTTTAGAGATATTCTAAGCACTTTGGTGGGCTGATCAGTTCTGTATGTTTTCAGGAGATTTACTGAATTAAATTCATATTAAGAGTAGTAAAGCTATTCAAACGTAATAGCTTTAATACTGTAATATTAATCATAAAGTAAACATTAAAAGCCACAATTAAAAATCAAACATTCTACATAATGTTGAGTAAACAATTGAGTTGAATTCGCAATCTGTTTGTAATTTTGTTTTTCAGAATTCTTCAACCCTATAAAAATAATGACAGATTTGAAGGACCAATACCAGGCTCACTTTACAAGTCAATGGCATGGCATTATAGGCAGTGACCACATGCCAAGGTTGTGTTGTCGTTTTTCTTGGTGGGTGGGGACATTTTAAATTTTGGCAAAATACGGACTGTACAATCGTGAAGGCAGACTTCCTGATGACTTGTTCAATTGCAATTTCAGAGGCTGCATTTTAATTCTGCTTGTTATTGGCTAAGTGGCTGTGAGGTGTAAGGAAGGTGAATTCAAATGTTCATTTTCAAACCCAATCTGCCTTTTTAGTTGTCAAAATATCACACTTGTTTTAAATCAATATCATTTCTTGGTTTAAAAAGTGAGTTAAACAAATTGCTACTCAATTCTTGAGAACTGTCTGAAAAGCAATTTATAATACAAGTCAAGATCTACAGCTTCCACTTTTGCATTTCGATGTATAAACAAAAAGAAATGAGACATTAAAACCAAAGTCCCAATTAACTGTTTGGGTTAATGTGAAACATTTCATTGTTCAAAAAAGAAGGATGCTTTTCCTGGTGTCCTGGCTAACAGTCCCTCAGATAAATTGGTCATTTACTTCAGGCTATGTGCTAGAACTCAATATGCACAAATTGGCTGCTACATATGTCCACAAATACAGTGACTATATTTGTCAGTAGTAACCCAGTGCTAAAGATGCAATCGTTACTATTTATCACCAAATCATGTGAGGGATAAATATTTTGTTTTAAATTGTAAAGAATTTATTCTCTACTTTCAGTCATGCAGATTGGGAACAACAGCTGAGCAGTTGCAAAGCATTTATCTTTTATGGGACAGAGCACTTTCTCGCAAATATGTTGCCATCAAAGCTCATTTCCATGAATCTTCAAGGTATAAGTTTTCATACTGCAAATAATTGTGCTATTACTTTTTTGATGATGACTGATTATCAGATTGGTATAAGGTTTCTGAAATATTTAATTCTGCTTTAGTTTAATTAATGCCTGAAAGTGTTATTGAAGTTACATTTTCAAATGGTGGTATAAAATATTGGATAAACAAGGATATAAATAGGGTTGACCATCAGCTTTTTAATTTTCAAATTATAATGTAAGTTTTTAGTGATCTTTTTGACTACATGAATAGTGGATGTCTGTGTTGTAAAGGTGCCATAGGAAGCATCACTTCCTATGCACTACTCAGCTGTGCAGTGTGCAGGAACTGACATTTGTGGTGACCTGTCGACCATTTTGTATTTCAAAATGATAAAACCTGTGCAAAAAAAATGTTCAACATTGGGATTTCATTAGTGGGAGGTTTGAGGGGAAGCTGAGGGTTAAGGAAATAAAGAATAGTTCAAAACACAAGTCTTGAGAGGTGTTTTGTTTTGGAGATGGGGACGGAGGGGACATGGCAGAGGAAATCCAGGATGGAATTTCAAAAAGCGAGGGCAGAATCGCTAGAAAACTCTATCATCAACAGTGGGGCAGAGCAAACGGGGGAAGTGCAACAGGCTGAGCAGCCCAGTGTTAACTGAATACATTACCTACAATGGACCAATAGTTTACATGTTTAGATAATACTTAGGTTGCCTTTAGCAGTTTCTAAAGATTCACAGTGTCCTTGAAATGTCAGTTTCCCGTGTATTTATATCCTTGAATTAAGAAGCCTAGGAATTAAGAAGCCTGTGAATACTCCAAGGAATTATACATTTTTCTACCCAGAGGACTGCAGTAATGTTGACCATATTTCACCATGAACTTCACAGTAAAGTTTGCTATATGTATTTTTGGTACTGAATAATTTTAAGCAGTAAAGGTTATATAGCCAGCAGTCAGTGTGATCTCTCATGTGAGTTTCTACATGGTGGNCAATTACGATTTGAGGAAGGCACTGAACAATTCTCAAATAAACAGAAAATATGTTTATCTTGTGAAAAAAATCAATACTTTTGTTCACTGGTTGTTCAGTATGTTCAGGAAGTAGAAGAGTTCTGAAAGAAAATACTTCTTCATTGGATTTTGTTGATTTAATGCCTGGCAAAACAGCCAAAAGAAGGAGTTATTAGAGAAGCAGCTTCAACCAGTAGTTAATTTTCGTAACCAATTTACCATGAGATTAAGAAACTATTAAGAAGTTGAGGTACAAAACCATCCAATGTGACCATCAGAAGAGCTTGAAAAAACTGGAATTCCTCCTTTACAATAAACATAATGGATGTTAAAACTTGTCAGGCCTATAGACACCAAGATGATGCTAAGGACTGTCTGAACCAAACAGGCATAAAATTCTTTGAGGATATCAAAAGCAGATAACATAAGGCACATGAAGCTTATGCAGTTATTGGAAGCAAAGATCTCAGCCATCCAATGATGGAGGCTTAGATGCTGACCTTTAGGAATTAGGCAGGACAAGTGAGAATCCTGCACCAAAACAACAACAACACCACCACCAAGATTACATTTATAGAGCGCTTTTCACGTCGGGAGGACATCCCAAGGCGCTGGACAGTTGGGTCGGGACCCGAGCAGGGGGGAAATGGTCAGGGTGATGGGAGGGAAGGGAGGGAACGAGGAGGGGGTAGAGAGTCGAGAGGGGAGCTGAAGGCACGGTTGAAGAGAAAAGTAGCTCACCGCCTAAAATAATCAATATGTTTTACCCACAAAATACACAGTCAATCCACTTCACAGTCTTTCCTGTGAAGCACTTTAAGATGTCCTGACAACATGACAACTACACTGTATCAAATGCAGGATTATTATTAAAGTACTATTAATTCGCAACCTTCTTGGAAGAATAAATGCTGGCAGATTTGTGACTTAAAGGGCAACTCTTCAAAAAATGATGCATTGAGAACCATCGTAAGTAATGATGTTTTTTCTTTTCCTTACACAGATTGCCAGTTAGTAATTCTTTTAGATCTGGTTCAGACCATTCGGAGTGCCTTGCGGCAATCGATGGCAGATGTGGATAAAAGGTAACTCCTGATGCAGTTTAACATTTTAGAGGGAATAAAGTGGTCAAACACCTAAGGAGTTTTGCCAGGAACATGGAAGTCGAACTTGTGCAGAGGCATCTGGGCATGAGGGCAGCGCCTATCACAACTCTTACAGACCCATGCACTCGCAATCCCTCCTCAACCATTAACTAACCTTGGGCCAGCCATGTAGCTTAGGCCTGATACTCCCAGGCCAGAGTCTCCACCCTTCTCATCCCAACCCCAGAACACGAGAGATGGGGCATCATCACCTCCTTAAGAAAGCATAGGCTCCTACCTTTGAGCCTTCCTGCCCTGAAGTTATAGTGCCCACTACAGTAGGTATGAGTGCAGTGAAAGGCAAACCATTGCCTTATCCTCTTATTTTTACACTGAGACATGATTTTAATTGTAGTTCATCAAATGGAGTTTCAGTTAAATTTAAGTTGGTTTTCCAGTGCAAATTATTGACAATAATATTTAGGAATATGTTCTCCATGACATATCCAAATACCGATTCTAGTAGTTTGGCAGTTATTGAAGGACCTTGAGAGCAGTACTGTCTTTGTGCTATAAATCACAGCATTTTTGTATTGTCTATACCCTCATCTAGTTGAGGTATTACATTTATGAACTAGGATAATAATAATCCTTGCATTTGATGTGGTGTCTTATCACGTCTTCAAGACGTCTCAAAGCACTTCACAGAATAAACTGTAAAGTGAATTTATCTTAATCAGATTGGGACCATAAAGTTCACTTGACTCTTCACCCTTTTGAGGTCCTTAAAATAAAAAAAGCTATTTGGGGTTGGGAAGGAAGATGTCCTTCAGGTTTTATGGACTTCTTTATGACCACTATCAGAGTTATATCCCAATTCCTTGCATAGAACAATCTCTCATGTTTGTATGATATTCTATCTAGCAGTTTCACCAAGTACTTAGGAAATGTCCAACACAGACATATTGTGAACTCTCATTTTTATTGATAGAGAACAAAGAGCCTGTGCACTGTGCACCAGTAAGTAAGACAATTTGTTTTCCTCAGTAAATATTTAATCATTTTCATAGCTGTTCTCTAATGTTGTTCTTTCATTAAAGGAAAGAACAGCATTAGAGAACAGCTATGAAAATTTCATTTCAATGTTTGTGGGACACTGCTGTGTGCAATTGGCTGCCGCATTTCGCCCACTAAAGATACAACAGATTCACATTACAGTATATTGTGTGAAGCGCTTTGACATGTCTTGAAGACACGATGGGGCGCTACAACAAGTGCAAGGATTGTTGTTTTTATTCATTTCTTTTTATTTTCAGCAAGTTACAATTGTCAATTGAGCAACAATTGGAAACAATAATGATCCTGAGCTTAACTGGAGTTCATTCCATCATGGCCAACCAGTGGCATAGCACACTTGAAAACAATGCCATCAGGCTTTCAAAGGTGTTAGGAGGTAGGTATTTCAGTGTTCATATAATAACTACAGTAGGGTGACCTTCTTCTTACCAAGGAACAAAAATGTTTTTGATCTCAGAAAGAAATACAAGTTAACATTTTCTTATAAACTTAAGTAAACTCAAGTACATCATTGTGGGTGAAAATAGTAGAACATAAATTGTAGTCAGGAAGAATTATGGTTCTTAATACTGAACATGTGTCTTAAAATCTATCTATCATATGTAGAATGGATTTGAAATTTATTCATGGAATAATATAAAGAGCACACAGAAAATATGTGGGAGGGTTACATCCTAAACTGAATATTCTATATATTTCTAATTAGCAGAGGTGGAGCAAATGAGGAACAATGGTCAGGACTACAATTTTTCCATGTTTTTGATTTGCTCTCCACATAAAAAAGTTTCTTCTTGAACAATGTATCATCTCTACTCTCACCTGGAATGCCTTGGTTTTTACCATGTGACCGGTCCATTGCCACTTTAATTCTCCTTCCCACTCCCGCTCTGACCTCTCTGTCCATGGCCTCCTAAGCTGTTCCAACAAAGCACAACGCAAGATCGAGGAACAGCACCTCATCCATTTCCTAGACACCTTACAGCCCTCTGGCCTCAACATTGATTTGAACTACTTTACACCTTAAACACAATCCCCGTCTTCTCTCAACCTTGCTTCCCCGCTCCCCCTCTTCTACAACCATTCACACATCCTGTGGGTTTCAGACACATCTTTTTTTTCTATAATCTCTCACTTTTGCCTCCTTTTGTCTCGCACCATCAATACCTCTGATCTCATCATCTACTGTCCTCCACCTAATTTGTTTCTTTGTCTTTTTTTATCCACCCCCTTCTCTGTTTGTCCTTATAAATTGCTGCCTTCCAACCTCCTCCAGTTCTGACTAAAAGTCATTGACCTGAAACATTAACTCATTTTCCTCTCTCCGTAGATGATCTGCTCAGTGTTCCCAGCGTCTTCTGTTTTTAGTAAAGCTTTCAATAAAATTGTTTTCACCTTCAAAATAGATGGTGTGATAGATCACTAAACATAAGAACATAAGAACATAAGAATTAGGAGCAAGAGTAGGCCATTCGGCCTCTCGAGCCTGCCCCGCCATTCGATAAGATCATGGCTGATCTTCAGACCTAACTCTAATTACCTGCCGTATACCCATATCCCCTAATCCCTCTATTTTTTAAAAATCTTATCAGTCTCAGCCTTGAAGATGTTCAAGGACTGGGCATCTACAGCCTTCTGGGGTAGTGAATTCCATAAATTCACTACCCTCTGACTGAAGAAATGTTTCCTCAACACTGTTCTAAAAGGCTGACATTTAATTTTAAGACTGTGACCCCTAGTTATAGATTCTCCTACCAGGGGAAACAGACCCTCAGTGACTACTTTATCCAGCCCTTTAAGAATCTTATATGTTTCAATAAGATCTCCCCTAATTTTTCTAAACAATAACAACAATATTACATTTGTAAAGCGCCTTTCATGTCAGGAGGACGTCCCAAGGCGCTGAACAGTCAGGGATCAGGAACCGAGCATGGGGTGGCAGGATTGGGGCGAGGGAGGGCAGAGAGGTAGGTTGTTGGCTGAAGGCACGGTCGAAAAGGAGGGTCTTGAGTCATGCTTTGAAGGAGGCAAGGGAGGGAGCAAGGTAAAGGGATTGTGAGATGGAGTTCCAAAGGGTGGGGCAGAGAGGCTGAAAGCTCAGCCATCGATGATAAGCAGGTCGGGTGGGAGACATGGAGCAGCCTGGAGCATGCAGAATGGAGGGAGCGGACAGGCTGATAGGGGGTCAGAGAGATAGGAGGGGCAAGGCCACGGAGGGCCTTGAAAGTGAGGATGAGGATTTTAAATTCTAAGAGTTTAAACTTTGAAAAAAGTAAATCTAGAAAAGCTAAAAATTATTTGAAACAATGGACAAAGAGACTAGAAAAGCAAATATCAGGATGTACGTTTTAACTTATACGCAATAAGGAATAAAAGTTTAAACTTAACTAAAATTAGAACTTTTTCCTTAAGGACCTTGGGCAAGTTTCCTTACTCCACACGCCTAATAATAATCCCTCCAAAAAAAAACAATAATAAAATTGGTCATTTTCAATCTACGATTGTTTGTGGGACATTGTTGTGCGCAATTGGCTGCCGCGTTCGCCCACAAATATACAGTCAATTTACTTTACAGTGTGTTCTGTGAAGCGCTTTGGGACGTCCTCCTGACGTGAAAAGTGCTGTATCAAATGCAAGGAGTATTATTATTATTATTAAAATAATTTAGTTAATTATTAAGTCAAAGTGTATATGCTTGAAGTAAGTAGACCATTGTTTCTTTTAGATTTGTTGGAGAGTGGAAGAACCACTGGTGAAACAGTCCTCAGAATCATTAGAACTAAAAAGGAAGAAAGCAATTATTTAACTGACGCCGAAGAGAATAACTACTCGAATATTCAACCTTCAGGTAATGATATACACATTAGAAAGAGTGCTCAGTAGAATATGGAGTAGCAATCAGACTATCCAGACAGATGTGAGTTGATTCTTACAGTAGCATTTCAATGAAACTAACTAGTACATTTGGGCATTAATGTTTACTTTTGATATAATGCCTCAAAGCAGGTCAAATACTGTAAAGTGGATTGTGTAAAAAGTGTGTATTTGGCAGCCAATTTGCACCCAGCAAAAAACTACTTATAGATTTGCTAAGCATCAGGACAGGAGATCATAGAATAATATTAGTGGTTAGTTCTACATCACAGTGTGAGCTGTAAGCTATTTTTCAATGATTGAGCCTGGAGGATTAAAAAACTGTCATTGGATTAAGTATCAAATCAGAATGTATTATGTTCTAAACAATGACAAGATTGTTTTATAATTATTGTAAAAACTGAAAAGCCAAAAGAAATCAAAATCAATAATAATGCTACAGACATATAGATAGGAGGTTGAAACAGACTTTTCCTGAACTACTTTCAATATTTAAGGCTGATACTGGTGTATTTTTCTTTGATGATTTGAGCATGGAGTTTCTATAAACTAAGCCATAGACATAGTTAATAGGCTGATTATTATTATATTAATATAGTAAATCACATAAGTCGTAGCAGTCTGGATAATAACATTTAATATGACTTAGGCAAAGTCCACGTTGCAGGCAAAGTTATATAAATTGTACATACTGTAAAGTGGAGTGACTGTTTTTTGAGCAAAAATCAATAATCTACGCTACACAGGCATAATTCAGTGCAGCCAGTAAGTGAGCATGGTTAGGCAATTATACAATTTATAAAGATAAGACTTATGCAAGTTTTACTGTATAGTATAATTGAGGTCAAGGTAGATATAGTTTTAAATAATCGGAATTTTGTTTCTTGTAGATAACTGGGAATCTAGAGTAAGTAGTCGTGCAGACCCCAAAACCATAAGGGCTGGAACAAGAAATGATTTCACAGAATATGAGAATTCTGAATTTCAGAATATTGATGAGGAAACAGCTGAGATTTTTGAGGCCGAGCTATTTCAAGGTATGTAATGGTATCTGTATTAGTAAGGCTGCTCAAGTAGCACTTGCAGTAGAAAGCTTACTGCCGAGTCATCTGTGAATGGAGATCCCAGAGCAGCATGTTACTAAATCTACATTTCAGTGAGGTGAAGATCCAGTATTTCAATCACTCGTGCAGCCCAGATTGACTTCTATTGGGGAATAAGGTGGCAGTGGGACAGGTGGATCCTGTTGAGAATTGGGAAATCCAATACTGAGTTTTTAATTTTTTCATGGTTTAGTAGTGTATTACATAATGTTTGGATTTAAATGAATGGAAATGCTTTGCAAAATTAGCACAATTTACCAAAATATACCAATACATATTAAAGCAAAAAAACAGGAAAGATTTAGACTAACTTGAAATTAGAAAAAGAAGCTTAATTCAAGTAATACTTTATACTACAATAGTAATAATAATAATCCTTGCATTTGATATAGCGACTTATAATATTTTCAAAATGTCTCAAAGCGCTTCACAGAATATATTGTGAAGTGAATTGACTGTATATTTTGTGGGAAAAACTCGGCAGCTAATTGCGCAGTGTCCCACGAAACTTATGGAGGTAAACAAACCATTCGCACTTCCCGTACCTTTCTCTACAACAATGTGAAATGAGTTTCTTCATTTTTTTCTGTGCAACAGTTTAATTTGTTTTCACTGGGTGTGTTGATATTTTGACATTATTACTGTGCTTGATTAATGATTCACTGTAATGTGATATAAATGAGTTCAAGCATGTTGTCACTACATTGTGATCATTGTGATTCATTTGGGAACAGTAAAGACCTTGGCGATCAGTGTCTGCTTAGATTGAAATTAATATGCTTAGCAACAGAATATTTATATATGGCTCACTACCAAACCAAACTTAACTCAAATTGAGCCATTTCTATTTTTTTTTAAAAAGCCACAAAGAAATACAATGTGACTTATGTTAGGTTTTGTAATGTTTTGTCTTGGCTCACATGTTTCAAAGACAAAATGTGCATGTTCCCATCTTCTGAACTCGTCTAAACTAAGCTATAGTGAGAAAGTATGTATTTGACTTTGAAACTATTTAAAAGTCTTTTTGTATCTTGCAGTCCAGTGAAGTGAACATTGGTGTGTGTGTGTTGGGGGGGAGTGGGGGCTATCTTTAATTTCAATGACAATGAAGGTTGAAGCAAAATGACTTCTTAAACTTAAGAACCCCTTAGTTGACTTAGGGCATATGCACACCAGTTACTTTTTTGCCTTTAATATCAAATATGAGGGTCCCCAATTTAACACCCCTCCCCCAATTATCTTATTAAAATGGCTTATTTTCAATATTTATGACACTAAACTAGGTGGGAGAGTAAGCTCTGAGGATGATGCAAAAAGATTGCAAAGGGATATAGATAGGCTAGGGGAGTGGGCGAGTAGGTGGCAGATGGAATTTAATGTGGGGAAATGTGAAGTTATTCACCTAGGTAGCAAAAATAGAAAAACAGATTATTTTCTAGAGGGGGAGAGATTAGATAGTGTTAAGTGTTCAGAGGGATTTGGGTGTCCTTGTACACCAGTTCAAAAAGTTAGTTTGCAGGTGCAGCAAGCAACTAAGAAGGTGAACGGCATGTTAGCGTTTATTGCAAAAGGTTTAGAGTTCAAGAGTCGGAAAGTCTTACTGCAACTGTAAAGGGCCTTGGTGAGACCATACCTAGAGTATTGTGTGTGGTTTTGGTCTGCTTATTTAAAAANGGACATACTTACCTTAGAGGGGGTGCAGCGTAGATTCACTAGGTTAGTTCCTGGGATGAGGGGACTGACCTATGAGGATAGGCTGAATAAACCAGGGCTGTATTCTCTAGAGTACAGAAGAATTAGGGGAGAACTTATTGAAACATATAAGATTCTTAAAGGGCTGGATAAAGTAGACACTGAGGGTCTGTTTCCCCTGGTAGGAGAATCTATAACTAGGGGTCACAGTCTTAAAATTAAGGGTCAGCCTTTTAGAACAGAGTTGAGGAAACATTTCTTCACTCAGAAGGCTGTAGATGCTCAGTCCTTGAACATCTTCAAGGCTGAGACTGATAGATTTTTTAAAAATAGAGGGATTAGGGGATATGGGGATAGGGCAGGTAATTAGAGTTAGGTCTGAAGATCAGCCATGATCTTATCGAATGGCAGGGCAGGCTCGAGGGGCCGAATGGCCTACTCCTAATTCTTATGTTCTTATGTTCTTATTAAATAACCTTTGTTTAAAAATAAACCATCAATAATAGTTCAATCTGGTAAACAGCAAACAAGCTGATAGAGGTCCTTTGTTACAAAAACTTTAATTTTTAATGACTCTATGCCCAAATCTACATGGTTCCATATCTAAACACGTACAGGGCTTTTTGTTGTGACTCACTATTGTGAATGTAAATTATTATTAATGTGGTTATTGTGTGGTTTATGCATGATCTTAATACAAGCTATGCAATTATTCGTCAATCAAGCTTGTTTGAGATATATTTCAGTTTGTGTTTCCTTTTGTTTTTCAGGAGAGTCTTTCACCTATTCATCTAAACCTACAGCCCAGCCCAGCCTTGCCACTTTAGAAGATCCCAATATTTTTCAGTCACATTTTAACTTCATACTTTTTGGACTTCCTAATCTCATGGTCATTTAGGTTATTGAAAATGAAATATCAAATCTGTAATTATAAATCTTAAAATAACTGCTTAGTGAGTAAGAAATCCCATGTATAGGTAATTACAGTTTTACAATAACAAGCTTTTGATCTTTCATTATGAATGATTGTGTTGACGCTGAGTGTTATTATTGTCAGCATTCCATGAGTTTCTTTGTTTCCCAAATATTTTAAGTTTTTTTCAGTATAACATTTGTTATATGGTTTTCCAGTGTTTTATCTAACAGTAACTAGGGCCAGATTTGACCTGTGAAAGCTTTGTGTTAATATGTTTCATGCATTAATTGTCTTTGAATACATTTCCAATTAATTCATTCAATATTCTATTGATTGATTATTTAAGATGTTTTATTCAGTGAGCTGAAAATGTGTTACTCTGTTTTCCAGTGGCTTTATGTAACATTTGCAACTATCTAATAGTAAAATATTCAAATAGAACCAAAGAAAATTGTTTATTTCAATTGCTACTGTTCATATGGTTAATATTTAAATAGCGACACAAGGGTGAGGTCTGAAAAACTGAAAGGAAATAAGGAAAATTGATAGACATAACTATATGTGATGATTAATGGAAGAAACATTCCATTAGTGAGAATGAGTCATGAGAATAATGCTGATTCTTATTGTATTGATTTTTCCATTCATATTTTCTTAAATCCACTCTTACACCAGGCAGGTAACCACAATCTCATCTAAAACTACCTTCAAAAGTTCCAATAGCTGCTTCTGATTAAAATATTTACAATACCTTGATTTTGGTGAATAGTTTGTTTTATTGACAGGGATTATGTGTGATTGGGTGTCAAGAGTAGCAGTTACCAATTAATTATAATAATAATAATCCTTGCATTTGATACAGCGCTTTTCACATCTTCTCGACATCTCAAAACGCTTCACAGAATATGCTGTAAAGTGAATTGATCATATATTTGTGGGCGAAACGCGTACAGCAGTGTCCCACAAACAGTCGTGGATTGAAAATGACCAATTTATTATTGTTCTTTGTTTTTGGAGGGATTATTATTAGGCGTGTGGAGTAAGGAAACTTGCCCAAGGTTTCGCCCTGCCTGGAATTGAACCCAGGTGTCTTGCTTGCAAGGCAAGTGCTCTAACCACTGAGCTACAGGACTTCACAATTATAGCATTTGTCTCCTTACTCGAATACACTAGAAATAATAGTAAGGTAAAATTAGTTTCTCTTGTCTTGATGGAAGGGTTTGGGTTCAGTACAATTCGGTTGGAGTTCAACTGTCATTTTATTTTAGAAGAATAAATGTTGGAGCTCCTGCTCAAAATAAAATGATTATTTAACCATTCAAGAAGGAAGCAGAGTTAGCTGAGGCTAGTGACTTGCTAAACTAAAGATGGATTTATTATATTGTTTTTTTGTTTTATTTCGTGTTCTTGAAATCAATATCTGTTTCGTCAAAGTAAAGATTTGCTGTGAAATCGCAACGTGCCGACTTCTGCATTGCTAAGATTCAAAACATATTCTTTTTTTTTGAAAGAACATCAGTTCTCAATCCAGACTGTGCATTTGTTAAGCACACATGGCATGCAAGTCGATCTGGATCCATCGAAGAGACAAGATTGTAATAGCAACTGTTCATAAAAGAATAAAATCGTATCAAATTCAATTCTACAGAGTTAAAAAAAAGGTACATGTGTGTATCCAAGCAATCCTAGAAATATTTCATAAACAACTGAAAATCCACTCTGCAACTTATCGACTGTGAGTAACTCGTGTGATTGGAAATATCGGAATGGTACTGTGGTATTTCATCTAATACTAATTCATGCAAAATATGATATCCTGCCGTATTACAGTATTACACCTGGCTGACCACAACAAACTGATCTAATAAAACATTCAGTTTGGTTTTATTGTTCAGCTAGTGAGCTTTTTTGTCAGAGAAAAGACCGATCATTGATGTGTTCAGCAACATGAAAGGCAACTCAGAGGTTAAGCTGACACACAGTATGACCTTTTGCCATCCATGACAGAGGCATATAACACAATCTAAAATTATGACATGACTAATGTAATGTTAACATGCTAGAACTCGTGATATTTCGGTTGGGAGTCAAACAAGCTATCTCGAGTACTACCAGACTATCGTTAATGTGTGTCCATTTTAATTAAAACATTCCTACACTTAATAGTAACAAAACATGTTCTGTATTAACCCATGATTAATGAATAACCAGTAAATGATCAATTGGTTGATATAGTGGCTAAAAATGTCTACTATTTAACCTTAAAAGTGTGATTCTAGAATGCATCATTACATAATTTTTGTGACTGAAATTTGGTTGCAATACTAGGCTGATTTAAACCAATTCCTATTTGTACAACAGATAGATTAAAGTGTCTTTAGTAGAAAAAGTCCCCTATATTGAAAGCCATGTGATTTCCTGTGTTGTAACAATAGGTATAATAGTTAAAGCTGTTATATGTTCTTCAAGTATAGATTACTCCCACATTACTAATCATAATTCCATTTCTAACATTCTTTGTATGTTTTGCAATGAAAGAACCTATTTTTAATCTTTTTAATTTGGGAGCTTTTTAAACTCAAGAAATCCACTTTTTCATGATCCTGGCATTACCAGTGGAAATATGGCATAGGATTGTTTTAGAAATCTGTGTAACATTAAGTATTGGATTAACTAATATTGTTCTTTGTAAATGGGAAACCTTTACTCCATTTCTTACAGTACTCCATTTTAAGAAAAAATATTGCTTTTGTTGTAATCCAAGGGGGTTTATGATTAATGAGCCTCTTCTTCAGCGCCTCTCCCACGGAATGGGTGCCTGGAAACGCTGTTTGAACTTTGCTTACATTATAACTTCTATAGTAACTGATAACACCTGACCTGTTACTTATTCAATTTGCGTCTTCCTGTGCAGGTAAATATTTTGTACACATTGTTATTTCGTTTCTAAGGTTCTCAATCAGGATCAGTACTGTCATAACATAAATTATTGCTGTTTTATTGCGCACAAAGAGGGAACTATCAACCAGTGTTGAAACCATTTCAGTGTAAACCTGAAATTGCTGTCTGAAACACTAAGTTTTACAAGGAATACGATACTGAAGTTACTCAAGATTCCAATTTATTTATTAACGAGGATGATTTTGTTTCTTACTCATTGACTTATTATGACAATTTATTTTCTCTGCTAATGAAGCCTTCATCATCACCTTTTTCATTTGGAGTATGATCTTCAGAAAGGGCTTCCTTCCATCAAAATGGTGAAACCTAAGAAAGGAACAGAACTTAGAGGAAGCCAGAGTGAGTAACTCATTTCAAAACAATAATTGTATATTTTCTGAACTGTTAAAGTTGGGTCCAATTGTCCTTAATTCATCAGATTTGTTAATTTCAAGTTAGTATAAAGTTGAAATAAAGTTGACTATAATTTTGAGAGTTGGTAATGTTTATTTTGGATGCAAATGAAAATTATTTAGTAGGTACATTTCAAACTCAGGCATCCTATAGGAAGAGCAGATTGGAGTCAAATTTACAAAAAGATTATTATGATTAAAAAGATGGTTGAGCCCAAGATTTTAGCAACTCCCTTATTGTTTCTGATTGCAAATCTTACTGAATCTGTTCAAATTACATTTTCCATTCATTGTAAAAGGTTCAAAGAAGAACAAAAAACATAGTTTCTGGATTGAGATCTTCAACTTGTAATAATAATAATTCTTGCATTTGTTATAGTGCCTTAATAATTGTTGAGATATCTCAAAGTGCTTCACATAATATTTTGTAAAGTGAATTGACTGTATTTTGTGGATGAAATTGATTGTGTATCGTGCAACAAGTAACTTCCAACATGCAGCTTGATTTCATCAAGGCAGACTTAATGATGAGACCTAATTGACGTCATTGAAATGCTGAGAAACTAATGGAAGTTATTTGTTGCATATCAGTAGATTTCAATGTTCATTCTTACTAGGAAGTACATTTTGCATAGTATGGAATTATTGATGTCTCAATGCTCTATTGGGAAAATTTGAGTGCTTTTTTTATCTAAGAGACATCTACTTTTTGCATTATATTATTTAATGTTTGCAACTCAAATCTGTATGGTGGTTGTTTGTTCAACTTCAAAGAATTTTAATTTCAATTTTCTGGTTGATACAGTTATTTTATCTATTGTGTTTTTAGAAACCAGATCTCCCGCCAGGTCGTCAGCAGCAAAACAGGATGGCAGCAAACAGGTTACCAGTGGTAACGAGGGTGAGCAGAATTGAGATTGCTGCATCTACAACTAATGTATAAAATTGTTAGTCTAAAGTGAACATAGTAACTGGATAGTATTGCAACTGGATAGTAACTATTTGCAATGCCTTGCTTGTTTTTCTTTAATGGGTACCATTATACAGCTCCTCTGCTCCCTCGACAGATCAGTATCTCCCACATCATTTTGGCACTCAGTCATGGACAAGGTAGCTCCCTAGTTTACTCTGGTCTATTAGTGAGCTGATATCAGAGGAGCAGTTGTAGGATACTGCAATTAATACCCATGCTTTACTGAAGTGAAACATAAATGCACCAAAGTTTGCTAGGTAACCAATGATCTCTATTGAAAATAATGTGTGACATTCAGGGATGAGGACCAATTTGAGCTTTACCATGATGTACCCCACACTCAATGCTGGTTATCACTGCATTTAGTCAGTTGAGATGTGGGTATGAATGAAAAGGACAGAAACCTTTGGTTCAGCAAAAGCTTGCATTTCCCCCATTTTCAGTACGAATACAGATTGTGAGAGTGGGGCCTTTTTGGAGTTTTAAGCAGATGGTAGCTCAGCGGTTAGAGCACTCGTCTTGGAAGTGAGAGACCTGGGTTCGATTCCCGTCAGGGCGAAACCTTGGGCAAGTTTCCTTATACCACACACCTGACAATAATCCCTCAAGAAAAAAAACAATAATAATTTGGTCACTTCAATCCACAACTGTCTGTGGGACACTGTGTGTGGATTTGGCTGCCACATATCGCCCACAAATATAAAGTCAATTCACTTTACAGTATATTCTCTGAAGCCCTTTGAGACATCTAGAAGATGTGAAAAGCACTATATTGAAAGCAAGGATTATTATTAATATTATTATACAACAAACAACAGGAAATTTATAGAATGCAGCTAGCACCATTTTTGATACTGATTCTATTGCAATGCTTTAAAGTTGTTCTGCCGACCACTGCATATTTGTAAAACGTGTTTATACCTCCTGTTATACTGTGCAAGGCAGGAAGTGACATGGGTGCCAACGGTTTCTCCTCCAGCCCCCGCACTGTCACGTCTGGCGTCCCCCAGGGCTCTATCCTTGGCCCTTTCCTCCTTAATATCTACATGCTCCCCCTTGGTGACATCATCCGCAGACCTGGAGTCAACAGGGGTCAACAGGGGGGAGTCCTGTAGCTTGGTGATTAGAGCATTCGCTTTGCAAGCGAGACACCTGGGTCTGGCAGCATCAACCTCCATGGTTGCACCTCCAACTCACCAAGCCAGTCAGGAACCTAGGTGTCTTGTTTGACCCTCAACTATCTTTTCTTCCCCACATCCAAGCCATGACCCGCTCTGCCTTCCCTCACCTCCGTAACATTGCCCGACTCCGCCACTACCTCACCCCTCAGGCCGCTGAAATTCTTGTTCATGCCTTCATCACCTCCAGGCTCGACTATGCAAATGCCCTGCTTATCGGCCTTCCCAACTCCTCCCTCCACAGGCTACAGATAATCCAGAACTCTGCAGCCCGTGTCCTCTCCCGCACCAAATTCTGTGACCCCATCTCCCCCATTCTCGCCTGACTCCATTGGCTCCCTATCCTTCAGAGGATCCAGTTCAAGATCCTGGTCCTCACCTACAAAGCCTTCCATTGCCTCGCCCCACCCTACCTCTGTGACCTCCTAACCCCCTATCAACCCGCCCGCTCCCTCTGCTCAGCCGTCTCCGGCCTGCTCCACGACCCCCGCCCCACCCACCCCACCATTGGCGGGAGAGCCTTCAGCCACTCTGCCCCCAACCTCTGGAATTCCATCCCCCAATCACTCCGCCTCGCCCCCTCCTTAACCTCCTTCAAATGTCGCCTCAAGAGCCTTCTCTTCGACCATGCCATCGGCCACCCCCCTTCTCCCCCCCGATCCCAGCTCGGGTCTGAAATGCTGTACACTGTCCAGCGCTTTGGGACGTCATCCCGACGTGAAAGGCGCTATACAAATGTAGTCTTTTTGTTGTTATTATTGATGACCCAGAAGTCTGACATTTTAACTTCTCTCACTAAAAAAAATCACCAATTTGTAGGTCATTAGTTCATCAAGAAAATTACTATCTACTTTCTGTTGGTCTTTTTACTTTCAGGGTATGAACTGACCCATGTGCAGGGAGTGAGTCTGCCTGCTTCATACATGAGTGTTGAGTTTTTAGCTTGTGTTTGGAATTTATGGATCCCAAAATCTGTTATGATGGAGCTCCACTGTAATTATAAACTGACGAGACTGAGTAGCCAGCAGTATCGCCGCAAAAAGGATAGAAAGGGAGATAAATGAATTTTAATGTAATGTACAATTTTGTGGGTATTCAGTGTGGAGTTTTCCAGAGTAATGTGAAGCATATGGATGACTTTTTGTTCTTGAACGATGATGGGTACCTACGATGAATGTTTTCAATGATTCAAAGAAATTTAGCTTGAGTGTGAATAGATAGTAAGGTGGATAGTGATTTGAATGAGTCTCAACTTTTGCAAAAGAAGCCAATGTCCTTGCAGAGCAAGTTACCAAATTTGTCTTAGTCAAAATCCTTCTTGGCTGTTACCTATGAAATAGGAAAGTGGAAAGTGATGAATGAAAAGTTGGGTTGTACATAGATTATTCAAGGTAAACAGTTTAACTTTACTGTGAATGCTGGTAGATAGCTTTGACGAATGTTCTAAAGGTGCTTTTTTCTTCAAAAATAATTAAATCAGGAAAATATAGCTGGGCAACACAAAATCTAATTTGTTTTTATCTTCAAAGCATCAGAGAGAAAAGAGTAAACTGGAGGAACAGAATGTTGATCAGATATGACAATTTACTCAACACACCACCACCATCACCTCGAATCTCATTCATCACTCAGCAAGAGAATATTTTAATACTTAGACTTTAACACTGCTATAACCGCAACATAGCTATTGAAATCTAAGAATATCACAATCTTACCTTCAACTGGATAAAACTAGCATGAAAATAAAATATTTAAAAACATTTGACTGTTTACCATCTATTTTAACCATTTCTGCTAACTATTTTAAATTTAAAATCTATTCCCTCCTATGTTTTTTTTGAAGAAAAAAGAGAAAACTTTTTTGCAGTCAATGAAAATCTAAAATATTCTAAAATGGGAAGACTGGATCACGTGTCCACAAAATATAGTCAATCCACTCTACAATATATTCTGCCTTGCAATTAGTGCTGAATTATTTGGGTTGTTGTTTAAAAGCCAACACAAAATGTTTTATACTCAACAAGTTATTTAGGAATAGAGCGAATGTGGGGAGAAGGGGGTCCCATTAAGTGGTAGCAGGAGTTGGAAAAAGTCTCTTTACTCCAGCAGGACAGCTGGCTTCCCTTCATTAGCAATGGGAGAAGGAAGCACTAATACTAACTCAATACTTCTCTAATTCCTTTACAGATTCTTCTATTTATTTATTTTAATTTTTGAACCTGATAGTCAAGGTAAACTTACACAGATATGGTACATTAACTATTTCTGCCCAGGGAAGTGCTTATATGACTGAGATCAGATTATGCTCTGAATCCTAAACTTGGAATCTGCCCTCAGTCCCATGACACCGTACAGCAGAATAATGAATTATTCTTTGTGTTCTTTTTTGGTTGTTTCTCTAATGGCTTATTTATCTTGCTATCATCTTGAACTGATCATTTTCTTTGTAGTTCCCCATTTCCAATTTGAATTATATAGCATTAGTTATGTTATTTTCAGAGTATATGGCAGGGGAGGTTATGTGCTGTGAATTTCAAGATATCTTGTGTTCTCAGGTGAGAATGAACTAGCTGCTTTGCAGCTAAAAAAGCGAAACCTGCAGGGAGACAGACGTGCTTATGAGAAAGAAACTCAAGAAGAAATAAGAAGGCAGAGGTGAATATTACGTTACAATACAATTTACATGCATATAGCACCTTTTACATCAGATGGACGACTCAGAATGCTATACCCAGCTGGCTGGTCACCCTAACCTGGAATGGGAGCTTAAGAGGGTGGGGAAGGAAAATATACAGATTGTGTGTCTTGACACATGTGAAAACCCATCACCAGGCTTCAGAGTATCCAAACCAAACAGATTTCGATGTATTCCACCTATACATGGAAATTCCAGAGATATATGTGGTCAAAGAGGTGAGTCTTGAGGCGAGCTCTAAAAGTGAGGAGCAATCAATCATGCGGTATTATACCAAACCCCAGTGTTATTCTGATATAAAATGCTTTATACAAGGTGCTTTGATGTCACTTCACTTTCAGAAAAATAAATCACTGTAAAGTATAGTTTATGTTACTGTTGACTGTTAGTTTATTATATTAACTTACAATGCAGTGTATATTTTAACTTATGACACATTGCATAACATAATCCAGTTTTTTTTCTTTCAATTGGTTTTATTTTTACTTCAAGAGGATTGATTGCACAATTGGAGTCAGAGAGAGATGAAATTTTAACATGCCTCAAAAGAGCATCAAGCCGAATCTCTCAAACCAAGGAAAACAAAGTGTCCGGGAAACTGAAGTCATTGCTGGACAAAGCAGATAATATAGACAAAGAAATAGAAAAAGAAAAACAGAAGCAATCAGAAATTGAAATCAAGGTAATGTAATGCAGCCAGTGACAATAACACAGGCAAATTACATGTGAAACGTAAAAATGTACCTAGTAGATAGAGGAATGAACATTGCCTTACCTGAGATGGCCAGTTTGAATCCTAAAAGTCACCAAGGTCAAGATATTAATGAGGATGAATGAATCGGCCTTGGTTCACAATTCTTGTCAGATGTAACTTGAATTAGCCAGAGACTTGATATGAGCATCAACCTGTGGCAGAAGATTAAATGCAACCAAACCCAGACAGATCTGTATTCCTGGTCTTCAATTTCATTTTGACTTGACCTATGTCCCTGAAGTAGAAGAAATTTCGCCATGTGAAAAGACCTGAAACATACATACCCAATACTGAAAAGAATATGGGCCTTCTATTGATGAAGCTCTGGAAACAATCTCCATATGTAATCGAAGAAAATGTTGGAATGAATATAATCGAGCATCATTTTTTCATCACTATTGCAGTCAAAGTCAAATAAACCCAAGCCAAAGAAATTGCTGAACCAAAGTCAACAAAACAGGTGAAAAATTATCTCACCTGCTTCATTTGGCATGGATTTGTATTTCTTGACAAATCGAGTAATCTGTCTTTCATCATTTCATGTCATCAAATCATCATTTGATTGAGGCTAAGATTATTAAAGCCTGCTTGCAGTCCAACTTGATTAACTCACCAAGCCAGAGCAGGTTTAGCCTTTCATCTCCATATCACTTTCATTCTTACCATTGAAGGTAATACCCTCCACGGCCTCGCCCCACCTCTGCGACCTCCTAACCCCCTACCAATCCGACCTGCTCCATGTCCTCCGAACCACCCGCCCCACCATTGGCGGGAGAGCCTTCAGCCACTCTGCCCCCAACCTCTGGAATTCCATCCTCCAATCACTCTACCTCACCCCCTCCTTATTTTATAATATTTATTGTTAAAGATAGTTTATTTTGAAATGCACACATACTGCATTATGTTTTCAGAGTTACTATGTGATTGGTCACACTCAGTTTATTTTTCTTAAAAAAAGTTTTAAAATCCAGACTTTATGCCTTAGATTATTATTATTATTGTTAGATAAAAGAAATGGAAAAGAAAATTGCCGAAGAGAGAAAATCTGATACTCCAATAGATGACCCAACAACAAATATTAAAAGGTTGACTGATCACGTTGCTCAGGTACTGCAAATGCAATAAAGTGTGTTACCCTTACATGTTTATCTAAAATAATTGAAATAATTGGATTCATATGCAGTATATTTTATAAAAAATGAATGGTCAATAATGAATGTATTTATGTGTAAACTTGTATTACATTTGAACAAATTCTGATACTTGATAGAGAATAAGAATTCACATTAACAGTCTTACACGACTTGAGTATTTTTCATGGTCCAGAGAGACAATTCCACAAGCATTCAAGACAAAATATTGGAATTCATCTTCATGAGGAACTAAAAAGTGCTCCTTAACCAGAAAACAATTACCTGAATGTTGTCTCTGACTAGAAATATATACCTCATTCATCAGAAGTCTATTATTCTCTTAAAGCTAAAGTTTCTAATGAACAGAAGTTACTTGTGCTCCTTTGGGTTTATAGGAGGATAAAGCTGAAATTTAGAAAAAATATTCTTTGCATTTGATATTGTGCCTTATTACATCGTTGAGACGTCTCAAAAGCCCTTCACATGATATACTATAAATAGACTGCGTAATTTGTGAGTATATTTACTTTTGTTTGCTTCTACATCTATTTAGATGAATTCTAAATTCAGCAGACTGCTAATTATCAACTCAAACCTTCTCAATGATATAGAAGTCATGTTTTGTGAAAGAGCGAAATTTCATCTGCTGCACAGAAGACTGCAAAAGGTGAATACATGGACCATATAGAGTACTGGACAACTTAACATAAAATACTTTTGATATGTTCTAAATAAAAGGAAATGTAACAAAATAAGCATATTGAATGACGGAGTTATCCGGTTACAATGGAATATTATCAAATCAAAATTTTGAAGTAACTATCTATGATAAATTCCTGCTGACAATTTAAGATTCAAAGTTAATTTATAATAAGGGAAAAGTTAATCTACAGGATGATCAGGTTCAAATCCGTAATCCGTTTCTTCTGAATATAGTATTTCAGCTTTCCTCTTTGTAGTTTTGTTCCTGCACAATGGACATTGTCACCATAACACTGTACAATATTAGCTCCAGCTTATAACACAAGTTAATGTATGAGATTGGAACCCAGCAGCTAACAAAAGAATGACAGTCATTAATATTTTCTTTCCAACATCACCAGGCATTAAAACACTTTTGTGAATACTCTTAATATATTGTATTAAGAATGCTGCTAGAATCAAAGACGTAGCACAGAAATTAATTGAAAGGCAGCAAGCCAATCAAACTATTTAAAATCTAACCGTAAACCTGCAATCATCTTGAGGCTGAAATCAAATCTCCAGGTCGTATAACACTTATAGACTCTTTAGGTTTTCTCTCATAGCTTTTGCCTGTTATAGGTTGCAGCCATTATAACTCACTGTTATGTATCTTTTCCTATTTATTGCAATGTGGGTCTTCTTCCAGACTATTTATCATTCCATCCTGAAAATGTCTACATTTATGTTAGTTAAAATTAAGTAATTGTCAATGCTGAATGTGATTGGCATAGGTCATATGGTTTTGGTCTTATTCTGACAACAACAGACCATAAATAAATAAAAGTTCTGAGATAGCAAGTGGTAATAAAGCAAGCTCAGTCTCATAGAGCAAACTGGCTGTCAGAGATAAAGGAGAACAATGTATTCTGTGCCTTTTACTAATGCTTGAAAACATGTAACAGGAGCTTGAAGAAACCAGAAGGGAGTCTGAAACAGTGATGGATGATGCTAATGAGGCCTATCAATCAAGGTACAGATATTTAATCAAAAGTTCATCTTTGCAATATTGCCAAAAAATTATTTAGATTAGAATTATCATACTCTACTGAATAACAAATAAGGGTAAAGAAACTGAATGGGGGTAATTATCCCATATGAACTTTTTCTTAAAAGCCCAAGGCTGGTCAAGCATGACTATGGTTGTCCAAAGAAAAATACCTCAATAACATGACAATTTGCATGATCTTGGCAGAACACAGGATCATATGAAGAGGAGTAGACCATTCAGCCCATCGAGACTGTTCCACCATTTTCCAAGAACATGGCCGATCCACAGTTAAATTCCACCTCCCCACCCTCTCTCCATAGCCCCTGATACTACTGTCTATCAAGTATCCATTTGCCTTTTAATAATAATAATAATAATCCTTGCATTTGATATAGCTCTTTTCACGTTGGGAGGACGTCCCAAAGCGCTTCACAGACCACACTGTAGAGTCAATTGACTGTATATTTGTGGGCGAACGCAGCAGTCACTTGCGCACAGCAATGTCCCACAAACAGTCGTAGATTGAAAATGACCAATTTTATTATTGTTTTTGGTTTTGGAGGGATTATTATTAGGCGTGTGGAATAAGGAAACTTGCCCAAGGTTTCGCCCTGCCTGGAATTGAACTGAGGTCTCTCACTTGCAAAGCGAGTGCTCTAACCACTGAGCTACAGGACTCTGCATGTCTGTGTGCGGGTTGATGTGGCGTTGTGCTATAACAAGGAGCAACAACAAATTGCATTTATAAAGCGCCTTTCACGTTCAGAGGCCATCACAAGGTGCTGAACAGATGAGAAATCCAAATTGCTTTTGAAAGACATGTTTGGGGATGCAAATAATCAATTTCAGTGTATTTTTTGGTAAATTTGATCTAAATGGCCATATATGAGGAAGGAAGTACAGATATAAATCAGCACTGTGTGTAAATTCTTCACAACAGATGGCTGTATTGAATTTAGAGTTGGGGCTATTGGACACAGTAATTCATTTGAGACTGATATTTTGCACACCTGTTCAGAGGGTGGTAGTCATGGCAGCGATAAAGTCAAGCAAAGCTGTTGAGTAACATATTTGAAGTAATTCTGAGAATGCAAACTGGGGGACGAGGGAGAAAGAGATTAGGAACAAACTTAATCAATTAAGCAAAAGTAGAGTCGAAATTCTGAAAAAAATATGTCACCATGGAATAATGACAATTCAATGGAAGACTGGGCACAGAGAATTTAAGGCAGAAACTGAGGAAAGTCATCAAATAAAAGTAGGATACAATGAGAAAATAAAAAGAAAATAGTATTAGTAAATGTAGCAAATAAGGAGAGAAATTCAAAATAATATTTATTTAAAAAAACAAAGGCAGTGTAAATCTAGAAGGTAGATTATAATATTTCAGGATTGCTAACCATATTTTAGATGTTGCTTAATTTGTGACCTGTTGTGGTCTATAAATAAAACCTCACTTGTGTGAAAAAAATTATAGTAATTATCTTTAGCAAAACTAAATCCTACTATAATATTAATTTGTCATTAAAAATTTGGTGATATTATAATTCCTCCTCAAGTAATATAGTTAGAAATACAGTAGTTTATTGGATGAAAATTGTAAGATATGATGTCATAACTATGTCTACACAGAAAACTCCTAGCCACCAATGTCTGGCTGTAGAAGTTACTGCATATTGATGTCAGTTTACTGCATATGCTAGCTTGCCTCTGTTTTCTATGTTGAATTAAGTTGTATCTTTCTAACTAACACTCAAATGGCGTGACCTGCAGGCTAAAAATGCAATAGCTGTGCACAAGTGCAGTGAACAGAGCCTGCATGCCAATCAAATTTTAAGTGACAGCGCATTATAATCAATCATGTTACAACCGGATCTATTGTTGTACAGAAGGGTTTAGAAAATCAGAATGCCCATGCAGTTTCATTTGCTATCTGTGCTTGGCAACTGCACTTTATTGTTACATATTTTTCAACCATACATTTAACCTTAAAAAGGTCTTCCCAAAAAAAAGCAATTAAAAAAGATTCTATGTGAATATGAAATGGAAGCTGTGCCCAACATCTGCTGTGAAATGGTAACCTAGACATGACTTCATTAAAAAGCATAAGATAAGACATTCTTCAAATATCCTTGCAAACCCATTATTTCTTGCAAATTACATATGGAATTGTACGATCTCAGCTAAAAGGTGTCACAATAGGCTACTTTGCAAACATGCAGGTCACATATGGCAAGGACTTGATATGTTGTATCACAGAAAGCACTAAATGAGCTAAATGTATGACGTTCTTGCTTTTGTACAGCTCGGTTAAAATGAGAATATGTTCATTAAGGCAATTTGACATCACTGGGTGCTTGCATTTTGTATTTGATAATCCTTGCATTTTGCCTTATATCAGCAAATCATCTCAAAACATATTGCAACATTTACTGTAAGGTGCCTCGACTGTTATTTGTAGGTCACAAAGGTATTTTTTTGTAAAAGTATTTCAGAGGAATCTAATGAAAATGATAGATTGAGTCCAGCCTTTTGAAATCAGTCATAAAGGCAGATGGAAATATGGAATACACCAAGGTAATGTTGTCCAAACAATATACCGGAGTCCTGAATTTTCATACGTTCTTAGCCTTAAGACCATTTTCTTAAAATTTAAGATTTTGTAGGAACTTAGATATTTTTAAAATTTTGTTTTCATTTCTGTTAAACAAGTATCCTGTCGTGAAAGGCGCTATACAAATGTAATTTGTTGTTGAGCTTGTTGTATGTATGGATTATGTCATCAAAGTTACATTGCAGCCCCTTAGAAAGACAGTAAACTAAATGTTTTACAAATTTATGTACATTTGTCTATCTTTGTTTCAGTTGTGTGAAGCAATATTCTTATTGAGTACTGTAGTGTTAAATAACATGACATTTGTGTTCTCCTGGGAGCACAATAGTAACAACTGGGAATAAATAAATCTCATCATGCTATTTGTTCACATGAATCCATCTATAGTCACATGAATCCATCTATAGCCTTTGGCATAGAAGTGACTAAGATCAAAACTTACAGATTTATTATCAACCAAATGAACTCCCTAATTCTCTCGTGGAAGAAACTTTTTTTTTGGATGTACACAGAAAGTAAAATACAGTAAATGAAGTACAGTTGTATTTGTCCAGAGTGTTACTCTAAATTCTGTTTAAGTTTATCATGTATGAAAACAGGATCATTGCTACACTCTCATTCCCAACACCACTTTAGCACATATTACAAATGCAGATTTTGTTTCCATGTCAGTAACATAATTTTCTCCATGTGGATGAAAAGGAATATTTAATGAAAGATTTGACATAAAATTGAGCTCAACATGTGTTGAATTATTATTTAAGGAAACTTAATTTCAAATTATTTTCTGCTTTCTCTTCCTTGTTGAACACAGAGAGGAGGCTCAAGCTCGTATTGCACGTGCTTGGGAACAGCAGGAGAATGACACTGAGCAATATAATGTAGAATTGAAAGAAATGAAACGAGAGCTGGATCATGTTGGAAGCCTGAGTACTTTTCTTGTACAAAAAACAAAAGAGAGAGAATCAGATAAACAGCTTTTAAAATCAATAAAGAAGAAAGGTACATAATCACTGTCTTGTGGACATCAGTGGACTTGCTGAATGTACACAACACTGACTTTTTTGTTCAGTTAAGCTGTTATTTCCATAAACAGACACTCAAACACTCTGCTGGAGGCATGCTACGTGTCTCCAGTATAAATTTTGGCCTTAAGAAGATGTTTCTGGTGAATCCAGGAATTGGTACAGAAACCAAATGCATCATTGATGGTTTACTAGCCTTCCTGGCTCATCTGTGAGATTTAAAAATGTGTATACATCCTGTAACTCAGTGGTTAGAGCACTCGCTTTGCAAGTGAGAGACCTGAGTTCAATTCCAGGCAGGGCGAAACCTTGGGCAAGTTTCCTTACTCCACACAGAGCCTAATAATAATCCCTCCAAAACCAAAAATAATAATAAATTGGTCATTTTCAATCTACGACTATTTGTGGGACATTGCTGTGTGCAATTGGCTGCTGCGTTTGCCCACAAATGTACAGTCAATTCACTTTACAGTGTGTTCTGTGAAGCACTTTGGGACGTCCTCCTGACGTGAAAAGCGCTATATCAAATGTAAGGATTATTATTATTATTATTATTATTAACCATGTGAACCAAAGTCCACCAGGTAGGGCAGTCCTAGCTGGACAAGTACCGTTTACTCGTAAAGAAACTTAAGATAAAAAAATGCACAATTTTCTTTGTGAAAATAGGTCCAGAAGGATATGCAGACATACAAAATTATAAATATATCCCAAATAAAACATAAACTCCTAAATTCTCATATAATTGAATTCTTTGATGTAGCTACCTGTTATCAGTTATTTTAATGTTCAGAAGTTCAATCCATTTGTTTACATTAAATCTTTAAAGTTGAAGCAACTGACATTTTAAACTCTGCTGAATGACATATTGGAATTAAAATCTCTGATCCTATTCTCAGAGGCAATGGAAAGGGAGAGGAAGATTGAGCACAAGGTGCTGATGAATAAATATGAGGAAGCGATGCAGAAGATCAATGACATAATTGAGACAAGTGCTAAAAAAAACAATTTCAATCGACAGACCGGAAGAAACAGGATTGACATCAGGCTTGAAGGAACAAATGAGGATGAAAAGAAACTTACCTGGGAATTGGGTATGTAAATTCATGAATTCTTAATGTTCCCTGTTTCACATGATGTGAAAGAAATCCTGGTGAAGTTTCTTCAGCCAGTGTTTAATAACGGAAGTCAAAGAAGCAGTAATTCCATTCATATCTTAGATTATAAAGTTGTTTATGCTATTAGAACACTGAGATGCACAAGAGAATCGAATTCCTGTCAGATGTAAGATAGAAATCATATGGCAAATGTATACTTTTAATAACATTTGGATAAGATACAATTTGACGCTGATCAATCTTGGTGCTATAACGTTAAGGCGACAATTATGTTATCACAACACTGAATGCCATTTTGAAGTGGTAATCAATTAGTACATATAGCGGGACATAAAAAGGGGGTTTCAGAAGGGGTTTCAGAAGATTCAACCTGGTTGATTTATAGCATCCAGCTCAACTAATTTCCATTGAACCTTTCCCATAAAGGGAATAAGGAACATATCTGTAAGCAAATGTTGCAGTTTGGTATAATGTCTTGGAACAGCCAGTGGGAGGGGGGAGTTGCTGCTCAGATCCACACTGAGATCAATTGACTCAGCATAGACGAGGGATCGAACCTGTGATATTCCCTGTCAATATGACACTAGTGCTGACAGATTTTATTTGATTATCAATGGCATCTACTGGGGAGGTATATGAAGGAACTTTCAATGATCAGTTTCATCATTTGAAGTAAATGTATTTCATCCACAAAATGTTTCTGATGTGTTTTGGAAGGATAATGTATAAGATTGACTAATATTAAGAAGCCTACATTATGTTTTCATCAAACATTCAAGGATTTCTTCACACGTGTGATTATGCAGTGATTACAAATGCATTGAGGTTACTGTGTGAAGGAACCTCCTAGGAGTTTGCCAATAAAGCACTTCAGAAACAGTAAGGACACATTGTTTAATTAAATGCTCCAAGGTCTCAAATCAGGCATATTATGATTAATGAGGCAATTACAACTCGTTTTATTTTTTGTGGAGACAATCAAAAATCATCAAGCAGTTGTTTTCGTTTAAGAGGTTTAAAAGTTGAATCAGGTCTCAACATAGAGGGTTTTATTCCAATGAATAGGCAAAAGGTGAAACGTATAATGTTTTATAGCACATTTGATGTGCTTATTATTGAATCTGAAAAAAAAACAGATTTTCTCCTTTCATTGAAACATATGCTTCATTTAACTCAATAATAGGAAAATATAGCTAAGATTTACTTTAGGCACAACTTGGATATTTCCGCAGATATTAAAGGTAAATATGAATGTATGTTTATAAATTGTCCTTAGAAATTGGACAAAATTGGACAGAAACCCATAATATGCATAACATTACAGGAAACGACTTGAGAAATTAAATTTTTTCGGGAATTAGTTTTCAGAAAATCTAAATTTGGGTACTTGAAGAACTGAATGTGCAGCTGTGATTCAACTGGCTATGTATGAACCTCCCAGAGTACTTCAAAATATAAAGATGCCCTTACATTTAACATAGTGCCTTTCATGTCAGGAGAGGGATTCAGTGTTTTACAGGATTTACAGTAAGTGTAGCAACTGTAGTTTGTAGGTGAGCATGGCAACCAATTTGTGCACATCAAGGATCACATTTAAGGAATTAAACTTCAACAGTGATTATTTGCTAAGGTGGCTCATTGGAAATGGTGCATAATCATCGTTCCAGTCTACCTGGAAAGTTCTTATTAATAATAATAATTCTTGCATTTGATATAGCGCCTTATCACATCATCGAGCCGAGTTAAATTGCTTCACAAGATATACTGTTAAGTGGAGTGACTGTGTGTTTTGTGGGCAAAACGCGGCAGCCAATTGCGCGTAGCAATGTCCCACAAACAGTCAAGATTTGAGTGACCAAATTATTATTTCTTTTCAAAAAATTTGAATGGATTATTACCCCTTGGAAAGCGATCCACCAATCAATTAAAAACCAGGTTCCTACTCACTGCTGGGTATATAGAATTAACTAGGAGTTTCACTAATTCTGAATGCTTACTAACCTTTAGTTATAGAAAAATCATGCTGAAAACTTTCACCTGCTGAAATAAATAAAATCCCTCCATACTTGTGTTGAGGGCAATCTGTGTGTAAATAATTTCAGTAATTATGCGCTGGCTTGACAATTAATCTATAAATTCTGAATTCAAGTCTTATGAGCATTACTCTATGATGACAATATGCTCGTGCATTACCATATGAAAACCCTTCAATGAAGTCTGAGAGCAGTATCTAGGAGCTGAGTCACAGATGCAGGCAGTGCTTGTGTCTGGAAAGGTGAGCAGAAAAGCAAGTGGAAATACAGGTGTATTGTCTTGTTTTAAATACAAAATGAATAGGCTTTCTGAACCTCAAAGTTAAATTATCCCACAGTTCAGGCTGTTGCAAGATTTTGTAGAATTTGACAAGATACTGCCTCTTTATACAACTTGACATAAGAAAATGACTTCTAGTCATTGTCTCCAAAAAGAAAAGTCTCATTTGGATGCTTTTCAATAATTCATCATTAGTTTTAATCAAAATGAGCAATAAGTTTGCTCTAAAACCTGGATAGCATTGTTTTGACAGAGAACATAACCTATTCCATGTGAATATAATAAATAATCCTCACATTTATCATGTCATTGAAACATCTCAAAGCAACTCACAGGATTTACTGATGAGTATGTGACTGTATTAGTAGATTCAAAAAAGGAACCAATTTGTATGCAGCAATTTCAGACATTCATGAAACTGAAACGGTAGTTTGATTTTGATAGTAATGATGATATAAACAAATACACAACTCTCTCGATTGATAGGTATCCAAGGGATACTTAAAACAGTCATCCCACCCACCAAAGAACATAATAATAATAATAATTCTTGCATTTGATTTAGCACCTTATCACATCGTCGAGATGTCTCAAAATGCTTCATAGGATATACTGTGAAGTGCAGTCACTGTGTATTTTGTGGGCAAAACATGTTTGAATAGAAACAATAAAACCACCAAACATTGCTTTCCCTCCATGGGTCACAAAGAATAAAATATATACAGTAATTACAATAGAAAATGGTCGGAATCCTACTCAATTACTTAGAGTGAGATCAAGCACTTAATGCCTCTCCCAGCACAGACCTATAAGTCTATCAGGGATGAAACATTTCATACAGAAGTAATTACATTTTAAAATTAAATCGCTTTTGATGATATACATTATGGTACATGACAGAGGGCCTTTTTTTTGTGGGGGTGGGGGGGGTGCGAGAGGTGTGATGAATATGAATGATGCACAAACTCTATGCATTCATGCTACCATTGTTTTGAAAGATCTGACCATTTATCAAAATGAGCCAAACTGAGTTTATTTCAGGTTTTCAGTTTGTTTCAGCACTCATCACTAGTACGCAATACAGCTGAAAGACAGAACAAGAAAGGGCAATCAGAAAGACACATTATTTTATATGAGTCAATCACTTGCAGTTGGTTTTCTTTGTAAAGATTTGAAACTGTGCAGTAAGACACATGGGTCCAGATAGGTCCAGGATCTCATGTCCCTTCCAGGGAGTTTCTAAGGTATTCTCTCAGATTGATTTTGCTCCAATGCTCCTTTTACCCCTCTGTGAGACCAAAGAGCATGTGTGATATTACTTGTTTATAGGAATGTATTGTTTTTACTTGTAAGATGTACTTGATGCTCATCCAGAACTCAGCAGCTCGTGTCCTCTCCCACACCAGGCTCCATGACCCCATCACCTCCATCCTCTCCCATCTCCACTGGGTCTCCATCCATCCCTCAGAGGATAGAATTCAAAATCCTCATCCTCACTTTCAAGGCCCTCCACGGCCTTGCTCCCTCCTACGTCTCTGACCTGCTGACCCGCTATCAACCTGTTCGCTCCCTCCGTTCAGCAGCTCTGGCCTGCTCCATGTCTCCCACCTATCATCAGCGGCCAGGTTTTTAGCCTCTCTGCCCCCACCCTTTGGAACTCCATCCCACAATCCCTTTACCTTGCTCTCTCCCTTGCCTCATTCAAGGCATGACTCAAGACACTCTTTTTCGACTGTGCTTTCAGCCATCCTCCTACACTCTCTGCCCTCCCTCACCCCAACCCTGCCCCCCACCCCTATTTATAATAGCATAAATGTAATTCAGAATTAAAATGTGGATTATTTAAGGCTCAAGTCTACTTGACATTGAAATCCTCTTATTCCCCCTCATGTTTTTAACATTCCAGTGGAGTACAATTTCAAAACTGCAACCAACAATTTTCTAACTTCCTCCACACTTTGATAACTTGACATCACAGACCTAGCAGGAATCTTGCTCTATTATGAACTATTTTTCTTTATAGATTCAGGGAATTGGCATAATGCCAGCTTCTCAGAAGCTCTAAGAAATGTAAGCTTAAGGTGGCTATTCAGGCATTAATCGAATGTTTGAAGCTCTGAGGAACAAATCCCTGCAGTTCAGACAAATATCAATATGAGTCTAGTTGAAATGATACACTTGTCACTGAAGTTTAAATTACTCCAGTAATGTGTTGGAAACCATGCCAGCTAAAAGACTAATGGTATATGTGAATTTCATAGGGACAGAGCAACTGTTTTATTTTAAATCTATAAAATGCCATGGACCTACTAAAAATGAATCACATTCAGTACAATCAAGGTAGGAGTCATAAAATTATATTTGAAACAAGACTTGTGGTCTTTCCTTGAACTGTTCTTTTAACTGTGGGTGCTGAATATGTATGAATTATGTTGCACATAACCTGTTTAAGTGCATGGAAAATATTTAATAAAATCTTCATCCATAACCTCCTTCTTTGCTTGTAAGATCACTGCAGATTTGCAAACTTTTACAAAATGTGAAATGGTTCCTTTATTGGTCACTTTAAGGTTGTGCTGAGACTCATCAAGCAATATGCATTTAATTTAGTACTTCTATCAGTTATTTTTAAAAATAATTTTAAAATTCTACATCATTTAAAAATAATTGATAACAGATGGAGAATTTAAAAATTCCTGGTTAAAAAATGGTTTATGCTAAGAATTTACGAATCTTGAAATGCCATCAGGAGATTTAATTTATCGATGCTTGATGTATATATGTCTTTCATACCTCAGTATTTTCCTCCATGGGCAGATGTCAAGAGGAAATCCGTGTCCTTAAATACTTATTCAAAGGAAGCTGCTGGTGAAAGTGATGCCGATAGAAAAAAATCAAGGATCCCAGAACACAGAAGGAGATCCTCCATACTAGCTACTGCATTGGAGGATCAGGAGAGGCAGCAAGGGATGAATACGAAATCTCTAGAGCACCAAGTGATCCAAGAAGGAAAGAAAACTGTAGATTTTGATGCACAATTATTTTATGATGTGTTCATGAAAAGTAAGTAGTAAATTCAGCCTGTTTTTTTCAGGCATCTAAAGTTTTGTTAATTTTATATTATTGTTCATGCAAAATTAAAATAGGAATTCCTATTAAAACTACACTCATTAATCCATATTTTTTTGTGTGTATATACATCATACATGTAACTGCATCCAAAATGGATGCACTGTAAGTTAAATAGCTACTTAAATATATGGGGGTGAAAATGCAAAATGTGATGTAAGAATTCTCACCAGTGATATTTTTCACATCACTGAAAATTCTACCACTGTCGATATGTCTGTCAATGACACCCCTCCAACCCCCCCTTTCTTCGTCACAATGGTTACACCTGGTGAGCAACTACTAACATGTTACCCTGCAGGTCACAACATTTCAATCAATTCCCAAGATGTTAGCTAAACCCAACTTCTAAAGCGAGGTATAACATGTTTTCCAGGTTTTCCCACTATACAAATCTTGTCAGTTTTTCAAATTAAGAATTGTTGCTAGCATAGGATGCTTGGGCGCCTTCACTGTCCAACTCCAGTTTTGAAATTTAGTTATTTACGTGTCTGTACCACAGAGCTGTTTTTTTATATTTTTATTCTGAGCAATATGTGATATAAATCCTGTTGACATTGCTTGAAATCTCTGCAGTGGTGTGCTGGTGGTGTCCATAGTACCTGTTGCTATGTTTCTCTATCGGTGTAATCATTCTCAATGTAATGTGGGCAGTTTGCTGGTCGAATGTATAACTTCATTTTTTCTGTGTATGTTGTGTAAGTAGGGCGAAACCTTGGGCAAGTTTCCTTACTCCACACGCCTAATAATAATCCCTCCAAAACATAAAACAATAATAAATTGGTCGTTTTCAACCCACGACTGTTTGTGGGACACTGCTGTGCGCCGCGTTTTGCCCACAAATATACGGTCAATTCACTTTACAGTATATTCTGTGAAACGCTTTGAGAAGTCTAGAAGACATGAAAAGTGCTATATCAAGTCCAAGGATTATTATTATTATTATTATAATGATAACCGCGGGCCAACTTGTTCCAGCAAGTAGCTTCTTGTTCGGTAATTTCTATGATTCTATAATTCTATGTATTCTGAGTCATCTAATTGCTTACTATTGTTTTGTATTCTTATTATTGTTGTACAGGAGAAGATGAAAACTTTGCGTTGTTTAACTTTGTGACCGAGCAAACCAATGAAATTGAAAATACAGAAAATTACATCGCACAGGTAATTAATAATCCTTGCATTTGATAAAGTGCCCCAACATTACGTCTCAAAGAGCTTCACAGAATATACTGTAAAGTGAATTGACTATATATTTTTGTGGGCGAAATGCGGCAGCCAATTGCGCACAGCAGTGATATATTGATCTTATTCTGAAATAATTTCTTTAGTGAGGCCATATCAATGAGAGCAGTTGAGTGATGTGGAGCAGGAAACAGGATTTATATTTCCTTCCACATCACATTTAAAAAAAACTTAGTGAGTTATACTTATGTTAAGTATCATTAAAGAGTGACTAATTATTTTTTTACTAACATTAAACAGTAGTCCATAGAAAGTTGCTGGACTGTCCAACCACCTCTGAGAGCTTTCAACACTCCACAGCAAAGTAAGGCTATATGTTTATCAGCAATAAACTATTCCTGAAACCACTAACTTGGTGTCAGGAAGAAAATTCTACTATAGTTTTCCTTGTGGCTTAACCTCGACACAAACTACCCACTGGACAGAGAATTACTAAATACAGTTGCAACATTTCACTGTGAAATATGCATAATAAACCAAGTACATTTTTTTTCTATTTGTCAACTCTCAGTTCAGATGCCACAATACCACAACAACTTGCATTTACATAGTGCCATTCACACGAGGTAACGTCTCCAAGGGCTTGAAATATAGATTAGCCTTTTTCAGATCTACTGGTCTGCAGTCCAGACACCTGTGTTTGCTGCAACTGGAAAAATAAGTTTTCATTTGAACTTGTGGGAATACATTTTTTTACTTCACCATTTCTCAAGAGAAATTCAAGTGAGAGCACTCCATCACTCTGGTGCAGACAGTGTGCTGATTTATAAAACAGATGGAATGATCATCCTCCATTTTACCATAATTGTGTTTTATTTCAGTTTTATTTCAGTCTCTATTGAGAATATTGATAAATTGATTGATAACAGTAGCACTGAAAGTCTGGAACAAACATGTGTTACGGCCCGTACAGTAAAAAACACTTTAGTTTTCAGAGGGTGAAATATATGTTACTGCATATAAGTAAAAAAAATAAATACTATACTATTAAATTAATTCCAATGTTAAAAATGTTATGTGTTTTGTCATTTACACAAATTTTGTTACTATTTATTTTCTAGCTAAAAATAAGGATTGAGTTTCAGAAATCAGAAATCCACACTATAAATCAGGAGCAGGACAATATGAAGATCAATCTTGAACAAAATCTGAAAGAAATAGCAAAAGCAGCAGATAAACTCCAAGAAGAAGGTGACAGATCTGAAAAAAATTTAAATCAACTGAAAACAGGTAGGCCAGCTTTATTTCTCAAATTAAAACAGGATTTACCTCCTTGCACTAAAGTAGCACATTCTGGCATGAAAATTCCTTTTAGAACATCTATCCAATCAACAACAATAAAAAAATTACATTTATAGAGCGCCTTTCACGTCGGGAGGACATCCCAAATCCACTCCAAATGCATTGATATATTCACCTCATTATAAGGTTATGACAGACTTCGATTTTGATTATTTGTTCTCTGCCACCTCAAAGTACTGCAGTAATATTGATATTAATAAAAGTAACTTCCAGTTATATACCACCTTCACAAAACGTAAAGGTCTCAAAGCGACTGCTAAAATATAATTGATTAGAAATGAAGTCAATGTTATTTTGTATACAAATGAAGCTGGCAGGAACCCTCTCACTGTTAAATCCTTTTAAGGTCTAACCAGAGCTGAGTTGCACTCATGTATTACAAATGATAGCGCTTGAATCTCACTTAAAAAAATATTTGGAAGCAAGCATAGAGTCAAACTGAAATTGTTTTTCTATAGAGAACCATTTGATTTCCCAGTGCTTGAGGTATAAATAAGACTCATTGGAATAACCATATTTATAAGCCTGAGGCTGTAAATGCCTGAGATGCAACAGTTTTAAGCTCGGTGCTTTCAGCCCTTCACAATGGTGGAGAAATCCCAGGAAAGTTTGTTGTGTTTGGGCAGATATTGATGTGTTTCAGACTAATAGTGAGAGTTGATGGCGCTGGATGAGACTAGAAACAATTGATGGAGGAACAAATAATGTGATTGGAAGAGAGATGCAATCGATCAGCCAGTCAAAAAAAAAGGTTGCAAATGAGCAGCAATGAAGTGAAAATCAAGAATATTCAGCTGGATATTCAATTAGGGAGATAGGGTTAAACCCCAGGAAGTCCAAAAGGGGTGAAGGGAGAAGACAAGAGACACAAAATATCAGAGCAAGCTGTAATGCGACTTAATAATCTGAAGGCAAACTAAGCAAGAGGCATGATGTATAGAAGTGGATACAAAGCAAGAAAATAAAAAAATAGAGGGAAAATGGTACATCTACCCAAGAGGGCCAGCACAGAATGGCCTTCTGCGCCACACATTTCTGTGGTTCTATAGTTCAAGATATAAAACAAAGAGAAAGATTAATCTACTAAAGGTATCAGAATAGATTCAGTAGTACAGTGGCAGTAACTTTCCTTGAGGCAACTTATTTACTGGCTTTATTTGCTAGAATTATACATTCCTCTGGCAAGAAGAAAATTAAATTTTTATTATGTTAAGATTTTATCGGAGCGATACTGATTATTTAAAAGTTATTGGGGGCCACAGCTAATGTTTTTGTATGCTAGTTGGGTTGTGAAAATTTATTACATTAGTATTGAAGGTGGAGCTTTTGTGTCCATATAGATTGGGCAGGAAGTGATTAATTCGTTTTGTGATTGCATTTGAGCCCATTGCTTCAGATTAGCTGGCGAGTTCATTGATTACAGTATAATTAACTGCTCTGAAGGGGTTTACCAAATCAATTAACTGTTACAAAATATCTTCAGTGGGGTTAAATGAGATTGGATGGGACAGTTATTTAGTAGGTAAGTCATTCATTAATCCGTTGTGAGAGAAATAGCCTCAGAGGAGCTGCAAAAACGTGCAAATATCAAATAGCCTTCGGTGGGGCTGAAATAATGCAATTTATAGCTCATTGGAGAACTCATTTATTTACTATGGATATGATAGGAAGCTAAAAAGGGAAGTGATTTTTTTTTAGATTGATTGAATGGATGGAGATGAGATGATACTGGATACTGGAGATGACTGATTCACAAGATAATGCACTTGTCAGTAAGCTAATTCATAAAAAGAGCTTGACAAGTATGGTTGGTACGAAATTAGCATCCCTGAGAAGGTTTCAGTGTCTCCCAAGGTTTGGTAGCAAATAGAAAGATCACCAAGGTTACCAAGATATGACATATATATGCTAAACAGAAGCAACAAAAGTAGGATCTCACCAAGACACCAATGACCAAGGTCCAAAAGAAGACTGCAGCCAGGCTAAACTAAAAGGCAGAAAGGATCTAGATATTTAACATGAGAATAGAACAAGAGACTAGGGACAGAATCTTTATATACGTGCAGCTAATCCAAAATCTTGATCTTTAGCCAGGATATAAGGAAATATAATCCATACCTTAGCATGATTGATAACTTCTCCAATATATTACTTTGAATGTAGTGGAGTTATTTTGGAACAAATAAAAATATTTAGATATGTATTGTGACCAGGCTTAGATTTCAGGGAGCTAAAATGCATCCGTCTTTTGGATGAGATGTTAAGCAGGGCTGCCTGTTTGGGTGGCATTAATCCCATAACACGATTTATGAAGAGAATGGAGTTTCTCCCATTGTCATGGTCAGAAATTCAGTAAGTAAAATTGGTTATTTTACTCTATTTTACTCTATTTTCACTTTGAAACATTTTGATATAGGTACTACATCAGATTCAAGCATTAATATTATCATTTATGTTGTTTTGCCCTCAGTGTCTTGCTGTCTGTAGTAACTTTTCAATAAATTATAATAATAATCCTTGCATTTGACATAGGGCTTTCTACGTCTTCGAGACATCTCAAAGCACTTCACAGAATATACAGTAAAGTGAATTGACTGTATATTTGTGGGCGAAACGCAGTAGCCAATTGCATACAGCAGTGTCCCACAAACAGTCGTGGATTGAATGACCAAGTTATTTATTTATTTTTCTTGACGGATTATTATCAGGCATGTGGAGTAAGGAAACTTGCCCAAGGTTTCGCCCTGGCAAGAATCAAACCTGGGTCTCTCGCTTGTGAGGCAAGTGCTCTAACTACTGAGTTACAGTACTCCACTGTGAATACTTCTTTATTCATGCAGTCCCAGAAGTTCAAGCCAAGGTGGTAAAATACATAACTATCACATTAAGTAAACTTGAATATATAACTTGAAAAATTAATAATCATTGTAAATTAAGGCAGTTTCTCAGAGGAAGGCAAAAGTGTGAGGCAAGTTAGTTCATGTAAGTTTTATTGAGCATGTCTCAATGACGAACAGAAGGTTAGTACTGGCACAGACTTGTCTGCTCACTCAGCCAAGAAATAGTGCATGACACAGGAGGGAGGAAGCAAAGTGCAACATAACTAAATAATTTTTTTTTGCGCTGTATATGTTTTGTGAGTTGTAGAATTAACAATATAAAGAACTGGATTTTAGTCTTTAAGAGGCATCATCTTTATGACAAAATATTTCATACAACCTTTGCCTTTGCATGCATGATTTAGCGTAAATCATATCAGGTGATATAATAAATAATAATAATTAATTGGTCACTCAATCCACGACTGTTTGTGGGACACTTCTGTTTGCAATTGGCTGCCACGTTTCACCCACAAAATATACAGTATATACAATATATACTGGGAAGCACTTTGAGACATCTCGAAGACATGATAAAATACAAGGATTATTATATTATTATTGTATTATTTTGATGAAATGATGCATTAATCTTCTCCCTCACAACAAGAAAATAAGTCAACAAATATATGCCTGTTAAGAAATGCCTCACGTTTAATTGCATTTTTTAATCTGAATAATTATTGTATTTCCATATTCCAGGTATAGACAGTCTTGCCAAAAAGTTGGAACTAAATACAGAAGACTTTTCACAGTTTCTGGGCTGGTCAGAGGGAGTAACTAACCACAACATCTTGACCTATCTAGGAATGATTGAACAAAGAGTTAGTGAATTACTGGCTGCACGCTCCTTTTTGCAGTATAAGGTAAGTAGATCGATTATCTTTTGTTCTTGCCAGCACATGCTTGCAATTTCAAAACAAATTAGGAATTCTTTGAGAACTATCAATCAAGCAAAATATGTGAAAGGAGCATTTTCTTTATGATTGAAGAAAAATTGGGTCAAGCTGGTACATCACATTGTTTGTGCATATTTGTGTTTAAGAAATAAATCCTGATGTATGTTTTTTTTTCCCTAGTCTTTTTTTCCTAAACAAACAAAACAGGGGACAAAGCCTTTTTCTTAAAGGATTATGTTTAGGTTCAGGATCAAATTATACATAACATTCTCCTGGAAGATTGCATCCAGGAGACTGCCCTTTCAAGTACCTAGTCATATACTGTACCATCATATTTTCAGATGATGCAATGAGAATACGAGAAAGCATGAAATAGGAGAGTGCAATTTATCACTGAGCTCAATTAATACACAGACCAAATAAAGCTTGCCCACTCTGACACCTAAGCTAATTGTAGATGTAACCTGAAGCCCAAAGGTAATTGAGTAAAAACTCCAGAATATTCATCTACCCATACATTTGCACAACTCAACCCTGGTCTCCATTCTTCTACAAATAACATTATTTCTCTCTCCCCACCACCACAAACAAACCCACCACCCAAATGCAACAACATTGAAATAATCAATATCTATCTTGCAGTATTCACCTTTAAAGCTATAGTCTCTAATCAGATACAACCTCATTCTTTTTCAAATCACATCAACCGTGAACAGAAATGAATTATTTATTAACCAAATCTTAGTTTCATTCTAGGATAACAGGAATATCTCTCTGCTGGCAAAGCATTTGCTTCAATTCTTGTTAGCTGAGATTCGTACTTTCAGAATGTGTATCATAATTATGTGCAGCATGACAATAACAGCAGTATATGTGAATTCTAGGCCAAGATTCCTTCAGAATCTGACATTTATCAGGGTCATGCTGACAATTACAACATTTGCTTGGCTTCCTTCAAACCAAAATGGAAAAGTTAATTGGCAAATCATAGTTATCTGCAAATTTGAGAGATAAGACAACAGGGATGTTAGAGCGGCACATTGTGCCTGTGGAGTATAAAATAAAGTTTTTAATTAATAATAGTCATGTTTGCATCGCCCCATTCTTTCACTTTGGGCTGACAGAAAATGATGTTACATGGATAGCTTTGATGTTAAAAATTTTAATAATTTAGTTCACCTTTGGTAACACCTTTTTGTTCAAATATGAATGCCTGACCCACAGAATGCTGAGCGAATGGAGAAGAGTCAAGGATCCATTCAACACTACCTGGGCAACTCACTGTCCAAATTTTCTACACAGTTTGAGATTCAGCCACCATCTGCATGGTATGATGTGATCACAATCTATCAGTTGAGAAGATATTACAATTCAAGTTTCTGGAATTGCTATTGCAAGTTTGAATTTCCGTAACTATGACCGGTGCTTTTAATGTTTCTTTCTGCCTATCCTGCTGCTTTGAAGATGTTGATATATGTATAGAAAATCCAATTAAATAACACAACATAGGAATTCTCATCTGGATTCATATTTACAGGATGCATCCTGCAAATTCTCTGCAGATTAAACTACCAAGGCATTGCATCTCATCCAATAGATTATCAAAACAAACCTTTATCTGAAATTAGTTTGGAATCCATCAAAGAAGTACTTTCCAAATGGCCATTGATGCCTGTGAATCATTCACATCTTTATGACATGGCAGTGTTAGAGATGCATTTCTTGAAGCACAAAGCGACACCTTAATTCAGCTTCTCAAAACACAGCAGAAAAGAAAAGGCAGAACAGTAACTGGAAATTGCTTTCAGAACTGCATGAGAAAGGAGACAAAAGCAGCATTTTATTGTAATTGTGGGGAGAAGGGGAGCTGGCTTTCTGACTTATTAAAACTCGGCAGGTACCTCAATGAAGTTGGAAGATAGCCTAATAAATAAGGAAATTTGTGATTATGAATCTTTTTCCAAAGAATGACTGTAGATCTTACTTTGAAAGTAGCATACAATGGACAACAATGGTATGAATTAAGTAATATTCACTTCAAACTGACCCAGCAAGCAAAAAAGAGGAATTAATCCAAGCTACTACTGAAACTTGTTGTATACGTGAACTGAATAAAACACTGAAAAGTTTTTAATTCAGAAGAATGGCAGACTAGATAAAGGGCAGCTTGAAAAGAGACTCCAATGAAAAATACATGAAATAAGACAAGGAAATTGGTGAGAAAAATGCTGCCTTTACACTGCAGTTGTGCAGTGTTGTGATGTAGCAATGGGTTATAAGAATGGCTAATAATCTAATAATCACATCAGCAGAGACAAAGTGGAACATTTCTTTTTACAGTATTATCGAGCTGATGCTATATGATAAAAGTAAAATTAAGAAGAAAGATGTTGCAAATTTCTTGGTAATTACTTTTGGGAAAGAAACCAGAGTGAAATTATATACTGTTAAATATTAATTTTAATACAGATGCAAGGACATTAACAATCTGTAAATTGTATTGATAATGGCATCTGCCAATTTTGCAATTTATCCTTTTTTATATTTGTGTGCTTATCATTTCCTTAATTAAAGAGATAAAATACATAATTATTTCCACTGATGCAAAAAGGAGCTGTAATCCGTATCTGCCTATTGTGATTATTTTAGAATCAGTACCAGAAGATTCACAAAAAATACATGATTTCTTCATACTGATCCTTTCTCTTTATTCAATCACCTTTTCACCGCAGCTTGAATTTTGACAGTGATGAAGACGAGATGAATGAAAAGGATATACGGCCTCTCTCAAAGAATGAGCTGCAGAAGAAAGCCTTGAAAGCTGTGAGTTTTAAAGAAAACAGTTTGATAGGACGGTTTTAAAGCAACATTTTAAAGGAGAAGCAAATTTTAAACTTTCCTTTAAACATGAAATAACTTAGGAGTGAGTGCTGAGAAACAGATGTGTTTATACAATGAGTCCCCTGTGAATATAATTCTCAATGTTGAGAGAAGTGAACTATATCACTCTTCCTTATCCCTTGATGATCATTTGAGGATGGCAAAGAGCAGGCCAAGGAGCAGACCAGGGAACAAGTTTCTTCATACTTATCCCTGATTGTCCAATGCTTTGGGATGTCCTCTTGACTTGAAAGGCACTATACAAACGTAATTTGCTGTTGTTGTTGGATGATCCTTGCTTGTCTCTCCTGACTCTTGACCACAATCACCATTCATAGCAACCAGTTCCAGGGATTGATTACCCCCTGTGTTAAAAGATGCTTCCAGTTATCAGTCCTAAACTGGCCTTACAAAAACTTGACCTGTCCCCTCTTGCCCTGCTGGCTTTTCATGCCCTCATACAATGTTACAGCACAAAAAACAACCACTTGGTTCATCAAATCTGTGCTAGTGTTTTTCTTCAAATTAGCAATTTAATCCAATCCCACTCTCCTGATCGCTTCCCATATCCTTTAATATTCTTCATGTCTAAAAATATTGCTACACATTTACTTTCTCTATCCATTAAGTATCATGGATACTGACTGCTAAGGTCACCTCTGGGACATCGCTTTTCAAAACTGAAGAGCCTGAGCTTTCTAGTCATTTCTCATCATTCATCACTGTAACACGGAGGATCACCTCTGGTTTGCAACAGAATAACATTTCAAATTAGATTACACTTGTTTGAAATGTTACTCTTACAAATGATAAAAGGTACAAAAATCAATTTTGCATAAATTACAGTATATTCCGGAATACGTGTATCTTAATTATTTTTTAAAAGTTTAAATTATTTCAGACAGTGACATAGATGGATTGACTTTTTTTTTAGTTAACCTTTGGGTCTTTTGAAAGCGGCGGCGGTGTGGGCTGGGCTGATATGGCTTTGGCTCTGTTGCATAATACAACTTTCTAGTGAAGCTGTGTTCTCTGCTACAATGTAAGCTAACCCTTTTTGAAAAAAAATCTTGAAGTATCCTCGATTTAATTTAACTTTGATTAACAATAAACAATTGTGGCAAGGCGAGCAGAGTCGTTTTGGAGCTAGGCTGGCTCCAAGGTGACGTACTTAGCAACAGTATATCGGAATTGATTTAATCCTTTTACAACCCTTGGTAGTCCATTTCCTGAGCCAGGTAGTCCTTAGTACTCCAGTAGCCAGCTAGGCTCATCAACAGAACATGGAGGGGCAACAACAGCAACAACATTACATTTAAAGAGGGCCTTTCACGTCGGGAGGACGTCCTAATGCGCTGAACAGTCAGGTGTTGGGACGCAAGCATGGGGGAGGGGTGGTGTAGGGATGAGGGAAGGCAGAGAGGTGGGAGGGAGACCAAAGGCACGATCGAAGAGAAGGGTTTTGAGACCGGCTTTGAAGGAGGCAAGGGAGGAAACGAGGAGAAGGAACCGTGGGGCGGAGTTCCAGAGTGTGGGGGCAGAGAGGCTGAAAGCCCGGCCACCGATGGTAGGGCAGGTCGGGCGGGAGACATGGAGCAGGCCGGAGCCCGCTGAACGGAGGGAGCGGGCAGGTTGGTAGGGAGTCAGCAGGTCAGTGTGGTAGGAGGGGCAAGGTCTTGGATGGCCTTGAAAGTGAGGACGAGAATCTTGAACTCGATTCTCTGGGGGATAGGGAACCAGTGGAGTCGGGCGAGGGTGGGAGTGATGGGGTCACGGAGGCTGGTGCGCGAGAGTACACGAGCTGCAGAGCATAGACAGGGTGGTCCTATCTGGACAGTAGCAAGAGCCTTCCCAGACAGTGCTCTCAATGACAAGCTGTGCAGATTTCACTGTTTAAACTCCAGCAGTACCCTAATATACACTCTAGGATCTTGGCTCTTGCCAGCATGCAATTAATAGTATCTGGAAATAGATAGGCAGGGTGATGTGATAAGGCACTAAATCAAATTAAAACAGTGGATTTATTACCTTGACCTAACATTACTATTCCTTTAAATGATATAATTGTGTTAGGAGTAGATTAAATATTCAACAAGTCATAATGTACCACTATTAAGCAGAGTTTAAAGAAGCGTAAATAATTTGGATTTGACTTCCAATTATTTTGATATGGTCCATTAGATTGAACATTTAGGAATTTCTAAATTATTTAAATACCTCGCCAGATGCAAACATGAGCTGGGAGAAAATTAACAAAGCAACTTGACAAAAGTTGTGAAACACAATGTGTTTCAACATTGTAAAACTTATGGAGAAAATAATTTCACCATCTCCTGTGGTAGTGTTTGCATCCTAAAGTATAATGAATACTTAATATTGAAATTATACTGAATACAAATTAAAGAAGGGATTTGTAAATTTTCTCAGAGCTTGAGGCTAAGTAAGATGCCCCCTATGATTGAGAGAACTGAAGTTAAGTCAAAAATAGATTTTTAGATGTGTTAGTATTTTATAGGAATCGTTAATATCTATTCAAAAAATGTTAAAGAGATTGCTTTTTTGTGGTTTAAGATCCAAATAAAAGATGAAAGCCACAAATGCTAATCAGTTTAGAGAATGTGATTGTTAAAGAGGTGACTGCACAACAACGGTCTCTGAAAATGATCAAATAATTAATTTTGGTATTAATAACTGTGTACATCAAAGTTACATCAGTTGTTTCTAGTTTTATTTGATGATTCAATCAACATCGTATTGAATTAGAATTAAAATTTCTTTGAATGCACTGGCACACAAATATTCTTAGTCACTCATTATTTACAATGCTTGTACTTACTATAAAAGTACAAGCATTGTACAATACATAGATCAGGGTAGGAGAATGTGAGGGGTGAGAGTTTGTGTGGAGTATTAACTCAGATGGTCAAGCTGGGTCCAATGGCTTGTTTCTGTGCAATATCATTCTGTGTAGCATTGAAAATAATCTTAGTGTTGTGATATTGGTTATATAATCATGTGTGGAAGGAATATATGTATGACTATTGTACGTCTTCACACTTAACCAGTTGTGAAAACATTATTATGTAACACTACTTAAACAAATGAAACAAATGAAACCACTATCTTATTTAGTAACATTTATAAACATTTCTATACATCATACCTTTATGTATAACATCATTTTCATATTTCCTTATTTAACCAGAAGTGTATCAGTGTAATACAAGTTTGTTTGATAACAGGAACTTCTTTCCATCTGTAATACTAGATTACTAATTGCTAAATAAATATTTGAGTTATTGCACTCTGCTATCAATTACCAGCAGATTGTTTATATGATAGAAACAACGAAATGGCTTATTATTTACAGCTTGCAGTCACCAAATGTACAACAATGTAACATTGAGTAGTTATATGTATATATTGACTACATACAGTGCTTAATGTTTCAAAGTACTGTTTGTAAGAACAATGCAGAATGGCAAGATATTGATCATTGGTTGCATGATGTAAAATGCAGTGTAAAAATATAAAAGTGGGTTTCTGAACCTCGAATAACTGACAGTGTATTCAGAAAGATTGAAACAAAATGATAATCTTGCATTTGATATTTCGTTGAAACTGGATTGTATTGTAAATTAATTTTTGTATTGATAATCCAAAATGGTGCTAAGATGCCTTATACTGTCATTGAATAGAGGTACCTTTCAATATCCTCCAGGCAACCATAGGGTCTTGGCTACACCACTTACACTATGATTGATTATTAATGTAGCCTTGTAGTAACCGCAGCCAGGTAATTTTTGTTGATAACACCTTCTAACTGTTGATGAAATCACATGCCTATACAGACCAACTACATAGCTCTCATTCAAATTGATGGAATACTGATGGTAAGGACACAGCAGTGTGAGATGTTTCATGTAACATTGGCACACTTATTCTGTATATGGATGCCAATCATACAAACTCTGTTGACCAGAATAAATTCTTTAAACATTTACATTTGTATTATACTCCAACCATATTTTATTCATTCATCAAGATTCCATGCCATTAATAAAGCTTCCATCAGGACCTGTATTGGCTGGCTGCACTTAATTTTCTTAAATTTCTGAAAACTTGTATTCAGTCTCCTGATATAATTACATTCTTGACATGATCAATGTTTCACACATTCCTCTGTGCATGATATAAGGAGGGATCTTCCATATCAAGTTGGAATTGATTACAATCCAATGAAAATAAGGTTCTGAATAGTTCAGTTGGTTGAGCATCAGGAGGTTTTAGTTTTGAATCAGCGAGTCCATTCACCCTTTCAAGGTCGATATAATGAGTGCCATAGCTACCAAATATATCCTCCATTAAGGGCAGCAGGTGGGGGAAAAGGGGGAAAAACTGGAGCTCCTTGGAATTGAATTATCTCTGAATCAACATCTCTATGGATTGATCGGTTTATAGATTGGGGAAAGAATTGTATGACCATTCTTTTGGTTAATATCATGATGGAATATTTCAAGGGCAGTTGTATAACAGCAGATGAAATGACAATAAGGATGTGGAGGAATTAGATTCATATAAAGTATTTAACCAGAATGCAGCCTGAAAAGATCATATATTAGTTTCACTTATTTGAAGCAAGCAACTCAACTTTATCTGCAAAAATTGTTCCCTCTTTATTATGTATTTTATTGAGATTATTTGGTTCACAATCTGATTAAATTGTAATTTTGCAATAGAGCACACAATTCTAATCAGTAAAGCAATTAATAAATTCCTTTTGATGCAACCATAGAGAAAATAGACTGAATACTAAATTCTTCCCAGACATGTTTTGGGCTGTTTATTTTGCTTTCAAAGCACCATAATAATAAATAATAATCCTTACATTGTATATAGCACCTTTCGCATCAGGATGACATCTCAAAGCACTTCACAAGATTTACTGCAAAGGGTATAGGCCTGTGCATTGTGTAGGGTTGTAACATATAGATTGCCAGTACATGCAATCTGTATGTCACAACCCTACACAATGCACACACATTCCTGGTTAATGTGTATCTGGTGCCAGCTAAAATAATTTCCTTATAATCCAGAGAGGGCTAGAAATGTTGTGGTCTAAAACTTGAAACAGTAACTAGATACACATGACAGGTGGAGTGCAATAGGCAAAGAGACGAACCAGGAGGTATGAGATGGAGAGCGATGGGGAAATGGAGAGGGACGCATGAGGCAGCACAGAGAGTGACGGGAACAGCGCAGGAGGTACGAGGCAGTTTGGTCACACTAACCAATATTATGTGCCTAAACTTAGTGAACTAGATTATGCACGAAATTACGCTAATGCATAATTGTGTCATTCCCCAAGTTGTAACTAAAATTGGTTTTAAATGCTGTCTATTCAAGTCAACTATCTTCACTTGCAGAAATTTCTGTTATATCATGAAAGTAAACATTATGTAAATAGTTTACATAAAGTAAAACATTCCACATATATTTTACGATACAATTTCAGCTGTAGTTTGTTTAATACATCACTTCAACATCTTAACAATGCACTCTCCAACTCCAGCTATCTACAGTGGAGGATGGGAACAGCCTCTAAGAATGCATTTTGAAGCAACAGGAAAACATGAATTGATTCATCACAAGAATGATGTGGATAACGAAATGGCATCTGAAAGTATTATTCTGAGTTCATGTTGTCAATCCCATTTCAAAATGTTGTATACCTTTATAAGCTCAAGACTGAAGAGCCTTCAGTCAAATCACCACTTTGTGTGAAATTCTTCAGTCTAGTCATTGCCCAGTGTGAAAAGTATCAATGTGAAGCTTGTCTAAACATCGCTCAAAGCTCATTCTACTAACTTGTCATTTAAAATGAATAAGAATTGAAGATTTTGCTGGGGAAGAGGATGGATATTGACCCAAGGTGTACAATGTTAGTGCTGTCAGTAAAACTCTTTCCCATATCAGTCAGGGTCATGTTCCTTAATCCCAATTTTTCAATAAATTTCAATAAAGTTTTCAAAAATTAACATTTTTCTCATTATTTCTGTATATTTATCAACTTAATTGTCTTTATAAAATATTGATTACTGAAATTTATTCAGTATTTAAAATACCTAATGGCGATCTGGGAGTGATTACACGGTGGTAATCTATTTGATGAGTTCAGATAATATTCTAAATAATGAATGAAATTCAGGCTCTTTGAACTGTATAACTTCATTCCTCAATTAAAATGCTTTCTTCTTGAGAACCATATCCTGATTCTTGATTATTATCCTAATACAAAATTGTGAGTCTTGTTTTACCTTCCAGCACAATATGAAATGAAAGTTTAAGAAATGCATCTTAAAGAATATTGCTGCTTTAACAGTGAGAAATCTTTAAAGTCCCAAACAGATCAGTGATGTACTGTATGTAGTCTGTGTTCATCCAGCAAAACTGTGAAATGTTTAAACTTCAGTGACAACTCAACCCTAGTACAGTAGTTCCATGATAGATGTGTTTGTAAAAGCATATTGTTACATTTTGCTCATGTGTCAGTTCCTTGGAGTTGAGAGGACGTATATATTTCTGCTATTTTTCCCTTTGGACTTGCACTAAGTATTGCTTTTATACTGATATGTATGGCAATAAAAGCCCTTTATTGGAGCTGGTTTATAATAACTGAATAATTCTCTCAACTCTGTCGCTCATACCCCCTCAGTTGAATTCTTTGCCAAATAGCCAATCTACCTTCTTTACCTCCCTGGGTTGTTCGTTCCACATATTCATCACTCGACATTAAATAATTAAATCTGAACTGTATATCTGGAATAATTAAAACTATCTGTTTGCCTTTTCCCTCTTCTGAATTTGGGTCAGTGTCACCTTAGTTATAGATTCTGTGTCCTCTAGAAGGGGAGGGTGCTAGTCAGCAACATTTAATAATAATAATAATCCTTGCATTTGATATAGCGCTTTTCACGTCGGGAGGACGTCCCAAAGCGCTTCACAGAACACACTGTAAAGTGAATTGACTGTATATTTGTGGGCAAACGCGGCAGCCAATTGCGCACAGCAATGTCCCACAAACAGTCGTAGATTGAAAATGACCAATTTATTATTGTTTATGGTTTTGGAGGGATTATTATTAGGCGTGTGGAGTAAGGAAACTTGCCCAAGGTTTCGCCCTGCCTGGAATTGAACTCAGGTCTCTCGCTTGCAAAGCGAGTGCTCTAACCACTGAGCTACAGGACTCCACAATTTAATAAAAGTAAAGCAAATATCCAAATCAACATGAATTTCTGAAAGGCAGATTATTCTTGATATATTCCAGATATATTAATGTATCCATTAGATAGTTTACAAACACAGATTTTCTTTTAAGAAATAACATTATGGGATATAGTACATAAGTAGTTTGGGACGTATGTGCATGCGACCACTAGGAAGGTGGAAGGTGAACTAGATGGATCTTGATCTTTTTTCTTAAGTACAAACTATTTATAAAATAATTTCTACAAGACTTCTGACTAAAGTGAAAACTCGTGGAATTTGGAGAGAAATTGCACTGGTTTATTAAATAAGTAACAGTGGAAAGTGAGAATAGAGTTTAGTTTGCAAACTGTGACCAGTGTTCAATCTTGCTATTGCTGTACAGAATATTTATTGATGAACTCAGTGAAGAACAAAATCTAAGTTTTGTGGATTATTCAGTCATAAGTGAAAGCAGAATTATTCAGAGGCATTCAGAGACATACAGCAACTAAACATATGAATGTTGAATGACATTTAATACTCAGAGTGTCACCAAGACAGCCACATCATGTGAGTGAGGTGTTTACTCATTCATACCTTTGTGTGTAAGATTGACAGGGTAACATTTACGAAAATGGCAATGTCGATCATTTGATTTAACATTTCTGTTGGCTGAAAACTTATTTTGAACCTCTAACAATCACTTTTAAAAATGGTTGCTTTTCTTTTTTATTTTCTTGTTTTTGTAATCTCATTGAAGAATGACAAGCAATTTTTGAAAAAGCTACATCAAGGAACAATTAGAATGAACAGCAGGAAAGCTCAAAGAATTATGAGAACATCTTTTTTGCCTGGAGTGGAGTAATCAAGGAAAGGCTGCATTTTTTTATATAAATTAATAGTCCTTGTTCCCTCAGTGGGTAAAAGATATTGTATAAACAAAACGCAAAATACTGCAGATACTGGAAATCTGAAACAAGAACAGAAGTGGCTGGGAACACTCAGCAGGTCAGGCAGCATCTATGGAGAAAATGAGTCAACGTTTTGGGTCCACAACCCTTCGTCAGAACACGGCAAAAGCTAAAGCTTGGGGATCAGATAGATGTTGCCTGACTTGCTGAGTGTTCCCAGTGACGTCTGTTTTTGTGGAAGATATTGTATGGTGTATGGTTGTGCCATACAGATCCTGAAGATGCCAGATTCAATCCCTCGTCTATGCTGATTTAGCCAATCTCAGCTGGAGTAGGAATCCAGTTCCTTCTGCTGACTGTGAGCATTTATGCTGTTTGAAATTTTGTATCCAAATGATTTTTCCTGCTTTTTGTATCAACATAAACTATATGAGAGTTTGATAGTTCAGTCAACTAGTTTACAGCCCAATATCATAAAATCTGTGTAAGCATTCAGCATAATCAATTTTAGATCAACTATGTGTATTTTGAATCTAGTATCTACTAATCTCTTTGCCCTTGGTCTAATTTCGACAATTCGATTTCTTTGGTGAATGCTAAAATAATCTTACAAAGAAAGATTACAGATAACACATTCTAATTGTTCAGTAAAAAGATTTATTTCAAACCAGATAGACTTTCATCTATCATTGTCATTCATTTAATTCATTTGTGAAAGCCAAGTTTTAGCAACATTGTCTGAGACCTTCACATGCTCAATGGCTAATGGAAAATGTACTGTGATTAGATTTTAAAATAAATTGGGACCACTGATATGATTTCAACAATACTTTGGGAGGTAAAAAGTAGAGCCTTGACACATGTGAGATATATATCTAAAGGTCATAGTAATTTCCTAGAATGGTAAGCCTGAACTCATATTTCAAAATCCTAGGCATGGATTTCAGACAAATATAGATCAAGCATCATCAATATTGTCTATCACAGCATTAAAATGGACCAATTGTGTTTTACAGACAATGGATAAACGAAAGGTATCTCCATTAAAACATATGCATAAACATCACCCTTTAAAAATGACAGCTCATCTCCGTTTACCAATCAAAGAATTTTGTATTCTGTTTTTAGTTCTTCTTGTGTCAGTTGGTTCACTTGATAGTCCTCTTGCCTCTGTATAAGAAGGTTGTGAGGTCTTTTTTCAGCCAGCTGGTGTCTACGAAATGCAGAAAACCATCAACTTGCTTAAGATTATCCAAACCATACTGAAAGCTCCACATTTGTAGGCAACAAAATATGGAAATTTCCCTCTGCCTGGAAAGGAATTTCCCTCTACCTGGAGTGATGTACCTTGCTTACCTAAGGCTGAACAGTAATAACAAAAGCCAAAGTTGTGGATCCCAAAGAGTGGATACTATTGGTGTTTAACCAACTAAAACCATGCAGTTTGCCATCACAAACACGTGATTTATGACTTGTCACAAAACAGTAACAAGAAGAAGTACAAGAAGTAGCAAACTTCCCACTTATTGTTCTCCTAGTACCACCCTTCTTGTTAATGCTTTTGCTTGCATGGTTAACAGAAGCTGAGTGTGAATAATTACTGCCCGCAGCTTCCTCACAATTGATGAGTTACCACAATGTTAACGCTGTGTTAGTTTGCTGGGGAATACCAACTTTTATGTGATGCAACTTGGAATTAACTTGGCTTAAACGAACATTAATGCTAAGAATGTCATTTTCGTATTGGTGCTCAGTTGGGCTAAGAATGAAAGACTGCTATCGTAGAATCATAGATTCTCTCCAAAGCAAATATATTTTCTTCTGAGCAATGAATGTTTGCACCTACTCTAACTATGGAGCTCCAACTACCTCTAACAGAAGTAGGTTAGAGATTTATGTCTTTCATTTAAAGATTTCATTTTTTATTAAATTAATATAATAGGGAGAAAAAAAATCAATATCTATTTCTCTAGGTTGCCATTCTGTGTTCTGTGATATATTTAATATAATCAGCAAAAATATTATTCTTTTCAGAAATAATTTATTTTTACTGTAATTTATTACTAACAACTGTTCTTTATGACAAGTCATAAATCATACTTCATGTTATTCATACAAATAAAGATCAAGAAAGATGCATAGCTTTAACTCCTGATCATGACAATTGAAATGCACTTGTTTAGTATATAAACTGACTATCTTTTTTGAACACTAGCATTGGTGTCCTTGTTCAGCATCTTATTTATAATATAAATAATTTCCATAATATTCTTTAACTATGTGATTAAAAATTTTTAAGTCATAATTATGCTTAAAATACTGAGCCATCCATTGATTCATTATCTAATGTTTGCTTTGCATTCAAACATTTGTAACAACTTATTATGAATATTTACTTGAATGTGACATAAGAGCATGATGTAAAATATCTGTGAACTGAAGTGTGTGGAAACTGGATTGGAGTAAAAGGGATTCATTGTGAGTGATTAGGATAAAGGCTGTGTAATAAATAAAAAGACTATCTTGGAAACCCAGTCTACCAAAACACCTCTGGACAAATAATAAGGAATAAAGTAAGTTGATGAGAGACTACTGTGCATAAGAGACAGAATTGTGCATCAAATATATAACTCAGGAGATTCAACTTAACGAAAGATATTCTCGGGTAAAAAATTTTAAAAACAGATTTGATAAAATCTGTTGTGTTGATGCTATAATAATGTACATGCAATATATTGCTTAATCATCATCTCAATGTCAACAGTCTTTATCAAAGTGCAGGGTAAATTTCTTTGACATTTTCTAGGGTTGAATACGTTGTTATACTATATCATACAAATGATAATGTTAATAGCCACTTAAATACAATAGACTGTCCATTGAATTAAGCAGGTATTTGTAATGGCTGAACAATTATCTTCACCTGCAGTATTTTGTCCTGGTAAATGACAAAATCAAAAAGATATGCAGAAATAGCTTCGCTTAGTAGACATTCTTACCTATTATTTTCTTCTGCTGCCTAAATTTTCCAACTAAGAAGCTGGGCGGGTGACCTTTATGTCTTTTAATGTTTAGCAGGTATCTTTTAATCCTGCTCCATAACTCCCTGGCATGTGTATATGATAAATGGCATTTCCTCCAAATTCATCTTTCTCTACATCAAGAAGGTTATCACATCTGTTCATAAACTACCTTGGTCAGTCCAGCAACTCACCATGCAAGGAATATTGGACCAATGCTTCACTCTGTGTCATGTTACAAGCTAAGCATAAAGTTATACAAGACAGTAAACAACGACTGACCACTCTACTGTGACTGGATACTTTGAGATCAGAAACAGAGAGAGTAAATACATTTGAATTCAAAATGAACACTACTTGTTAATATTAATCTGTACCAAAACATCATTTTATCATTTTACTATTGAGTGTGTGAATATGTTATGAAAGTCGGCCATTATTAAATACATTTACTACTATACCTAAAATTATACTTTCTATATTTAAAGAAAATATGCATATCCAGTACACTTTAAATCACCTCAACACATGATGAATTAAAAATGCTGCTGATAGTTCTACCATTGCAATGTATGTGCAATTGCTAGGCAAAGACTGCAGTATCTTTCAGATCCTTCTCTCTCCTTCCATGTGAATTATATTTTTTTGCTGAGCATGTTCCATCACTGCATCTCATCTGAAGCTATAATTCTGCTCAGCGATTTCAGGTGCAAAATTGAAGAGGAAGCCAAGCTCTCCTGCCACCAGTTTTGACTTGCTCCCTACTGTAACCAATTTGCGCGGAAAGGTGGCATTGATGGTTTATTACAATGACTTTAGGCAGCATGTTTTACATCCCTTATGCACTTCCATTTACATTGGGTGCACTTTGTTCTCAGGAATTGACAGCTGAGCAAAGGAATCACAATTGCCGTGCACTTCATGACCTTCTGCTCTATTGGAAGAAGCAGCGCTCCGTGTTCCAATGGTTGGCATCTCTCTATCATTGCCAATCTGCACTCCTTGTTCTGCTGTTTGGTGGGTGTTGGATTCTCCTAACAATGAATCAGTCAGACTGAACATTTGAAGCAGACACTTCCTAAACTGTATAAATAAGAGAAGGATTAGAAATAAAATAATCTGAAATGAATCTGCTAATAAAATGTTTGCATTAGATTTGCCATCCTAAATATGAATTACAGACTAACTGCACTCAACTGTGTTAAAGCAGTACAACTAGGTTGAGAACAGGAAAGAGAGAACAAACAAGTCAAGAAATGATGCTAAGATTGGATTTTAAAATGTTTCACATTTGTACAGGGTGACCAAAAAATTGTGATACCATTACAATGTCTAATAAATCTTAAATAAATTATAATATTGTCTTTTAGATAATAAGGCAGTTATCACAATGTTTTGGTCACCCTGTACAATGGAAGGAAAGACGGAGGGAGGTAAGAAGTTCATCAATCTTGAGTTTCTGGAAAGAATGATTTAGAGTAGGAGACAGTGTGACTGCCTTAATTTGTGATAGAGAAAGACAGAGAATGGATCCAAGAGGATATCTGAATGTGCTTTCGGTCAACTTTTTCAAACCTCTATTTCCCTGGCGTTTCCGCCAATATATTTGTCAAATGCTTTTGTGTGCAAGTGTTATACAAATGTAAATTTTATTATAATTGACTAATACATGATCGTCAGTCATTCCAAGAAATGTGTGATAAATAAATTCATTCTAATGATCTGACGAATATATTTGTCTGTACAAAATACTTTGAAGAACAAGCCACTGATTAGTTTAACTCCTGTTACAAAGGACCCCTAAGCATTTTCATTAGATCTGAAAGTCAGCATGGAGTCAGAATCCCAAACAATGACCTGATGCTGTCAGAACAGAAATAACAAACAATGACCTGATGCTGTATTTTAAGATTATGACAGCATTATCTCAGGTAACACAGTACAGGTTTGGCAATTTTTACTTTTTTTTTCATTTTGCATCCTTGCTCTCAACTTGTACCAAGACTTGAATCATCGCTGATGTGATTAATTGAGGGACAACTTTTGGAGCACCAGACAGAAATTCTCTGGAGCTTGCTATTCATATGTATCTGCCATTTGCCCTAGAGATACAAATGAACAGTTCATTCTAAGTAATTGTGGGACTATATCTACAAAGCTCCAGTTTCATTCTAAGGACTTGTTTATCCATTTAAGGTGTTTGTCCTGTCTCATTACTGTGCAGCTAGTTTTGTGTTAGAGTTGTATTGTAATTAATTTGCAACAGATATTTATATTTCTGGTGAAATATTTCTCTGAACTCAGTATTACTTCATACTGTAAGTCCATAACACTTTTCCAATTATTTCATTGGCTGTTAAAGCATTAATGCTACGATTTATTCTGATAATTATAAATCTTCAATCTGAATATCTAGATACTTCCAAATGGATTTTATATGTCTGCAACAATGTAATGGGTAATTTTATTGAGCTATCCAACTATTTAATCCCTGTAGGTTGTGCTATTCTGTTTGGAATCATAATTTGTATCATTTCCACATGCATTTCTTTGAATTACCCTATGTATTTGCAATGTGTGCACACCTTTGATTTTCATGACCTAGTTGATCATTTTTGCACACACATAATTACATGCCAAGAATCTACAGCACTGAAACATAGTGTACTACACTACATTTTAAATATCTATTTTGATTTAAGTAATTTAAAAAGTATATACTAGGTGCAAGTTTTATTTTGGTGAGGGTGGAGTCGCTCCAGCTTTGGAGTTTCTAATGATTCAGTATATAAAAATCAGAAGTCCAAATCTCAAACCTCAAAAATGAAATATTTGAGTAATATAAGACAGAATTATTCTACTGTATTATTGATCTCTATCTTTCAAGTGCAAACTGATCAAGCATCTCAGTGATTCAGTCTAGATTACCATACGTTGGTCTATCCTTCATTGTACTGCCATCACAAAGAATGTGAGATAGGGCTTTCGGAAGCATTGAATAGAAGACAAGACTTCATCTAGAACACTACAAGTTAAAGACATTTTCATGCGGGTGTTTATTGTGGTGTCCAGATCAAGGTCTTTTCACGCATTAATGAAGAGGATGAGATAACAACTAACACTGTCAAAGATACATAGCAATTCTCATGAAGGAATACATTGACCTATTTTTCTCTTTCAAATGCTGATTGTCCTGCTGTGAATTTTCTATTTTTGATTTCCAATATCTGGCATCACGATGATTCTTTTCATTCCTTCCACTGAGAAGGAGGCTTCAAATAATTGCATGCCTTGGACAAAATCTGCTACATGCAGTATCTATACAGCTAGGGTAGATTTGTTTGACCTAGATAGAAGAATAGAAACATCTAGTCATCTTAGCCATGAGAATATATTGCTTGCAAACTATTCCTAGCTATAGTGGAACCTGGAGCAAGTTAAATGGTGGACTCAGTATGTAGAATTCATCCCAGACTTTGGTCTGGGAAGACAGTGTTAGAGGACACAGATACACCTGGATGACCAGGTGAACAAAGGTGCACCCAAGTAACAGACCGTAACTGCCTGTTCAAGAAAGAGTAAAGTATATAATATTAACATACTGATTTGCTGATAAGAATGCTTTCATGAAAATATGAGTCACACAAACAGGCATTCCTGTAATGTCATTTCTGTACTTTAACGTTTCTGTACTTTAATTTGGTGCAGCCAGAACCTCTCTTATTTGTAGGCATTACTGTTGAGTGAACTACAGTAGTAGTCAAAGGTGCCATTATAGGTAGAGATACTTAAGAAGAACATAAGAAATAGGAGCAGGAGTAGGCCATTCGGCCCCTCAAGCCCGCCCCGCCATTTAATAAGATCACAGCTGATCTTCTAAACTAATTCCATTTACCCACCCTTTCCACATATCCCTTAATCCCTTTAGTTTTTAAAAAATCTTTTGATCTCAGGCTTGAATATGTTCAAAGACTGAGCATCCACAGCCTTCTGGGGTAGAGAATTCCATAAATTTACTACCCTCTGAGTGATGAAATCTTTTCTCAACTCAGTTCCTAAGGGCTGACTTTTAATCCTGAGACTAATCCCTAGTTTTAGATTCACCAACCAGGGGAAACAGTCTCACACTATCTACCCTGTCTATAAGGGTATAATTCTATAAGATTCTATAAGATCTCCTCTAATTCTTCTATAATCTAGAGAATATAGGCCTAGTCTATTCAATCTCTCCTCGTAGGTCAACTTCCTCATCCCTGGAACCAACCTAGTGAACTTACATTGCATCCCCTCTAAGGCGAGTATATCCCTTCTTAGATAAGGAGACCAAAACTGCACAGAATATTCCAGGTGCAGTCTCACCAATTGCAGCAAGACTTCCCTACTCTTGTACTCTAACCCTTCTGCAATAAACGCTAACATGTTATTAGCCTTCCTAATTGCTCGCTGTACCTGCATGCTAACTTTCTGGAAAGGTATACTAGTCGTAGTGGTGAAAATAAATGAAGTAATGGTAACAGATATTTCATCACAGGTGGTTGGCCTATTATGGAGTTGGCCTAGTCATATACTTTATGAAAAATGTCCTACCCATTCCAAAAAATAATCAGCATTTCACCATACAAGATTCATTTTAAATGAATTAAAAGAAGATTCAATATTTCAAATTTAATAAATAGGTTCAAATTCTATTTAGTTGACATCAATCTCAATGTAAATCAGTGAGCCCTATTTCTGACTCATTAATAATTAACACTTTTTTTTCTTAATCCAAGTCTAATAAACAGTATCAAAAAATGTAACCACCTCATCTCAAAATCAAGAGTGTACCTTTGGAATCACTCTGATCACCCAATTAAATGTATTAATAGAAAATAGCTTACATATACATAAATATCCAACCAGATTATTAATAATCTTATGTAACACTTAAAAGATTAATTAAAAAATCCAAAATGTTGTTTTCAATACTTCGATAAGTTAAGCCAAAATGAAACCTTCTTTATATTACAGGTATGATTCATTATTTTCCCTTTTCTATCATGTCAAAGGTAATTCACTACTGTTCCTGAATATAGAATGTGGATTTTAGTATTCAAAACCCTCTTCTTTCTTAAGGAGAACGATTTAGCCTGTGGGTATCTCTGATCGATGTGCTCTTTTAAAATAATTTTCCTTCCATAAATTAAAAATGAATTGAGAAAGAAACATGGTTTTTCGGCACTTTATTTTATCTTCTTCTTTCAGCTTAGGCCAGGTGAAGTTATATGACCACCAGCAAGTGCAAATAACTTTCACTCCTTTGTTTGATTGTGTTCATGCGAAATCATGAATATTGATATGAAGAACTATCTGGAGTCCTGTAGCTCAGTGGTTAGAGCACTCGCTTTGCAAGCGAGAGACCTGAGTTCAATTCCAGACAGGGCGAGACTTTGGGCAAGTTTCCTTACTCCACACAGAGCCTAATAATAATCCCTCCAAAATCAAAAACAATAATAAAAATTGGTCATTTTCAATCTACGACTGTTTGTGGGACACTGCTTTGCTCAATTGGCTGCCGCGTTCGCCCATAAATATACAGTCAATTCACTTTACAGTGTGTTCTGTGAAGCGCTTTGGGACGTCCTCCTGACGTGAAAAGCGCTATATCAAATGCAAGATTATTATTATTATTAAATAGGTTTCCTCTTCCAGCTAAATCAACAAAATATTTTGAATTGATATTAACTATGTTGTGAAGTGTATGTAACGAGTATGAAATGCGTAAACACATAAACGTCAAGATCGATCAGACTATATTCTTAATATTACTTATTAATCTAAAATTAGGGTAACATTTATGAAGAAAAAAATGCAAATTAAACATACCTGCTTATTCATAAACACATAAATGATTGGATTATAAACAGTTGCAGTTTTCGAGAAGAAGGCTGGGATTGCTGCAAGTCGAGGGTCTAACTTGATGGTGGGACAAGCGGTAACCGTGATGGAAAAAGCTGCGTATGGAGTCCAGCAGAAAAGAAATGCCAGTATCATGACTATCACCATCCTAGTTACCTGCTTTTCAGGCTTTCTTGCAACTCCCAGTCTCCCTTGAGTACTTGCCACCTACGAGAGAAATCACGTCAGTAGCTTCCATACCTTATCGATTCCATTTTACAGCAATGCACTTTTGCCACTGAGATAGAAGGTTGTGGGTTCAAGCTCCAGGTTGGGAATCAGAATTTGTATGTTATTTAGGCTGACACTCCAATGCAGTACCATAGGTGTACAACAACAACGACAACTTGTATTTATATAGTGCCATTCATACGGGTAGCGTCCTGGAGTGCTTGTACTGCATTATTGGAGGTGCTGTCTTTCAGGAATAACCAAGATCCTGGCTCCTGTTCACATGGACGTTAAAGATACCATGGCACTATTTGAAAAGAGAAGGGAGCTCCCAAGTGTTGAGTTGTTGGTCTCAGGATAAAATTGTTCATTCAATATGACTCTTTATGGGATATTGCTGTGCACAAATTGGCTGCTGCATCAATTTTGAATGCATTTAGTATCATCGTTTGGATTAATCTATACAGCAGGTTTGAAATGCATGCAATTTTTATTCCCAATTTCTTCCTTTTGATGTACTAATCTGAAGTTTACTAAAACGAAGTAATGCAAGCTGTTTAAGATTAAGACAGTGATGGAGAGCTGCCTTATCTTATCACATGGTTTAAATGGAAACCATGTGCAACTTTGGACGATAATCAAAGTTCAGACTGCAACCAGAGGTCATGTGAATACTGCATAAAGGCACTGAGCTACCTACTAATTGTGTTGTATATTTTTTACTAATTGATTTATATTTTACAAAATATTGAAAGTAAATCATTAAGTAACCACTTAAAAATGTGTAGACAGTTTGGGCCATCAGTACATATCTGAGCAGTTGGTAAAAGCAAATTTGGTTATTGACAGGTTTGAATTGGTAAAAGTAAATGTGTCAACTTCCTTAAGCTGTGGTTGATGGAATAAAATTGGAGAGCGTTCCCTTTAGTTAGTCAGTACATTTATGCAGTGAGCCAGACAGGTCCCAGGATCGATCCTCATTAGTGGATCTTATTCAGGGTTGATTACTCTTGAACAACAAAGTCACTGATAATGATTTTAGAGCAGCAAATTGGCCTCTGTCCTCTGGGTTATGGAAAAGAAAAACCATCTAGGGTTTGTGCTCCTCCTAGCTATCCAGTAACACCTGATGGGAATTTTTTCAAGTGAACAGGTTATTTATCTTTGTGAAACAATAACCCGCTTCCACACACTAACAGGCTGCCATGTACTATAAACAGTTGCACATGAATAATTACCACTTGAATGAAGCACCAAAGGGAAAATGCTCATTTGAAATGAATAAAAGAGGTAGGAGGAAGGGGAGATTGGCGGAGTAAATATTTGGGAACGTGGTAAGATCTATCTGAAATTATAACAAGAGGATATGAAATTTATTGTGGCTGGTCTTATTATAGAGTAATTCATAGAGAGTAATTTACCTTCCTCAGCTTCTTCATCAGTTTTCCGTACGAAACAAATATCACAATTAAAGGCATGATGAAGCAGGTTATAAATAATGCAATGATATATGTGTGATCATTGTGTTCTGTAGAATACCTGCAAAAAATATGCAGCATAGTTATAATTAGATATATCCCAACACTTCTTATTGATATGAAACACATGTTGAAACAATAACTATCAAACCACAGGTTAATAAATTGAATTAATTCATTAGGACGTGAAAACATTTCAAGTGGCATTACAATTTTCTTTACCTGAGAGGCAGTTAACAAAACAATGTGTGCAGCATTAAATAGTTTTTCACAACTGAAGTACAACAGCTAGTGCTGAATGTTGATAGAACATCACAGCATATTCTAATTACTAAACTAATTTCCTTTGAAGATGTATTTGCAGAACATGTTCAAAACCCAAAGCACATCATATAGCAGTCTTAATTCACACTTACACTGTCTCAATGAAATCAAACCACAATGGAATATAGTGCATTATTAAACTTACCTTTCTAATATGTGTGTCCTTCAACTTAACCTATTTCTTCAGTAAACCAATTTTTGACTAATGGTATATAAAAAAAACAGTAAACATATGTGGGAGAGGAGAGGAAGGAGCTTGGGCCACCAGTCATTATCTGTGATTTCAAGAGTTAAGCATTGGTCCCATTTCGTATCCTAAGGTTGTCATAACTTATCTTTAATTTTGCAATCTCACAACAAAGGTGTAATTAAGTAGCATTTGTCTTTCAATTCTATTAAGTTTGTCTTAATGTGTGTTTGTGTGTCGTTGGGGTTGAGATGGTGGGGGATTGCAGACAATGAGTGTAAATCTATATTTGAAAAGTCTCCCTTACACTCAGCTGTTTCTAACCTTCTTGAAGTGTTAATTATGCTCATATACAATGATTCCAGTGACTTAACACTAGGTTTTCCTTGTACTGCATAGAGATCAACAGTGAAACAAGATTGGGTATGGCAGTCTGACTGCAGTGCCTTGAGATGTCTCCCAATGTGAAAAGAGCTATATAAATGCAATGTGTTATTTGTTGTAAAGAACTGTCCACATGGAAACTGTATTATGGCTAATGATATTAGTTATAATGAAATATAGGGATTGAAATTTTGGAAAATAAACTTTTCTTGAGTTGATAAGTGTGGATGGTGGTGCTGTACATTACTTTATGCTAAAATGCTAATTGTACTGTATTTGTCTTTTTGAGTTATTCTCTGGAAGGGTCAAAACCCAAGGGCACTTCATAATATGGAGACTAAAAAAAAATATGAAGAGGAAGATGGTTAGATAAAGCTGGCCTAACATTTAATCTATGCACAGAAACAGACTGAAGGAATGTGTAACCTTACTCTAATCCTATAACAATGATGTATATCATACAGATTAGACAAAATAAATCATATTCCAAGTAGTTTTTGGGGAGCTAAATACCAGTGCTTAATCTACATTTCATACTACATTATTGATTAACAGCAAATAATAAGTATCACAAAATAGTCAAGTAGCTTCACCAACTGAAATAATACATGCTGCAACTCAAGACTATAACGTTTATTAATTCATCAATTTTACAACTTTTGGTGCGTCAAGCAACACATTGTATCACTTATTTTTTTCAGTACTTTAATAAATTCCAGGAATGTAATGCTTTTCTAATTCAATATCATACTATCATTAATATCATACAGTGAGGTGTATGACCCCTTGTGGTAAATGTTGAGCGCAGCCAGAATTGACAAACTACAAAAACATATTGCACTATACACTATTTAGAAAAATCTGGGACTGCCAAGCTCAATGAGGGACAAACACTGCCTCCCCCCTCCCAACACACATACGGAATGTCAAGTTAGTCTTAAACATAACTTCAATGCATATGAGTATTGTGAGCTAACACTAATAGCTGTATGCATTTTAATCAAACTTCTGGCTCACCAGTTAGGTTCACAAGTAGTGCCGATCGGACTGACAGTATAACTGCTCCAGCCCAAGACGGGTGGGATGGTCCAGATGAAGGAAAAAATCCAAATGAAAAGAAGTCCCAGGGCAGCATGCTTCCCTTGTAAGCGGATGTTGCCCAGTGGTCGGCAGATCACAAAATACCGTTCAAAGGCCAGCACTGCTAATGACCAGAGTGCCACAATTCCTGCAAGTACACAAAATAGCTTAATAAAGTTCAGTGACAACATAAAAAGCCACACACTGAGTACATGCCTATCCTATCATAGCATGATGGTTTGGATCCAGCCTTCCTGCTGCTGTCATCATTTCCTGAGTGTTGCACAAAGGACATCGGCAAGTACTCTCATAATAATAATAATGATAATCCTTGCATTTTTGATACAGCTTGATATTGCACATCTTCGAGAGGTCTCAAAGCCCTTCACAGAATATACTGTAAGTGAACTGACTAATATTTCTGGGCAAAACACTCATGAGTGCTTTTAGTAGTTGCTAGAATAACATGAGATACCAGAAGGCCATCTAGTCTGTGAGCAATCCTGCAGAAAGCCTGAAGGTACACCACATTTTCTGTATACCATGGGTGTAATTATGCTATAAGTAGCTTGGGGTGTTATAGAAGAGTAAGCCTGTGCATTCCAATTCATTATTTTATATTCAGGCATAAAATTAACAATAGATGTAATTTATCAGAAAAAAAGCAAATGGTTACATGTTAAGTGAACATTGTCCAAAGAAATCATGCTAATCTGCAAACTTGATACAAACTATTTTCAATAGCAATGCACCCTTGACTGTTGCTGGGGTGTATTTATTCTTAGATTATTATGGATAAATGCAAAATTATTCTACAAGGCGGATATGCAACAATGCACTTTTTGCAGATAAATAAGTCATGGCTCATGAGGAAGCACAAAGTAAAAATAACATTTTGACCAATAAAGCCCATCTGGATGTCTGGCCCTCAGAAGATATAAACCCTTCATGTACTCCAATTGGCTTCAGCCTTCTGAACAGGAGGTAACCACAACTAGAACTCCCCCAACAGATAAAGCTACTGTGAAGTTTCCTTCTGGTCCTCGAAATCCTGCAAAATCCATCTAAACTTTGGGGTATTAATCCAAAATTAGAAGCCACACTATTCACTGTATTCCACAGATGACACTTAACTATTGCCCATGATCTTACCATATCATCAAGGTTTGCTAAGCATTCCATCAATCAGAACATCAGTCTTCCAATGAAAATTATTCAATGTGTTCCGATGTTTCACTGTGCACTGTACACTGTCCTAATACAGTGTTTTCCATTCATCATCATCTTTTGCACTAACTCTGAATCCAGGTCTCCTGGCAGCTATTTAATTTATCATTAAATCAATGAGCTTTAACTCTCGTTTGATCCACCATTTATACTGCTCAAAGCGATCTAAATGACTTCCACCAGTTTACAGTGATTAGAAGCAGGAAGCCAGATTTATATTTCCAGTTTCAAAATCACTTTTACTTGGGGGTGCTAACAGGTACTCTGAAGAAGTGCAAATCCTATAAACTGGTGTTCAATAGTGGTTAGCTTTTTAATGTTAATAAATATTTGGTGATGTGACCAACTTTCTAATGTCTTAAGAGGCTTTAATGGTAGTTAAAGAGTTTTGTAGAACCATTTTTGAACAGAGATTAAACAATTTGGACTGCGCAAACATATTGATTTAAAGCTGTTTTAATACCTTTCAAGATATTTTTAAATGCTTCATTCACAAATCTGATTTATGTTGAGATGTCAGTATTAAACAAGTTCTATTTCAAAACTGTGGCAACACCACTTGGAAAATCAGAATACAATGGGATATGGAAAAAAAATGGGGAAATGGAATTAAAGAGTTGTAATGGCCTGAAGATTAGGACAATGTCTTAATCCTGTCCCTATATTTCTAACAATGTAGGGATTGAAATGACATCAGAATCCTGTCATACTGATGCTTTGCGTGTGAATGGTAACAATAAAACACTGACCTCAACTATTTTTCAAAATTAGTTTGGTAAAGAAAACACATAAAACTGATATATATAACTTCAGAAAAAGTCTGTATTTTTGTTTCAAGATTTTATTCTGTTTCTAGCCAAGAAACTTAGCTCACCATCACACAATTTTAATTAGGTCACAAACATATAAGTTTGACTATAGTTTAAAATTCTGTTTCCATCAGTTGTTTCTAACGTACATTTGTCTACAATACACAGTCATTACACTTTACAGAAAATATGTGAAGCACTTTGAGCCACTCTCAACATTATAAACAAGGATTATTACTATGATTATTATTATAAAATAAATTCCAAGTGGAAGATTGTAACCTTACTCCAGAACAGGTCCGTGCATTCAAAATAATTTTCTTATGGATAGTTATATATATATATATATATATCACTTTCCTGCCTACCAGAAATACTCGCAAACAACTTAGGTTTGTGCATGAAGTGCTGTTTGTGCTCAAATTGCTGTTTACCAATCTTCGAGTGCAGATAAGGTTGAGTTTTTGTTAGGAAGGAAAAACTTGAGTTAGGGTAAGTGCATACTCTTGGTTACTATCAACCTGTCTCATACTCTCCGCAATTAGGAATGCTGGGTGCATCTGTTCTGAGGACAGAATGTATATTCCATTATAAACACGGGAATTTCCATGTGTAGATGGCATGCATGGCCTGATTTGGATACTCTTAAGCAGGGGCGGACTGGCTCTATGGGAAATCAAGAAAATTTCCGAAACGCCCTCATGATTGCCTGATACTTATCAACCCAGAGCTCGGACCAGGCAATTATCATCGAAAACCCACCCTACTGTTTAAACTCCACAAAAATTTTCTTTAAACGCGCGGAGGTTTTATGCTGAATTGCCGCCCCCAACACTCGGCGCCCCCATTTTACCTGTAAATCCTGCGCTCTTTCGAAGAGCCAGTGCGCCACTACTCTTAAGCACAGTGATGGATTTCTGCAATTGTCAGCTGACCCAAATAAAACAATCCACACAGGTTGGCTTCCCCTCTATTTCAACACGTTGGGACGTCCTCCCGACGCGAATGGCGCTATATAAATGCAATTTGTTGTTGTATTATTCCTTGGGAGAATAACACCCTTTCACATTTTTTTAAAAAAATATACTCATGAGACACATAACATTCAGAATGAGATTCCCATTCACTGCACATCTTGGCTACAAATTTGAATTGCAGTCTATCTCAATTTGATTCCAGTTTTCAACTATAATGGCTAACAATAAAAAAGCGTTACACGTACTGCACTTATTATTTGACACCTTGGACAGAGTGAACTCAGATCTATCTGCATACACAGCCAGAGGAATTGCAAACTCTGCATGTTTTTTATTTTTAAATTTTAAAATCAAGTCAAACTTCCGAACAGGAACAGTTTACCTGGTCCCAGTGAGGCAATCTTTAAGCGACCTGGAAAACAAATCAACACTAAGCTGGATACTTACGAATCAGATTCACCAAAACCTTTGCTATGGCACTGGTCAGCATTCTAACTGCTCGTTCATTACTGTACAGTATTAGGGTATTCTGCGAATATGAGTACAGCTTCTTGAATGAGACGTGGTGGTCTTAGTAATGTTGCTGCTTGGTAGTCAAAAGCATAAACTGCAGAAAGACAGCACAAACATCTAACCTGGAGAAATAATTTTAAAAAAAACTTCTCATTGTTGCTGATGTTCCCACATCAGATAATGCAAGGGAGGGATTCACAAGGAAACCAGGCAGCAGTTTCACACTCTCATCTCTGGAAAGGCAGGTTCCAGATTTCAGCTTTTTGCACTTTTAAATGTGTGATGTGAAAAGGTCGTCAAACCATCTCTGTACCAACACAGCTTCCCCTAAGAAGCGTTTCGTAAAAACTCTACAAACTCCTTCTTTTTGCATCAGTCAATGCCAGCAATATTACCAAATGCAACACAGATTGCAAGGGTATTGACGTGAAAAACGTACATTCAAATTGCATTTTAACAAAAAAAAACACCTACTCACCTAAGTAAGTTACAGAAAAGGCTTCCAATACACATGCCCAGGCTCCCAGGAAGAAGTACCCGTAGAGATTGGTGACAAAGCTGATAGTTCCACCAATTAAAGACATGAGAAAGTCAGCCAGGGATAAATTGAGAATGATATAATTCAGAGGCTGCCTCAACTGCTTAAACCTGTAGGTTACCAGCATGACAGTAAAGTTTTCACTGAGGGATAAAAATGTCACCAGAAACATTAAAGTCGCCAAAACTTTGAAGTTCCACGACTCGATTTTGCCCAGAGGTCCACTAAATGGGTCTCTGGGAGTGGAGACCCCAACACTAGCCTCGGAGGGGAGGGCTCCATCCACTGCCCCTCTCCACGAGGAATCCATCCTCTACACCCCACACCCACACACACACCCCCCACACACCCACACACACCCCCCACACACACACTGATCAAACCAGTGGTCCAAAATCCATCCAACAATCACAGCTCCGCTTTAGCTCAAACCTTAAACCATGGACAAGCCCTGAAATCACCAGCCCAGGGAAAGGCAAAGAAAAAAAAAGTCTAGAAGAGAGATATTTCTTAGGCTCTAAGAGCAGGATGTCAGCCCTCTCCTGCTTCAAGTGTATCTCCTCTCTAACCTCATACTCTGCGCTAGAGACTGGCAATTATGTTCTGTCCTCTGTAGTTTGTGGAGGGTTTTGGTGATGGTGGTGGTGGGGAGGTGGAGCGTAGGGGAAGCGTCTAAAATTGATCTGGACTGAATTTCTTCTGTATTTTTTAATAGTTAGAATCCTTAACGAGGAAGGGGGGGGGATGGGGGGGGGGGGGGGGGGAGAGAAAGGGGCAGATTAGGTTGTTCCCTGAACCATTAATGTTTCAGAAATCACTCACCAGAAAATGAAAAGGATCACAGGACACGTTGAATGCATTTTTTTTCCTCCCTCAAAAAAGTAGGACGCTTATCACTGCCATCCTATAACTTTACTGGCAAAACATGTCTCACTGCAGAATGGCAATCTTGCAGTGTGTCCCAACAATACAGTGCCATCTACACGTTGGGAGGATTATTCGCCCTCTCTATTTTATAAATCCAAGTTGTTGTTGTTTAAAATATAAGAAGTTGCCTTTATACTGTTTGGAACATGTTGGAAACTTTAATAATAATAATAATAATAATAATCCTTGCATTTGATATAGCGCTTTTCACGTCGGGAGGACGTCCCAAAGCGCTTCACAGAACACACTGTAAAGTGAATTGACTGTATATTTGTGGGCAAACGCGGCAGCCAATTGTGCACAGCTGTGTCCCACAAACAGTCGTAGATTGAAAATGACCAATTTATTATTGTTTTTGGTTTTGAAGGGATTATTATTAGGTGTGTGGAGTAAGGAAACTTGCCCAAGGTTTTGCCCTGCCTGGAATTGAACTCAGGTCTCTCGCTTGCAAAGCGAGTGCTCTAACCACTGAGCTACAGGACTCCACTTTCTGCACAATGCACGAAAGCATTTTCTATCTTTTNCTTTGTGCATGTTTAATGGATCAATGCCAAATTATTTGGAATCAATCAACATGAACAATGAAGAATGCAATACTTAAATCTAGCAAAACTGGTTTCAAGGTAGCAAAATCAACAACTGGAATATCAGAGAAACATCTCGATCAGAAATCACCATAAAAATTTTGATTAACTTTCTCTAATGACAATTATGATGTGAACTATCATATAATTATCATATAATGATGACCCTATCTATAGTAACACAAATAATCCCCGCATTTGATCTAGAGCATGCATTAAAAGTTGTTGTAAAGTGTAGTGCATGTGAAGGCAAACACAGCATTCAATTTGCCCACAGCAATGTCAAACAAACAAACTGTGTGCAGAAAATTGCTAATTGTGTCTGTCAGACTGTTGGCATGGAAACTGGGAGAAACTTTCCTTTTTTAGAAAGTGCCATAGGATCTTTAATGAGTACCTGAGCAAACAGTTAGAACATTGATTTGATATATTTTCCAAAGGACAACACCTTGACTATGAACTCAAAGAAGACAGGTGAGGCTTAAACCCATAATCTCTGACCAGAGGTGAGAGTGCAATACAATCAACTGAGTCAGACAATACCTATATTATTGAATTATAGTGTAGAATAAGGACATTGATCTTTAGCTGGTCCCTACTCCCCCACTGAAACTAGCTATTCAAAATACAATTCCACGATGGTTCAAGGTATCTTCTGATATTGTTCCACTGCAAATTCTTGTCCAATTTCCTTCTAATTGTGGTTTTGCTCCCTTTAAAGATCTATTATTTTGTTCTTTTCCCTTTCAAATAGTGATTGTGTTTCCAACGATTTCTAAACGAAATGTGTATTTTGTTTTACCCCTTCAAAAATTGGTTATAAATCATCAGTCAATTTAACATCCATTATTTATAATTAACAAGTCAGTGCTGATATGACTGTGATTGAATCTTAAGAACAACAAAGCTTATCTATTGTGACAATGTGAGCAATTTAAATCTATATGCTTGAAAGTGAAGCACTGCACCCACCCATAGTTGATAGCTGCATCTCTACTAATGTTGAACCAGCTTCCTCATATTCAATATTTGAGCTGCAAAAAATGCAAAAATCCAAGCAATCTTTTGGGATTATTATTCATAACTTTTTTTAAAAAAAATGCTACAACTGGTGGTGAGGAATCATTTTTAATAACTTTATTCTTAAAATGAAGCAATATTTATTTATATTTTGAACAATCCATCTTAAGTTTTGATCCTATTTGAAGCTCTTCAATACATCACAAGACATATTTGTGTGATAAATGGACTGCCCTCAGATGCAGTTGGATGATGGATTTCCCAACTCCTCACTCCACAAGCTGCAGATTATCCAGAACTCTGCAGCTCATGTCCTCTCCTGCTCCAGGAGCCGATCACCCCCATCCTCGCTCGGCTTCATTGGATCCCCATCCCACAGAGGATCAAGTTTAAGATCCTCATCCTCCATAATTTGTGTACAGCAGAAGTTGCAATGGTGCATTTCTCAGTCAAGAGTGGATTCAAACCATAATGAAACCCATTATGAAAAAATTGATCTTATGCACTTCCGCAGCCAGCGTATATTCTCTCATGATTTATCGGCTACTATCTTGTAAGGTAGACTAACGTCTAACCTTTGTTACAATGGATAGAGCAAACTATGCCACATCACATCAAGTTCAGTTTTATTCAATGTATTTTCATTGCATATCAGACTGGTCTAATATAAATTCTTGATTTCAGCAGATTACAATTCATCTACTGTAAAATTGCAGGTTTACAGCTATCTATCACAAAAAACAGCAATAGAAATGATTCATTGAGTAGTACCAACACGAAATAAAGGCCATACATAAAATAATAGCTTACAATTGTGTAGTAAAGGCAAACAAGATATTGAATTAAAATGAAACCTAACATGAGAAGTTTAGATTAATTTGGCAAATTGAAAGTAGATGCACTTGTGTGCTCTAATCAAAATGCTTCATATCTTTCTATTCTAAGATTTTATTGCAGTTTACATAATACCTAATTGGAAGCAAAGAGACTATTCAACAGTATTCCCTAAAATTACTAAGATACTGAATGAATTCACATCAAACTAGCTGGATCGTATTTTGACAGTACTTTATTTTGAATGCATGTACATCACAATGTTTTGGATGTTTGTACATTAGTATGTTCAGCTTGGTTTAGAACAGTCAAAAGAATGTGCACTGAAACATGCAGTGAAAAAGACAAAATGAATAGAAAATCAATCTTTAGAACCAAGCGATCATATCTTCACACATATATAGTCCATGGGAAAACTTAAACATTACTAAACATATTTAAATCAACAGCCGCATTCTAACATTGTGATTTACAGGCACACCTGACAGAAATGTGTTTTCTTTCCTTAACTTCAAGGTTATAATAATAATAAGAAATAATAATAATAATCCTTGCACAAGTTTGTAGCATATGTCATGGCAATCAGGATATAAAGTATGAAACACTTTGATGAGGGGAAAAATCACCTCTATATATCTTCTACAGTTGGACAAGAAACAATATCCTGACACAATTCTTGCCCTGGTAAGATCTTGAAATGCAATTTTCTGAGCTGGTGAAATACAAGCAACTAACTGAATAATCATGTTCTCCAGAGATCATATAATTTTACACAAAATAAGATTAAATATGCGATTCATCTTTTTTCTGCAGTAATCCTGTATGGTGGTGTTGGCTTGTTATCATTCAAATTCTGAATATAGATCTCAGGGGTTGGTCAAACAATCATTTATAATTTGCAAAAATATTTTCCTTGGGAAATTTCCTGTCCTCAGAAGCGGAGAGAAGACTTTTGCCATGCGATTGAGAATCATCACTAGAGGTAACAAGTTGAATTTTTTTTTGATGTATATCAAGAGAGAAAAATTCCAGACAGAAGCATCTAATGTGTTGAAAACTCATAGGTTATGCAGAGGCTAAAAACATTTATTTCTACTTTCAGATGCAGTACTGTACTTCCACCATCACAAAAGAAACTTTCCTGAGAGTGGGATGAAAATATTCCACCAAGAAGGCTTCACGGTTGTATTTTGGTACGGAGTATATAGAATGTTCTAAAGTATTCTGCCAGGATTAATGGAATGAAAACGTTTTTCAAAGAGTTGAAACATTTAATCTACTAAATTTACCACCGAAGAAATGGGCTAACAGCTTTTACACAGTTAAATGAAAAACGCATTAGGATCAATGACGCAACACAACAACAAGAAAATTACATTCGTATATCGCCTTTCACGTTGAGAGTACGTTCCAAGGCACTGATGTCAACGATCATGTCAATAATCTATTGACATGGTATTTCTGGCTCAAACATTAGGAACTGCTGTTTATATTCAGAAAGTGAAACAAAAATACAAGGTTCCTTTTTCAATATTTCAGTTGGACTCAAAATTGATTCTTAGTTAAACATGTAGAATCTTATTTTACCAACTGATGTCATGTCAAAAACATTGAAGGATCACCAATAAAAACAAAAATATTCAAAATCCTCAGCAGTTCAATCTTAAAGCAGAGAGGAATATAGGTTAATGTTTTTGGTTTTGATCCCAAACAGTTCTTTACTAATTATGAACGTTTGATGCTCATTTAATTTTAATGAAATCTTTGATCTTAGTGAAACAGCATTCATGCATTCAATCAATCGTGTGTGCACTGAATTTTAGGGGTTCACTGCTCATTATTGCATTAAAAGTTGGATAAATTTTGAATGAATTTCTGTGTTTCAGGACACTTTAATAGGAGTACGTTCTCTTGATAGGTTGTGAAATTGCCCAGTTAATCTGTT